CCTAGTATTATCTGTAAAAGCCTAACACAGGAGTGACTAAGCTGCTGGCTGCTAGCCAGAAAATCAGATTATTATTAATTAATAACTAATCTAATACCTGTTCTAATAATACAGTAATTAAAAATATATTACCACTGGTATATTATTCTTGTAAAGACTCTGTATAAATTACTAATTAATCTACAGTTATTAACCTTCTGAGCATACCTGACCTTCCTAACCAGCAGTTAAGGTCAGTTAAAGCAACCTCTTAACCGTAACCTACCCTTAACCGTACGGTTAAGAGGATTCTTATACCTTAACCTAACCGTCAGGTTACGGTTAAGGTTAGGTTAAGGTATAACGGTCAGGTATAACCACTCTACCTATACTATTACTGTCTTTTCTTGATTAAAGTAAAAAGATGATTTCTAATCTTATATATAAGTCTAGCTAAAAGTAATTATTTTCTACCAGTTATGAAAAATAAAAATCTTTTCTAAAAAAGCTAAATATAAAATAATTTTCTAATACCTTGCAATATACTTAATATTAAGATTTAAAAAAAAAGATAATATAAACTGAAAAGCTACTCTCTATCCAGTTATTATCATGATTTATAAAGATCTATAAGATAAAGAAAAAGAATTTAATAATATTTTTTAAAAATAAATTTAATAATTATAATTAATTTATAATAGACTATCTATCTGTACAAGAAATCAAAGAGAGTAAAGAATAAGAAAAACTTAATTAATATAATATTCTTTTATTTATAAATATATATTAATATAAATATGATCTATCACATTTATATATATTAGAAATATTTAATAATAATAAGTTTTTATTAAAGATATTTTCTAATCTTATCTATAGGTAAGAGTTTGCAGCATCCAGTAATTATTATATAAAATATCTTTAATATAATAAATAATCAGATTTAATTAAGTAATACAAGAAGGAATTCTATAAAGATATTTTATAATTATTATAATAATATTATTAATAAAGTCTGTAAAAATCTTTTACAGATCTTACTTAGAAAATATTATCTAAGTTTTTATATTTATAATTAACAGATTATAGAAAGTACAGATTTCTAAATAAACTAAATAAGCAGAGTTACATAGAATATTATAATTAAATAATACAGATAATTTATAGTTTTTAAATCTATTATAAATACTTAGACAGTATTTTAAATATATAAAAAGAATAGTAAATTTATTTATTACTATATAAGATAATTTTCAGAGAGATTTACCAGCCTGGAGGGATGATTTAGAAAATATTAATAATTTATTAATAATATATAGCTAAAATAAAGTTATAAATATATATATTTACTACTATTTTATATTATAAGAATAATTTTTTTTTATAAACTTAATTATCACCACCACCTGAGATAATATTAGATTAAATAAATAAGAATAGAATAAAGTATACCATTTTCTTTCTTTTGATTATTTTTAGAATTAAGAAGATTAGTCTTGCATTAGTTATTAATAAAGATATAAATAATTAGAATAAATAATTATTAATCTAAGTATATCTTACCTGTGCTAAGACTTAAAAGAATATAATAGATAAATCTTGATATCAGGAACAGTTAAGACAGTTAACTGTCTTATTTTTGGCTGTTCCGCGGTTAGGTATAAGGAAATCTTATATCTAACTGTTAACCTGACGGCAGGTATAAATTTTTCCATTAACCTACCCTACCCTGGCCGTTAACCACTCTATCCACTATAATATATATATAAAACTGGTTGGTGTACTGATTATATTAGTATATAATATTATTTCTTATCTATCTTTATATGGCTCTTCTTTCTCGTCCTTAGTCTTTTCCATATTTTATATTTACTGGTTATTGGAATATCCGCGTGTTTTTGAGATTTATTTACTCTAGACTATTCTTGAGTAAAGTTTTTAACAGGTTTATATAATTATAGAAGATAACTTGGTCTTAGAGTGGTTATACCTAACCGTTAACCTGACGGAAGGTATAGATTTTCTCATTAACCTACCCTACCCTGGCCGTTAACCACTCTAGCTTAAACAGGCAGGTTCCTGACTCTCTATAGCTCACCCGGCTCGCCTGTTTGCCATGTCTAGTCATATAATAAGGCATGGAATGACCGAGGTCTCATATATATGATGTACCAACCCCAGTGGAATAGGATCACACGCACACATTTGGGTGTTTCGGGATTATAGATTATTCCAACATCCCGGAGACTTTTTAGGAGGTGGACGGTGAAGCAGTAACTCGCTATTAGAGTTACAGATGGAAAGGCGGCTGTTTCTGGCCTTAGAAGCATCCATTTTCGGCGCTATGCAGCAGTCACATAATAAGGCATAGGATGACCAAGGTCTTACACTAGTGAGGCTGGCTATATCGGGTATATGAATTCTATTATTACTACTATTACTACTACTATGATATCATTAGCCCCCTGATGGAGCTGGGCTCACTGAGAAGTCTTCTTCTGTTTAAGCTACATATTTCAACTGTCGTCCACTGTTGATTCGAACACTTCAGAAAGACACGTCATCAACCTGATGCTAAAGGGGCGCTGCCGTGCTGAGGTGAGATTATGGCGCCCAACCTACAACACACTAATGCACAACTATCAGCCTATCACGTCCTGCCCCAAACCGTTCGGTGCAGGCTCGCGGCCGAATCAATATGCTGCACAAGATCAGTTTGAACCAATTGCCTAGATAAGGAACAACATCCTCCTCCACACTGATTTGCCCAAATTCCTGTACATAACTTCCAGCGGATTGCGTAGCAGTGGGGGAACTAATCACGGAAAGACATGTACCTCTCAAGACTCAGCGGGTAACTCAAGCAAAGCCTAGCATCTCATTAATCGGTCCACCATTACGTAATACATAAACAATCCTATAACGTAACCCATGGTTAGACGGCCCATACGGCTATCCTATATAAAAAATATCTTTTTAAATCTTTTATATCTTAACTAGTAGTAAGTTTGATCAGTTCTAACTGGATATATAGATATTTAAGATATATCAGATCATCATTAATATAATTTATAATCTATTGATATAATATTAAGTCTTCTAGTCTTATAGTGGTTGAGATATCTTGTGTTTTAAAAGAGTCTTTTATATAGTATTACCAGCTGGGCCGCCTAACTGTGTGGGCTGCCTAACCGTAGATTATGTTAGCAGCGTGACTGCAAAGCGTATCACGCATGTCCAATTGCTCGTTCTGGTGCCCTCAAGGTTGTGAACCGGCGTTGATGTCAACTAATAAAGCCCACCGGTTGTTTCCAATGGGTGCGCTGACTGCCTGAGCATGCCTTTGAAGAAGCAAATATGATGGGCGCAAAGATTACCATTGGTCCAGGGAAAAACATAGCTTCATGCACCATGACCGCGCCACATTTGGCTGACCGTTAACTGGCGCGTTTTCACGCAATCATGAATCATACTCCTTATCAAGAGGCCCAAGCAATAGCGGCTTTGGTAAGCCAAAAAAATATTGGTACACACTGGCCATGGACGAGAGTGGTACATTAGTACTTTTGGTTGGACAGAAGAACCCGCCTAGGATCTAGAGAAGTTTCGCCGGTGGATACAGCAGTACTCTTCAATTAATTGAGGCGTACAGAGATAAAAGCGACATGACCATGTTCCTCATCTCGCTACTTGTTAGGTGCGGTTATTCCCTAGCGACATCTCCTGTATTAGCCAAGATGCAAAGCGGAGCAAAAGGGGGTTCCAATGTGGGCGTTTTAGACTAAGAGTTGCCCCTCCTTGTCATCATCTAGGCACCAGCTTAGCTTACATTCCGGTAAGCCAAACCCCACTCATTACTAAAGAATGCGTCAAAGCGAAAGACACGAGTTGACCATGATCTTAAGGTGCATGAATGGATAATGGTAGACGGCGATTCAGACACTGATAGCCTTGCACTTACTGGCTTTTCCCTAGAGGGTAAGACCGAGTTATCGAACAGGCTATATTGTCGATAATATGACTTCTTAAACCAGAAAGGATATGCATGCGTCTGCACAGCCCAATGTAACATACGGCAGGGATTATCCCCTCTCAATCAGTGGTACGATTTCTCTTTATCTGAAAGCAAGCAATGCTCCAAAAGTACCAGTCTCGGCTGCAATTTCCCCATCACAATGGCCTGGGAAGCAATTGAGCCAGTCACTCAAATCTCAATAATTAGTTGTTTGCTTCAAAATGAAACGTGTGCATCCATGACCTTAGTTACATAGACATAGGTCTATTCTCTTGGTCTACGTCCAGCCATAAAGCTTCCGCCCTAAGCGACCGGGTTCTCACCAAGGGCGTGAAAGATGCGGCATATTTGTCTACTGCTATGCTTACTGCACTCGGAAATCCTCTCAAAAAGCAATAATAGCTCCAAAACCGATGTTCAGCCTTTGCTGCCAACATCGACGCCAACCCTCTCCGGGCCCCGAGCTGTAAGCACACTTCATGCAGATCAGATTTAGTATACCATCTAGAGATTAGATGAGAAGGTCTCCTGCCAATAAGGGCACTCTTGAATCCATCTATTTATTTATGATTAAGGATAAGGATTTTCCCCAATCTCATCAGTTGCTCTTGACTTGGACCTGTCTAATTTAGTGCTTACTTTATCCTTGTAAAGAGGCATCCTATGAATGGTCTACTTTCAAAGGATTGCATTGTTAGGGTGAATTCGGCAGATTGTTTAAAGCACTTGGGGCTCCCCAAGCTGATGATAATGTTACGAATGTTGGGCGCTGTAACTGCTCTAAGTACTGATCATCAGTGAACAGAAATTACGCCAAGGAGGAATCAACTCTATTCACCAGAAATCCGTCCTGTTTTCTGCAATCCGACTTTGCTGGTCGTGGTATCCGACGCCAATGGCAAGCTCTAGCATTGTTGATGCCGTTGATGATAGCAAGAAGTCTCATGTCGAAGAGTTAGGCATAACCAACCATGCTTCGAAACGGTTGGCATGCATGTGCGTCCGTCTGGTCTCCCTGTGGTTTCCGCGAAATCATTATTTTTCTGTTGCTAATTCAAAGAAACTCTATAGGACATGTCGTGAGCGAAAGATTCGCTGTGATAGAAAACATCCAACGTGTGGGAGGTGCGCAAAAATGGGGACAACATGTCGCTACCTGAGTCGTTCCAAGCCGACGCCGTCAAAGCTAGATCTATCACGATATTTAGTGACAATAAACGACCGTCTGAGTGAGCTATGAGCTTGAATTTGCCCTTTTACGTTATGCAACACAGGTTCCGGCTAATCCAGACTTCTCCACAGAGCAGGCAGAGGCCCAATTGGCATTCCATTCGTCAATACAGAACCCTACGCAAACCCCTTTGGAGCCAGATGCTGCAGCTTCCGGGCCGGTTACGTCAAATGCATCACCCTCACATATGGACTCGGCACTTTTGTCGACACTAGAACTGCCCGATCTCGGTGGGCAGACCATGAATGACTGGTAAGATATTCAACAGGTCTGCGTTGCGCTACTCAGTCTGCTGAGCTATCAGGCCGTCCATAGCAAATAACGACCCGTACGAGTTTGACTTCGGCGCTCCCTCCTCCACTATGCCGATTGAACCTCTGATGGCGCCATTTATGCCCGTTTCTAACAGATTCGTTGACCTGGACTCTATGCTTTTGGAGATGCTTCCTGCCGCAACCTACCATAATGTGCCGGAGTTGTCTCCAGGGCTCCTGCAAGGACTGTAGGCTACCCACGCTCCTCCAGGTTCAAATCCATCTGACAAATACAGACACGACAGGTACTTCGATCTGTTCCACCCCATTATGCCATTAATCTGCCGATCTCGCTTTGAGGCTGAAATATCCGAGATGTCACCGTCAATTGAGGTTCAAAGCCTCTCATTTGCCATTGCAGTACTGGGATCCTTCTCAGTGCCCGAGCTGCGCTGTCACGTCGACAGATGCTACGAGCAATGCCGCACCCTTCTGGACCTGTGTGAAAGACAGGACACGGGAGAATCCCTGGCGAGCATCAATACTCTCCAAGGGCTTGCCTTGTTGACCCTCTACGAATTCAAGCAGCCGAACTTTGCTCGGGCCTGGATGACTCTCGGGCGGGCTATCAGGCTAGCCGAACTGATAGGCCTTGACCGTGTCGATAGTCCTCCGAATTCGACCATGACTGCGCCCTGGGACCAGCGGCCGCGACTCCCACCGGCCTCTTGCGCTGTCATTGCGGAAGAGCGGCGTCGCACCTTCTGGGTTCTCTATGTATTCGATTCCTTATCAACCACTCATCTGCACGCCCAATTGGCCTTGGAAATGCCGGTACGTCAGGCGCGTTATTGCTGTAGGTTTCACGATAATAAAATATACAGGAGTTTATCCATCTCCCATCTCCAAGCGAATCTCTAGACGAATTGACGAATTGTACTATTGCCATGCCATCAATGCAGCAGATCGAAGCTGGGATCTCTGCCGAGGTGTCCGTGTCATCCTTTTCTGGCACACTCATCATGGTATCCCTGTACCGACGATGTATCGACCACACCATCTCGCAGATGAATCATCCCCATGCCTTCTGGGAGACGCATTACTCGATTGATAAAGCCATCAGTCACTACCGAGGGAATTTACTTTCCCACCACGTCAACAACGACTTTTCCGACGACCCACGATCTCTGTCGCTGCGCATGAACCTAGCCGCGGTCGAAATCACTCTACACGAGACGGCCCTGGTCAAGGTACAGAAAGACAAGCTGCCCGCTGTCCTCGCCACCGAGGCAATTTCAAAATGCATCATAGCTGCCACCGACATCGCCATAACGGTTCAGTTAGGCCAACGGCTGACGGGCAAGAAGCTGGAGATATTCAAACAGCATGACCGCTTCCTTGTGTGGCCGATGACTATGGCAATCCAGACCTGTTCGCGGATGCTGGACATGAGGGGAAATGTCGACGTGGATCCCTGCATTGAAAACCTACGCGTGCTCGCCGCCGCCATGAAGGAGCTTGTCAGTCCGAAACACGTCCGCCCGGGACTTCTGGAAAAGATAGATGTCTGGATGGCCGCGGTTGAAGGAGGCGCTAATGCCGAATAAGCTACCTGTATGAGTCTGCCTGCATTTTGAGAGAAGAGACTCTTCTATAGAAGTAGATAGACGACAGTATGATTTCTCGATAAACGGGAGTTTTCATTTTTCCATTTTCACTCTTTATCAGAAGGTAAAATTTCCATGTACAGGTAAGTATCTCCATATTATTTGCTTACGAGGTTCATAGGTGTGGAAAAAGCAGCATTCAGGAACTTGCTGGAAAGAGGAGAGTATATTTGTGTCATCTAATGTACATTAAACACGGTATATAGTTGATATATATATCGCCCGTGTGGCTTGGCTTTTGCCACGACGCTAACGAGTTTAGTCGTCCCTGTGAGTGCTTCGATTTCCCAGTTCTACTGCCGTTTCGTGCTCGATGGCTTCTCGTCTCTTCTTTTCACCATCTTTCTCGTCCAGTCCAAACTCCGTCACTAATTCCTTGCGCAGCTCTACTTGCGGAATGCATACAGCAAGGGGAAACGCCGCGAGGGAAAACGCCAGCAAGACCTGCCAAACCAGCTTCAAACATGACTGATAGACATCTAGGATCTCGTGCTGCAGGGCGGGATTATTGTCGAAGGCTTCAATGAAAAGCTTGGTGGCATGCTCATATGCCCCTCCACGAGCCAGGAGAGTGCGGGTGGCCTCATCGCTGATGTGGGACAGCTGACTGTCGAACTTGGAGTTGAACACGGCCGCGGGGATGGCCGCGCCCCAGATGGCACCAAAACTCCGCACGAATGCCCAGCTCGCGGTGGCGATGGCGACGTCCTTCTCCGGCAGCGGAGCCTGCACTGCCGGGAGCGTGGAGGTGAGGGACAGCCCGCCGCCGATTCCCGTGATGATTTGGAAAATGACCCATGTCGCTGTACTCGACTTGTCGGTTAGGAGCGTCAGGAGACCCACTCCGACGGAAATCAGACTGTAGCCGAGGATGATGGTGGGCTTGTACCGGCCGGTCATGGCGACCATGAGGCCACCCACGATGCCGGCTGGCATGAGAGGGATCACGATGGCGAGGATATCTACCCCGGACCTCATGGGACTGGCACGCAGCATCACTTGGAAGTAGATCGGCAGGAAGAAGGAGAGCCAGGACATGATAATTCCGTGGAGGAAGGTGAGGATGTAGGCCACGAGAGAAGTGGTGTTGCTGTACACGCGATGCGGCATCGTCGGCTCGCGGGCGACATATTCCTGATGCAGACCGAACAAGACAAGGCCGAGAGCGCCGACCAGGAGAGGGACGAGGGTGTGCCACGAGCTCCAGGTATACGTTGTTCCTCCCCAGGTGAGGGCAATCAGGATGGCCACGATCGCCGCAGAGAGAATCATATTCCCGGAGAAATCCACCCGAGCGAGTCGATTCTTGAGAGTGCCTTCTCGGTTCCATTTGACCCTTAGAAACAGAGTAACGAGGACCAGCGCAATCCCCGCCACTGGGAGATTGATGTAAAAGACCCACCGCCATGTCGTTTTGGTGACGATGGCGCCTCCCAGCACCGGTCCGATAAATGTGCCCAGGGCAAAGGTGCCCATGATGATACTCATGAACTTCTGTCGCTCCCGGAGGGCTACCAAATCAGCCGCGATGATATCCACCATTACGAAGATGCCTCCGCCCCCGAGTCCCTGCACAATCCTTGCGGCAATCAGCATTTCCGTAGTGCTCGCTCCGCCACAGAGGCCGCTTCCCAGGGCAAACAGGACGACGGAGATGATCATAGGGTATCGCCCCCGAAAAGATCGGACGCTTGGCCGGCGATAGGCTGCACCGCAGCCACGGCCAGAAAATACCCGTTGATTGTCCATATATAAAGTGAGCCGGAGTGCAGCTGGTCGACGATAGTCGGGAGAGCAGTGGCAAGAACAGAGGTGTCCAGGGCCGCAAGAAGGATGGCAAAGCAGAGGCCTGGAAAAACAGCCCAGAAACGCCAGCCACGGTACTGCCGCTGCGGAGGAGGCTCGTGGGCATTTGCAAGGGGTTCGTCGTGCTTTTTGGAAAGAGCCTGCGGTATGCGCTCTTCGGGACCGCTCTCGGCAACGATGCTGGTCGAGACGGCCATGACGGGTTTAGGCAGAGGATTGTAGGATACCGCCAGCGAAAACCATTCGAGAGCTGATGATGGGAGTCAGAGAACGAAACAGCTCTGTAATACAGAGTTGCTGCTTGTTGACTATTCTACTCGATAGTAATCCCGCAGTGGAAGTGGGCAAAGCACTGGTTGGGAAGAAAGACTACAATAAGCATGGAAAGCTCGGGGCAAGCCGGAGACAAACAAAACAGAAGTCTCATCTGACATTCTCCGGTGAGTGTGACAGGCCGGAGGAATCTATTATTACTGCCCAATGGAGCCCCTAGACTGGTTTCTTTGTCTGCAAGGACGGACATTGCCGGGCCGCACACACCGAGAAAGTACAGCACCGCGAGTCATTCAGTAGCAGACAGAAATTTACCACAATCATAACAACTCATCATAATGTGACCGTAATGCAGGGGGTGTATTACATTTCAGCAATGTCCTCAAGACTTGCTTATCCTCCTGACTCGCATCCCTCGGCTTGTCTCCGGATTAAACGCAGAGAAATAATCATCATAAATCAGATCTTCGGGCTTTGTTCCGTCTAACTCCAAGTCACCGTATTTGCGAAACAGCATGGCCGTGGTAACGTATAGTTCACAATATGCCAAACTGTAACATCTGTCAGTTGTTTGTCGTCCAGGCATAGTGGTAGAGTACTGACGGCATGCCAATGCACTGTCGACTGTCTTTGCCAAAGCTGACCAGATATCGACTGAGCTTGCGTCCTTTTATAGGATCCATCCATCTCTCTGGGTCGAAGCGTTCGGGGTCAGGAAATATGCCTGGGTTGCGATGCATGACCCAGGAGGACATCCCTACAACCGACTACAAGACGGGTAGTAATGAAATTCAGCCACATATTCAAAGACTAAAGAAACGTCAAAACCTACACCAGCTGGTAGAAAGTGTCCGTTAAACTCAGCTCCAGGGTCAGGAACCACACGGGGAAGGCGACCGATAACCCCGTAACTCAGTCGCAAACCCTCCCTGACGACGCCTGTCTGCGCTGCATCAATCAATAGTCAGAGGAAAAAAGCAAGGGCTCAACATACTAGGTAAGGGAGTTTCTCCAAGGCCAAGAAATTTATACGTTTCTCTGGATCCGCAAACTCCTGCTGCATCTCTTCCCGCAGTCGACGGTAGATATCCGGGTTGCGAAGAACATGAAACGCGATCATTGTGAGGGCATTGCCTGTTGCAAGAGCAGCAGCAACCATGATACTCAGACCCTCATCGGTCAGCTCATCAATCGTGCGGATAGGAGCCTGTCCGACATTATCGCTGGGAGCAAGGAGTTCATGGAATATTGACCTGCGGGTGAGATTACCAATCTCACCCGCAGCAACCTGGCTCTTGACCTTGACCACATTTGCCTTGGTCTCCTATAGTCTTGGCGTGAGTGTATTGATCCGAGCAATGAGTCATAAAGGACACAAAAGACATACATCGACCAGCTTGTTATATTTTCGAATCACAGTATTACGATCCGAAAGCCACCGCGGCAAGCCGAGCATGATGGCTTCCAGTCGCTTACTCTGCATGAAAATCCAAAGCCCTTTCAGGACTCCCCGCACCATGTGGGCGAAGTCGTGCCCAAACCTTGGGTAGTTATCGAGTAGATTATAGCAATCATGGAACACGTAATCGCTAGTCACGTCCACACTGAGTGCACTGAACAGACAATGCAGTTCCACCGACCCACAGCCGGCATCCAAGTCTTCTGCAAGCCGCTGAACCAGCTTCGCAGCCTTGTCCTGGATCAGTGGCTCGAGATGCAGAACTGCCTTACGGCTGAAGAAGGGATTTAGGGCGGACCTCCGGGACGTATGCACAGAGTTCTGGATGGCGGTAAATGTGGCTGAGGGGGAGCCAAAGACACAATAGTAAGGGGGTGATTTATAGTATTTGGTCCCCACGTGGTAGATCTTGTCGTAGGCGTCAGGATCACTCAAGGATACCTCGTCCGGTGTGATACGAACGACGGGACCTGGTTTGGTATATTAATCAACAAACGCCTTTATTCGAAGAGAGTAATGAATACCATATTGTTTGTGAAGACGCTCCACCTGCTGGTAGAAATCGCTACGCCCCCCGTGGTAGCTGTAGAATGTCTGGTAAAGTTGCGTTGCAGCGGCCAGCTTTGGGCCAGGAATCTTTGCAAGCGGATGAAGCGTGAGACGGTAGAGAACGCGGGCTAAGACATAGAGGGTGACTACAATAGCCACGGAGCCGTAGAGTGATAGCTCCATTTTAAGCATCTGCTTCGCTGTCTGCTAAAACGATGCAACTGTTATTCTATTTGTACACTCCTGGTAGACAGACCGGCCGGGCCCTAAGGCTTGTTGACCATGTCCATTTGTTCAATAGAACAGTGATGGATACGATCCTATAAAATCCCAGCGGACTTGGGCGGCCCGAGCTGTCGTCGTGCTGTCGGGGTGCGGTTTACTGATATCCGTCTTACTCATACGGAGTTGGGGCAGTATTTTGTTACTAGTCATTCGTGCTAACTGGTCATAGCCGTTACCAATAGGATCACCTGGTAGTTGGTAGTTGAGCAGTAAGAGTAATCTATATTGTCTGCATTTGACAAACTCCGCTGCCACATGGTATTTGTACTACTGAATGGTTTGATGCAAACGCCTCTTATATAAATATTTTTCTTCATAATGAAGGTTGAATATTGTAAGAAGCCACAAGTTGATAGCATCAAGTTTGGAACTGCATCTGTTCAACAGCCATCTGAATCGCGCCAGCCACCTTTGCAACCGTAGATGTACTTCTAGGAAGCTGGTGGCCACCGTCATGCGTCACCACATGTGCCAATCTCGGCTCACACATTCCTACGAGGGCCCTGCCATGGTCGGCATACTGATCCTTCTCCCCAATAACATGCGCAGTCGGGATGTTGATCCGCTGGATATGTGTGGTTGGATGAAATCTCAGCAGGACATCGACACTCGTTGCTTCTTTGGCGCTAGCAGCCATCGGTCGTCGGGCCTCAAACTCATCAATCACTCCCTTCGATCGAACATCCGTCATCCAATCGATGTGATCATCTCCGATTGCGTTTCCCTCCGCGTCCTGGTGGATGGCGGACAGCTCTCGTTGCGTGGGCTCGTACGTGAGTTTCAACTTGCCAGATCCCATGTCGAAGGGCATCGTCGTGGATATAAAGACTCCCACCTTGAATAGTTCTTCGGTCGGATCGGTTCTGGCGTGGTTGAGAAGAAGTGTTGAGGCCACGGCTGCTCCCTGGGAGAAACCAAGCACCCCGTCAAAGGGGCCCTCTTCTCGGACTACCTCCAGCACGAGGTCGTATGCTTTCTGAACGTCGTCGGGGATTGGCTCACCATGATAGCCAAAATAGGGTCCCGGGAAGATTGCATCGATTCCTGAGATGCAATGCGATTGTCAGCATTAGATGGCTGAAGTGGGAACGAATCAGAACCACTTACCAGGAGCCGGTTCAGCCTCCATTTCTCCATCCAGGAATTCGAACTCCCAGTTTCTCGGAAGATAGGCTCTGATGGGCTCTAGCTGCGCCTCGAGTATGGAAGAATTGGTGCCATGGCCGTGGAGGCAAAGAAACCTCATTGTGAACCGGGCGCTGCAGTGTCAACGGGGGATATATGATTTGGGCAAATATGGAAAGTGACAGTCAACATGTATTTCAGGTAGAGTAAATAAATTTGACCTCTGTGTGACCGGTTCTGAGGATTCCGTGCTATCATACATAGTAAGACAGGGTATAGGACAGTATAGGATAGTATAGTATCGTAGTAGCGTGGCCGCTCGGAGGGCGGGGTGCCGTTTCCCGACTCGGCCCCAGAAGTCCGGGGCCATAAGCCGTCGAGAAATCCGTCGTCTGACAGCATGATATCCAATCTCGCTTTCGAGAGTGTTCTTGCTTAATCTGAGTTTACTCCGCGCGGAACCTCGGGGTTCGTATTGCGGCTGACAATATCGGCTTGGGTGATGATTTTAGACCCTATATCATATGATATATCTTCTACAATACCGGCAATATGGAGAACATAGGCACATATTAACTACGGTATATCTGTGTACTGGCGTTAAGCTGCTGCTAGCATACCTTATATTTGTACATTCAAAATGGCTCCGTATATGTCTGACCCGGATATGCCCCATACCAACGGCACAAATGGGGTCACCCCGTGGAACATGGCGTCTATCATGGCCAACGACGCTCTCGAACCGATCGCTATCATTGGAATTGGTGGCAGATTCCCTGGCGAAGCTACGAATCCCGACAAACTGTGGGATCTGATTTGCAAGGGTCAAAGTGCCATGAGCGAAGTGCCCAAGGACCGATTCAACATCGACGCCTTCTACCATCCGCATGCAGAACGACAGGGGACCATGAACGTCCGAGGGGGCCATTACATGCAGGAGGACGTGGCCTGTTTCGATGCGCCTTTCTTTTCCATCACCCCGCAGGAGGCCAATGCGATGGATCCGCAGCAAAGACTCGCTCTGGAAGTGGCCTATGAAAGTTTGGAAAATGGTACTCCACCCACCCAATTGATGGGTTACATAGCGTCGCTAATATTGACTAGCCGGTCTGCGCATTGAGGAGATTGCCGGTTCACCCATGGCCTGCTTCATGGCTTCGTTTACCAGGGACTACGCAAATCTTCGCTCGCATGATGCTGAGGATATTCCGTAAGCCGGGTCCATCCTGTACTGTTTTAAGTACGAGCCTGCTTACACCAGCTATAGGAAGTACGAAGGCACTGGAAACGGTGCGGCTCTGATATCCAACCGTATTTCATGGTTCTTCGATCTCAAAGGGCCCAGTCTCAGTCTCGACACGGCCTGTTCCTCCTCTCTGGTTGCGTTGCATCTGGCGTGCCAAAGCCTTCGAAGTGGTGAATCCAAAACTGTATGTTTGTACACCAAATGTAGGATACGTGCCATAACTGACCCGACCTGCAGGCCCTGGTGGGTGGCACTAACCTTCTCCTCATGCCGGAGATGCAAATCGCAATGACATCGCTGCATTTCCTCAGTCCCGACAGCAAGAGCCAGGCCTTCGATCACAAGGCCAATGGATACTCTCGTGGTGAAGGTGCCGCTGTCATCACTCTGAAGCCTCTGGCGGATGCCCTCCGGGATAATAATGTCATCCGGGCTGTGATTCGAGGAACTGGTGTGAATCAGGATGGCAAAACCCCAGGCATCACTTTGCCCTCTGCAGAAGCACAGGAGGAATTGATCAGGACCACCTATCAGTCGGCAGGTCTTGACTTTCCTGAGACAAACTATTTCGAGGCGCATGGAACTGGTATGAGCTCTTCTTCTTAAGTCCTCAGGGTCGCATTCAGAGGCTAACAGACACCCAAAGGCACGCCTGCCGGTGATCCACTGGAAGCATCTGCAATTGGAGCTACATTTGGAGCGTCCAGATCCAAGGATAACCCAATTCCAATCGGTTCGATCAAGACTAATATCGGTCATATGGAGGGCGTGAGTGGTCTGGCTGGCTTGATCAAGAGTGTGTACGCACTTGAAAAAGCAATCATTCCACCTAATCTGTGGTTTGAGAAGCCAAACCCTCGCATTCCAATGGCTGAGTGGAACATAACTGTGAGATTAATTCCTTACCCCCTCGCACCTGGTAGTTATGGCTGACGAAGTTTTTGAGGTCCCAACAAAATTGACCTATTGGCCAACGCAAGGCCTCCGTCGTGCAAGTGTCAACTCGTTCGGCTATGGCGGTACTAATGCGCACTGTATCCTGGATGATGCCTACAATTATCTTACGAGCCGTGGGCTGAAAGGTGCTCACAGAACCGTCACAGACAGTCAGATTGAGGACCTTGAGACTCTCTCCGATCTGCTCTCCATTTCGAGCCAAGATAGTACCTGGTCGAAAGTGGACGGTAATGTGAGCGACCGAACGAGCTACAGCAGTACGGCACTGGAGATCGCAAAGATCGCACCTGCACCAAAGCTCTTCTACTGGTCTTCCCACGAACAGAACGGGGTAGAGAGAACATCCAAAGCGCTACTGAAATACCTGCTTGATAAGACGCGCGGTGAACTGCCGGAAGATTTCCTGGATAGCCTTGTGTATACTTTGTCCGAGTGTCGCAGCAGGCTGTCTTGGAAAACATATGCAGTGGCGTCCACGGTGGATGAACTTGTTTCACTCCTGGAGCAGGGCGTTCCCAAGCCCCTGAGAGCATCACAGGTGCCCTCGCTCGGATTCATCTTTACCGGGCAGGGAGCCCAGTGGTACGCAATGGGGAGGGAGCTTCTTTGCTACGCTACTTTCCGCCAGAGTTTGGAAGCTGCCACGGCATACCTGGAAAGCGAGGGATGCACGTGGAATCTATTCTGTAAGAAATGATATCCACTCCTACATTGAAGCAGCATATTAACCTCAACAGTGGAGTTCGTGCGTGACAGGGACACGTCTTGCATCAACAAAGCGGCCATCAGTCAGGCCACATGTACAGCGCTCCAAGTTGCCTTGGTTGATCTACTCGCTAAATGGAGCATCAGTCCAACGGCGGTCATTGGTCACTCGAGCGGAGAAATTGCTGTAAGCTATATAAGGTCGCTTTGCAAAAGAGCACTCGCTGACGGATTGTAGGCTGCCTATGCAAAAGGTGCCATCAGTAGAGAGGATGCGTGGAAGATCGCCTACCATCGCGGCCGTCTCTCCAACACCATCACCCGGGATGGGGCTATGATGGCTGTTGGACTCGGCGAAGCTGCTGTCCAGCCGTACCTTAATAAGATCACTGACGGGGAGGTGGTGGTCGCCTGCATCAACAGCCCCACGAATGTCACCTTATCCGGCGACTCGGCCGCCATCACTCAAGTTCAGGAATTGCTCGAGGCTTCCAAGGTGTTTGTGCGAAGGCTGACCGTGAAGACGGCATATCACTCGCCACATGTCAAGGCAATCGCAGAAGAATATCGCCGTTCGCTCCAGGATATCAGGACCTTAAAAGCAGGGGATTCCGGAGCCGCGATGTTCTCCTCCGTCACTGGCAAGCTGATCGACGCAGACGAGCTTGGGCCCAACTACTGGGTGGACAATATGATCAGTCCGGTCAACTTCCTGCAGGCTGTATCCACCGCCGTGTCGTATTCTGCACGCAAGAGACGCACAACGCGCAAAGAGGCATTCATCAACGTCTTGTTAGAGGTGGGCCCTCATGCCGCGTTGCAGGGTCCGATCAAACAGATCTTGCAGCACGAGAGGACCAAGACCCCGATTCCCTATATCTCTGTTCTGTCGCGGGGGAATGACGCCACAAGAACCGCCCTCGAAGCACTGGGCAAGCTCAATCAACATGGATATCCGGTGGATGTGACCATGGCCAACACCCCAGGAAAGAGAGCTACTCCGCCAGTGCCCCTGACGGACCTTCCCCCGTTTGCCTGGAATCACATGCAACGCTACTGGTACGAATCCCCCATCTCGGCTGCATACCGCCAGCGGAAGCTTCCTCGCCACGATCTGCTGGGTGCTCTGAGCGAGCATTGCAGTGACTTGGAGCCGTCTTGGCGAAACTATCTCCGAGTGGCCGAGATGCCCTGGATTGAACATCACAAAGTACAGTCATCGATCTTGTACCCGCTGTCGGGGATGATGGTCATGGCCATCGAAGGCATCCGGCAGATTTCCGACAAGAGCAAGGAAATTGAAGGTTTCCAACTGCGCGATGTGTCCGTTGGTACCGCCATGGTGGTGCCGGCAGATGAGCCGATCGAAACCAAGCTCCAATTCAGACCGTGGCGGATGGGCTCGCGCCTTCCGGATGCTTACTGGAAGGAATTCACCATCTCGTGCCGCACTCGCCAGGGGGTTTGGTCCCAGCATTGCTCGGGTCTCATCTCCGTCCAGTATAAAAAGGCGGCCAATACCACTTTTACAGATGAGGAACTGGAAGCAAAGAACCGCCACCGCGCTGAGTATCACAGACTAGCTAACGCTGGATTCAAGCCAGATGACCCGCGACAGGTCTATGCGGCTATGGCCGAACTCGGTCTCCAATGGGGTCCTTCGTTCACGACACTCGTCCATATTAGCTCCGGGGACTACGAGGCCCACTGTATGCTGGAGGTTCCAGACACCAAGAAATACATGCCTGAGAACTTTGAATACCCTCATGTGATTCATCCGGCCTGCTTGGACGGATTCGTCCAGATGATGATCCCGGCCTCGACACCTACTGGAGTGCAATTAGACCGTGCCAAGATCCCCCGGTTCATCGAGAGTTTGTATATCTCCGCCAAGGTCCCTAATTCCCCCGGTACTCGGTTCTACGGCTACTCCAAGTCGAAGCCGTACGGGTTCAACGAGTCCATTGCCATGGTTGCGGCCTCGACCAGCGAGTGGGAAGAGCCGTTCATCGTGATCGAAGGCTGTCGAAATATCTCGTTAGAGACCATGACAGAGAGTCTGGCGGCCGAAACCATTACCAAGTCCCTGCGGAAGCTGGGTGCACATCCGACCTGGGATATCGATCTCGAGCATCTGCCGCTGGATCGCGCAGTCGAGTTGCTCGGGCGTTATGGGCAGGAGGTGCCAGACGCCGACTCTGAGGTGATCCGGATTCTTGAGCTGGCGTCTTTCATTCTTTGCAAGCGTGTTCTGCGGCAGTTTGGCCCAGAAGACAGTCAGACGTTTGCACCCCACCATCGCATTTTCTACAAGTATATGCAGCATCAATATGAACTAGCCACGCAGGGAAAGCTGAACTGCCAACGGAGCATCCCCAACGTGGATTGGCTCAACACGACCGACTCGTTTGACGAGGAAGTCCTCTCGCGAGCAGCGGCCTCCACCGTGGATGGAAAGCTCATGTGCTGCCTTGGGACTGACTACGACAAAATCCTTCGAGGAGAGCTAGAGCCACTGCAGCTCATGCGGGAGGGTGACTTGCTCACCCAGTACTACCGCAACGGAATTGGTGTCAACAAGTGGAATCCCATCATCGCCAAATATGTCCAGCTGCTGTCCCATAAGAAAGACCTCAAGATTCTCGAAGTGGGAGCGGGCACAGGAGGCACAACCTCGGTGGTCCTGGAGGCGCTGGGAAACCGTCACGATACCTCGATGCGTCTCCAGTCCTACACATTTACTGACATCAGCAGTGGTTTCTTTGAGAAGGCATCGGAGGAGTTCGCACCCTGGGCGCCGTTCCTGCAGTACAAAGTCCTCAATATCGAGAAGGACGCTGCGGCGCAGGGGATGCCCATGGGCCACTATGATCTGGTCATTGCCAACAACGTGCTGCATGCGACGTCTTCCATCAGTACCTGCTTGACGAACTGTAGGAATATGCTCAAACCGTAAGTACACCTTGTTCTCCGAATGTACTTCATCGCCGTCGGTGTCTAACTCCACCACAGAGGAGGAGTTCTGCTTCTCGGGGAGCTCACTTGCACATTGGCCCGGATCCCAATGATCTTCGGTACTCTATCAGGATGGTGGATGGGTATGCCTATTCCAGAATACGATGAACGTAACTGCAGAGATCGCTAATGACACTCCACAGGAGAAAATGACGGTCGCAAGTACGGGCCAAGACTGTCCGAAAACGAATGGGAAACAGCACTCAGACAAGCCGGATTCAGCGGGCTGGACATGTGTTTCCGGGACCACAAAATTGAAGAGTAATACTCCGTCTCCCTCATGCTTTCGTCCGCCGTTCCAGAGACACCAGCGCCAGGGCTTCCCAAGAATGCTGTGCTTGTTCATCCTGCTGAGCCCACCCCGTCCGTCACGGGACTCTGTTCCAAGCTAATTGAAGCGCTCGCCGGGAAAGGTACAAAGGCTGAACTAATCTCCATGGAGCAGCTTGACCAGCACGAGCTAGCAGGGAAGGCATGCATCTCGTTCTTGGAAGAAGACACTCCGCTGTTGTATCAGGCCAGCCGGAAAGAGTTTGAAGCCGTCAAACGCATGATCCTCCAGTCTGAATCCACATTATGGCTGACGCGGGGTGCGGCCATGGAAAGCTCTACACCCGAGGGGAATATCATTGCGGGTCTTGGTCGCACCATCAGAGGCGAGATCCCTCATATGCAGCTCACCACACTGGACCTGGATCCCGGCGTCGGTATCGATGATCCAGCCACGGTGCTGGCCATCAACAGTGTGCTGCAGTCAGGCGTGGAGGCAAAGAACGTCGAGCACCCTGACTGGGAATATGCTCTCCGAAATGGAACGATTCACACGGTCCGTCTGAACCCGGATGCGCCCGTCAACGAGATGCTTTCCTCCATCACCGAGACACCGGATGCAGTTCCTATGTCCTTCAAACAACATGGTCGGCCCCTGGCATTGGCTATTAAAAGCCCAGGCATGTTGGACACGTTCCAGTTTGTGAACGACGAGGAATACTCCCAGCCGTTGAAGCCCAGCCAGGTCGAGATTGCCGTCAAGGCCATGGGGATGAACTTCCACGATGTCATGATCGCCATGGGCCAGATTGCCGACACGGATCTGGGCGTCGAGTGCAGCGGTATAGTGGCGCGCGTGGGGGCCGGAGTCACCAAGTACAAAGTAGGAGATCGAGTGATCACCTTCCGACTGGGATGCTTCCGTAACTTCCTGCGCAACCCGGAGGAGATGTTCCAAAAGATCCCCGACGACATGTCCTTTGAAGACGCGGCATCCATCCCTTGTATCTACAGCACGGTCTACTACTCCCTATTTGACGTGGCCCATTTGCAGAAGGGCGAGAGTGTGCTGATTCATGCTGCGGCTGGAGGTCTTGGACAAGCGGCCATCATCCTCTGCCAGTATATTGGAGCCGAGATCTTCGTCACCGTGTCATCAGAGAAAAAGAAACGATTCCTCGTGAAGGAATACGGAATCGCAAAGGACCATATCTTCAACAGTCGTGACCTCAGCTTTGCCCAGGGTATCAAGCGAATGACTAACGGGAAAGGTGTGGACGTTGTTCTCAACTCTCTGGCCGGCGAGGCTCTTCGTCAGTCCTGGCTTGCCGTTGCGCCTTTTGGTCGGTTTATCGAGCTGGGCAAGAAGGATATCGTTGGCAATACCGGCATAGACATGGCACCGTTTATGAACAACATTCGTTTCTGCGGTGTGAACATGCTCAGCGTCTACCGCGACAATATCCCCCTGTTTGGCCGCATCATCGCGGACATGATGAGGATGGTATCCGAAGGCATCATCCGCCCTGTAAAACCTCTCAAGACCTTCAATCTCTCCCAGATCGAAGAAGTCTTCCGCACAATGCAGACGGGTAAACACATCGGGAAGATGGTCTTTCAGGCAAACGATGATGATCTTGTTCCGGTGAGTAGTAATGCCTAGAAAAAGATCTCAATCTATACTAACGAGCATCATCACAGGTTGTGCCTCAGAAGGCTCGCCCCGCTGAGCTCACGGCCGACGCAACATACTTGATCCCCGGTGGGCTCGGTGGACTGGAACGTTCTCTGGCCCAGCAGATAGCAGACCAGGGCGCCCGCAACCTCATCTTCACGTCTCGGTCCGGCGACAAGCGGCCGGAAGCCAAGAAGCTCCTAGCCAATCTGCGTGCTCAAGGCGTGCATGTCAAAGCCTATGCCTGCGACATCAGCCACGCAAGTCAACTGGACGCCGTGCTGAAGGAAGCTGCAGTCGAATTTCCCCCCATCCGAGGTGTTGTTACATGCGCGATGCACCTGCAGGATGTGTTCTTCGAGAACATGACCGTCGAAGACTACCATGCGGCAATCCGTCCGAAGGTGCAAGCCACACGCAACCTACACGATCTGCTCCCCAAGGACCTGGATTTCTTCATCTGTCTCTCGTCCGTGGGAGGCATTGTCGGCTCTCGGGGTCAGGGCAACTACAACGCCGGCAACACGTACCAGGACGCCATCTGCCACCATCGACGCGCGCTGGGTCTCAATGCCACGTCAATCAACCTGGGTGTCGTCCTTGGGGTCAGGATCACGGCCGAGCAAGGCGAAATTCTCTCATACCTCAAAACAGGTGCCATGACCGGTGTGCGTGAGCAGGAAGTGCTCGCCCTCATCGAAGCGGCCATAAACAATTCCATCCCTGCGCAGATTGTTGCGGGTCTGGCAACCGGAGATTTACTGAACCAAAACGGGCATAAGGAGCCGTACTGGTTCAGGAACGCGCGCTTCTCACACATGCGGATCTTTGACACCCAGGAGTTCACCGTCAGCTCCGAGGACGTGGACCAGGGCCTGCACGAGAGTCTGGCCGCCGCGCAGACGATGGGAGAGCCGTCGGATATTATTTGTCGCGCGCTCATGCAGAAACTGGCCAAAGCAATAATAATAGAGCTGGAGGATCTCGATGCCAGTTGACCAGCCAACAGCTACAGCATTGACAGTCTAGTTGCGGTGGAGGTTCGCGCATGGATATTAAAGGAAGCCAAGTCCGACATTAGTGTGTTTAATATTTTAAGTAATGATCCTCTGACTGCATTAGCCGCCAAAATCGCCACCAAGAGCACGCTGTTGAGCCCTACGGTGCAGATGGAGGAGGGGTGAATAGGCGATAGCAATAGTAGCGAACCAACGGATTTTTCTATGTCTTATCCGGTTCTCTTCCTAGTTGAGTAGCCTCCAAACGTTGTTCTGTATAGTTTGTTGTCAAATGTAGTATATAGATTTGAAATCCCTTATACAAAGTCCCCACCATATCCTAGATCGGTCGTGTAATTTTAGACTGGTCGTGGATTGGTTATGGGATACCTGTATATTCTACTTGATACTATGATAATTATCTATATAAATGTTATATATTATCTATTATATATACTCAGAATAGCCTCAATCAGGGGGATAGGGGTGCCTCCTGAGTTCAGACTGAAAAGTAGGATATATATATTTAACCAGTACAATCCAGGGTACCATCCTCTAAAATATAAAATTAACTCTAACTCTAGGTTTTCTTAGTAACCCTAATATTTTATGTTATAGATAGGTAGATCTATATATTCTCTATCTATATATTCAAGAATATATCCCTGTCTAGGCCCAGAATATGCTGGATAAGCTAGGGTATTAACCCATAGCCAAGGGGACTCGACATGGCTTGGAGACGGATTTGCGGATTGGGTCACCCAGTCTAGTCGTGATATATTAATTCCAGGGTTAACTGATAATACAATAGAGAATAAGACTGTGATATAACATAAAGATTTGAAGAATGCCGGCTTATCTTCAGAAGGACACAGTAGAGCTTGTATGATCGATTCCTTCTTGTAGTCACAAATTTACCGTAACCATGAGGGTAAAACCTTGCGCGGCAAGCGCAGCGGCAAGTTCCTTGGGCCTGGCAGCCGCAGCAAACCCGGGGTATTCCCTCACGAGCTCGGATTGGGAGATCTCATCCATGAGCGACCATAGGCCTTGGTTCACCTCAGTAGCCGCATCCAGAGCGACGTCTTCGGCATATAAGCGCAGAATGTCGGCGTGGAGCGAGACAACATTGAAGAGCTCCGGGGCGCGGTTCATGTACTCATTCCAGAGCTTTGCAGCTTCCCGGTTGACAAAGTAGATGTCTTCTTTCATCGATTGTGCCAACCAAGTCGGAGTCTGCTCAAAGGAATTGACCCAGGCGATCTCGGCCGCCGTGAAACTCGACGGGGGTTTCAGACTCCAGCCGCCGTTGAGACTGACCTTGCAGAAGACATGGCGCATATGACGATAGATGGAGCTACTTCTCTCGTTGTAGCTATCCGCTTCGGTGTACGTGAACATGCGGGCATTGAAGCCCCCGTGGGTAACCCCCAAACGAGACCAGTCCTTGCAGGTCCGAGGATCCGGGTTGGCGTCTATAATCCGCACTTGAAACCCACGGGTAGCGAGGAACTCTGGCGTGACAAGATTCATAAATCCCCGCACCAATAAGTACGACCGTCTCGTCGGCATTGGGATCGTTTTCGTTGTGGTGGAGTGCGCCGCGGGCCCAACCCTGAGCATAAAGCATCTCTCCTTCCTGGAGCGTCGACACCACCCAGGACGAATCTGATTGATTTTCTTGTTTGGGTACTGCGTGAATACCAGTCAAGCGATTCTTGAGCAGCTTTTCGACCTCAGGTATGTGCTTGGCGTCGCTCACCAGCAGAGCTTTTGGAGAGTCCTGATCCCGACCCAGCCTCTGATCCGGTAGCTCCTCGGTCACTTCACCCCCCTGGCATACCCAGATGTCTATTGCATCGAGACCGTTATTTGCGCCGCGAGTCCGGAATGGTCTTGACAGAACGAAACTTGAAAAGACTCATCGCCGAGCACAGACCGGAATTTCGGCACGTTGGCGCTGATCAGGAATTTCAAGTTAGGCTAGACAGTGGATTTGCCAGTTTACCATCCTCGTTGCGGCTGCTCAAGTATTAGAGGAGGATCGTGCGTATCGACATGCAACGCCTGCTCCAGCCTCTTGACTGGGATCTGCGCAGTGATGCTTACTCTCTAATTCCGCCGTGCTTAGTGAGGCGTACTAAGCAGTAAGCACACTATCTAAAGTCTGTCGATATTTTAGCTTTACCTTGGTATATTTCTATCTTTTCTATTACAGTATACAACAGAAGAAGTGCCCTCCCTGGAACTACTTCCGGGGGTGTTGGCTATAGTTTACCCCGACAATAGCCATCGAGACAACCGTTGTTGACCTCGTCGACGCCTGGGCAACGTGCACACCAGAGGCAACTGCAGTGGAGTGGAACGGGCAAAGGCTCAGCTATGCCGGTTTACGAGATGCATCCCTGCACGTCAGTCAAGCCCTGCTTTCAGTTGGAGCTGGACCTGGCGACAAGATCCCAATCTTCTCCCAGGTGTCCTTGGAGCTTCTGCCTGCTATTTTGGGCGTCCTCAGGGTTGGTGCTTGCTATGTGCCCATTGACATGGCAGCCTGGAGCAATGCAAGAATCGACGCCACGCTCAAGGACATCTCGCCGCGGGTGGGCATTGCAACCAGCCAGACAGACACCCAACGCGTACCAGTGATTGTCTTCTTCCAAGAACCATGGCTTCAATCGTCCTTTGATAACATGAATGATACATGTAGCCAGTTGGACGCCATCCGTCGAGGTCTTGATACGAATGCACTGGTGTATATCACTTTTACGTCTGGCACCACGGGAAAACCAAAGGGGGTGATGATCTATTATCAGGCTCTCTCCAAATTTGTGTCATTGACCGGCGGGGACTGTTTTAACACGGCTCCCGGGGAACGTGTGTTGCTGGCCTTTTCCATTTCGTTTGACGGTAAGCGGCATAAGTCCCTGCATGAGCCTACCCAGTGGTTTGGTAGCTGAAGATTAGCCAGCATGTGCGGCGACCATCTGGACAACAATCACCAGGGGTGGAGCCTTGGTTATGGCCTCGTGGTCAACATTCCCCGAATTGGCCACGACCTGCGATAATCTAATATTGACCCCGTCGATGCTTGCCACGTTGCATCCAGCTGGGCCTTTCGACAAGGCGCGCAGTCTCTATCTGGGTGCCGAGGCCCCCAACTTCGACATCGCGCGTCAATGGATTACCCCCACGCGAAAAGTGATCCATACTTACGGCCCCTCAGAGGCGACCATTGTTATCGCCTTTGGAAGAGTAACAGCAGACTCAGAGCCAGATCTAGGCGTGATTATCCCCGGAGTGCAGGTTGATCTCGTAGACGAGAACCTGAGAGAAAGCGATGTTGGCGAGATCTTGATATCGGGTCCCTGTTTGGCCGCGGGATACCTGAACAACCCCGAGCTTACAGATAAGAAGTTTATCAGCTGGAATGGGAAGCGCGCATACAGGACCGGTGACTTGGCTAGGAGGACGAAAACAGGACTATTATGGAATGGTCGGGCAGACCGCATGGTGAAGAATCGTGGATTCCTCATCAACCTGGAGACGGAGGTCGAAACTGGGATGCTCCGATTCAGCAACGTTCGGGCAGCGTCTGCTTTCATGTGGCGCAATAAACTAATGGGCTTCGTGCAACCGGCTACTGTCGACCTCGAGGGGCTACGTGAGTTTATGAGATACAACTTTGACCAGTTTGTGGTCCCGGATGAGTTCGTGGCGCTGGACCAATTCCCTCTCACAGCGCACGGGAAGGTGGATCGGGTCGCGCTGAACGGTCAATTGGAAGATAGAATGGCGCAAGAGGACGCAGATTTGGACACCTTTGTATGCAGCTCGTCCTATGGTGCGCTGCGGTGGGCGTTCGCCAAGTGCCTTCACGTCCCCTTCCAAAATCTCACCAGGGCATCGTCTTTCAGTCGACTGGGAGGTCACTCGCTGGCGGCTATACTCGCGTCCAAGGCTCTGATGCAGCAGGGTTATGCTACCAGCGTTCTCAAAATCATTCGCGAAGACACCATCGACCACCTGGAAGCAAAGCTCACGAAGATCCACGCACAGCTCAAGCTAGTCGAGTGCAATTGTAGTGGTAATGGCATCGCACCATTGTCAGATGCAGCACCAGCTACCGACATGCACAGACTAATGTTGGCGCAGTCTGCGCAGAACCCCATGTCAAATGCTCTCGTCGTCAGTGGCAGGTTTACAGGGACGCAGGATGCCGTTCCAACGCCCCGCGAACTGCAAGTTGCGTGGGCCACGACTCTCGCGGCGCACAGCGTGTTCAAGACGCGATACGACCTGCAAACATGGACACTGCACGACTTGGACCACGTGAACCTGGATTGGCAGGAGGTTATCGTCGAAGCCGACGACTTCGACAACACCCTCCTGTCCATCGAGGAGCAGGTCTGGGCTCACCACCGGAATCTGCAGAGTGTCCGTCTAGACGTCCCATACTCCGACATGACCTGCGTCTACGCGCCGGGACCCAACAGCAGCTGCAAAGCCATCGGCTTCGTCTGGCGTCTACACCACGTCCTCATGGATATCTTTTCCTTCATCAATCTCACGTCCGACCTGGAGCAAGCCCTCACCAAAGGAGTAGTGACTCCGGGCCCCCGCATCGCCGACTACGCTCGGTTCATGGCAAAATACAAGACGGAAAATCTCGACGCTGCCGGAAGGGCATGATGGAGCCGCTGTGTAAACAGTCAATGTTCGACATCCAACCACCGCAAATACCCGCTCCTTTGAATAGCGACGCCTGGCACAGGATGTCATATACGACCCGGGAAACCGTAGCCTCCGTAGAAGCATCAGTGAACGGGTAAAACATATCCAGCGCGACCTTGATCTTCGCCGCATGGGCCCTCGTCCTAGCAAACTACACCGGCCATCCTACTGCCTCATTCTTCCTCAGCCGCTCAGGTCGCATGGTCCCCTGGCCCGCAGCACCGTCTCTCGTCGCAGCCATGAACTCCCGCGTTCCGTTCACAACAACTCTGCCCACCACCTCAACAGTGCAACAATGGTTGGGCGAGATGCACAGCACACTCCACCGGGTCGCGGAGCTGGAGAATCTCTGCCAGTCGCTCGACCGCTCGATCTACCCGGAGCCGTATTTTAACACCGGCGTGCAGGCGTTCCTGTATATGCCGTCGGGGCCGCGCAGCTGGGAAGTACATCATCGGATGACAGCGCAGGCGGAGTCCATTGGCATGGTTTGGAGGGTGCAGCCGGCGGAGACGGGGACGGGGGAGATTCAAGGTGAGCTAGAGATTGATACAAGGGTGGTGGATTTGGGGTGGGCTGAGGAGGTGGGTGCTTTTGCGGTGGGGATGTTGGAGAGGTTGGCGGGTGCGGAGGGGAGTATGAGGCTGGGACATTTGATGAGTGGCAGTAGTTAGCCAGTATGTGAGTTCATATTGATTCATTAAGTTCGATGTATTTCATCCCGTAACTGTCATTCGCTTTGAAGCCTTTACCCGCCAAATCTATTTGACGGATACGGATACGGATATTCTTGGCTACTGTGCACCTCTATTGCTGTGAAATGGCTTGACGTAGATGTACAAAGCAAGACTGCGCAAAACTGGCTTGACCCGAAACACGACAACTCGAACGAAGCTACAGGAGCTAAGATATATGATATACCCTTTGTCCCAAACACCTCGTCGCAGCGGGCAGACAAGGACGCCATCCACCCTAGAGCAAGCTCTTCACCTTCTCCTCTCTTCCTCTCCTCCTCCACCTCCCTCCTCACCTCACCCATAGACTTGACCTGCTCCCCATCCTCCCCAAAATTCCCCTTATCCAACCACCGCCCCACCATGACCTTATTACCCTTCCACTCGTCATCCAACATACTCAGCACATCCGAATCCCGCGGCGTGCCCCACCGACTCACATTATCCTTGCGTATCGTCCCCTCAAATACATACCATAAGCGCTCCGTATGCGCGCGGGATTGGACATTCATCGCATGCGACTTGAGCCACACGCGCGCGCACGTGAAATCCTGGTGTTCGAAGAGATGCACCAATTGCAGGTAATGCGCTTCGGTGGAGGCATAAGTGCGCTGGAGTTCTGGCGCGAAGACGAAATCGTCGAGTTGGATGGTGCGGCTGGGTGGGTGGGTTCTGTACCCTAGGATTCCGAGGACAGCGGTGTGGGAATCTGAGGCCGTTGTGGGCGTTAGGGTGGGAGGGAAGGGCGGGTTCAGGACGTGGGGATTTGCGCGCAGGGCGAGGAAGGTTAGCGACGGGTTTTTGGAGAGTGTGCTGGCGATGTGGGTGGCGAGGTCGGATTCCGTTTGGATGTAGTGGAAGTTGGCGATGTAGTCAATTATCGGGTTGTTTTTGGGGAAGTTGAGGCCGCGGAAGAGCGAGGGGATGTGTTGCGGGGTGATGGGTTCAAGGGTTACGGCTGGGCCTTTGAGGGGGAAGGGGGAGAGGGAAGAGGCGGCTGGGTTGGAAAGGTGGTTAGTGCTTGATGGTAGATGGGATGTGCGGTCTTACTTTCTAGGGCTGATGCTGGGTCTGGAATTGTGTGATGGGTGAGGAGGATGGATGGCAATGCTATCTTGGAGAGTTTGTGTCTGCTGGAGAATTGGGCCTCCTGTCTTGTATGGGTTGAGTAGAAAGGAATGCCCCGAACAGATCGGCACTCGTAAGCTAGTGGCATAGCTTACGGCTTATGGCTTGCAGATACACTAAATACAGTAAGACAACTTAGCTTATGCCATGGCGCTGGTCTGTATGGATCCAGTAAGCTCAACACTAAGCTCTCAACTAAGCAGAAGCAATAAGCCACTAGCGCTGTAATGGAGACTTGAGTGTCCGACATGGCAGTCTAGCCAGTAAAGATAGTTACAGTAGCAATATCCTCAATATGCAGTATCCATATCGCCTGATTGAACACCACATCATCCCTCCCATCCTATCCCATCTTACACACCTGACCCTTACCCCACCGCCGGAATCCTGATTCAATCGACCAACCCTCACAATGTACGCCGACCGTATGCTCACCCAATGGCTGCAAGACCACAAGCCCCGCGCAACAAGCATGAAACACCAACCAGCCTTCTACCGCAACCTTGAACAAGCCATGGACCTCGCCCGCGCCGACCACAGCCTCTTCGTCGCCAAGCCCCGCTGGGACGACTCCGTCCTCGACTTCACCTCCAGCGACTTCCTCTCCTTCAACCGCACCGGCCGCATCCGCGAAGCATTCCAGGGCGAGCTAAGCCAGTACGAGGACTTCCGGCTCAGTGCCTCGGGTTCCCGCGTCCAGTACGGCAACTACGATTACCTCATCCAGACGGAGAAGGAGATTGCGGCGTTCCACGGCGCCGAGACAGCATATATCGCGCATTCCGGGTACATGGCCAATGCGGGGACTGTGGCCGCTGTGACGCTGCCTGGGGATGCGATTGTTTACGATGAGGCGGTCCATGCGAGTACGCATGAGGGGATGAAGGTTTCGCTGGCCCAGCACCGGTTGGCGTTTCGGCATAATGATCCGGATTCGCTAAGGGAGCTTCTTGGGGAGGTGAAGGGGTATCCGGGGTTTGCGGAGGGCCGCTTTTCGATTCTCATTGCGATTGAGTCAGTTTATAGTATGGATGGGGATATCTGTCCGCTCGAGGAGATGTTGCAGATGGTCAAGGACCTATTTCCGCTTGGGAATGCACAGTTCATCATCGATGAGGCTCATAGTAATGGGGTGATGGGGCCGAGGGGGGCAGGGCTGGTTAATATGTTGGGGCTGGAGAAGGAGATTGCGATTCGCATCCATGTGTGCAGTAAAGCGTTGGGATCGACTGGAGGTCAGTGAGACGCATGAGACGAGACTGCGCTAAGTTCAGTACAGGTGTGATACTCTGCAACAAGACGATTCGAAATCGGCTGATCAGCAATGCCCGGTTTGCCATCTACAGCGGCGCACCGTCGTTCCCCATGGTGGCGTCCATGCGCGCGGGGTACCGCTTGCTGGAGAATAACGAGGCCGAAGAGGTATCTCTTCCCTTCCTGGATGAGACAATGTCTAGCTCACAAGCTCCAGCCAATACAAAAAATCCAGAGCAGTGTCCGGCACTTTCTCGAAACCATCACCGCCCATCCTGTATGGGATGAAGCCGTGGACCAGGGAATCCTCAACATTCCCCTCGCCGAGGACTACGAGAGCATCAAGCACCTCACTCACATCGTGCCGGTACTGACTCGTCCAAAACACGAGCTGTACCTCTTCTTCCATCTGATGATCAACAATATCAACGCCTATAACATTTCCTTCCCGGTAGTACCCAAAGGGAAAAGTCGGGTGCGCCTGGTCTTCCACGCCCATAATGATCTGGATCAAGCGGAGACGTTGGCAAATGCCATTTGCGAGTGGGCTCAGGAAATGTTGGTGATTGAGGACGGCCAGACGGACAATGTCTTGCCGAGTGCGGCACGCCGGGTGTATGCCATGAATACTTGAGACGTAGCTAGTCAAGAGGCTTTGTTTGCAAAATAGCGTCCCCAGTTGGACAGGAGTAAGATTATATTCAGCATGGTAGGCTAATACCTACTGGTTGCCTCCGAGTTTGTTAGCATAAGACCTACACTTACTGTAACACAGTAAGCTAGATGACTGAAGGCAGCCATTCACCGTAAACCTGCTGGGTCTGGTCTTTCTGATACAGTGTCGATGCTTTCGATGACAGACCTAGGCTGAGGGGGCACCGTGCAGGGCTAAGATTTTGTAGACATATATATTTCCGATTCCTATGCTTTCACGAAACGCTCCATCTGGAGCTCAGAAAAAAAGGCGATCAACTTTGCGCATTGCCATATTCATGTGCGATGAGCTGGCCGGGAACCCCAAGAAGGAACACGGAAGCATCGGCAATTTCTACAGAAAGTTCCTGGAGGCCGGGGCGCAGAAGCTCGAGGAAAGTGGTCTCCACAAGAGACCCAATATTAAATATTTCTTCTACGACGTAGTAATCAAGCACGAATACCCATGCATCGGGGAAATCGACGCGGTATTCATGACAGGTAGCCGTGAGTGACGCCAACCCGGAGAATCAACCCTCTATCTTGCCCACTTCCTGGTCAGATACTGCAGCTAATATCTCTCTTCTTTCGTTAGGGCCATGATTCTTTCACATCAGGCTCGAACAATTGGATCTTGAAGCTCGTTGACTTCACCAAATCGCTGCTGCACGAGCAGTCGCGGGTCCGAATCATGGCCGTCTGTTTCGGGCACCAAATTGTCGGACGCGCATATGGAGAAACGGCTGAACGGAACCCTTTGGGCTGGGAAGTCTCTGTTCCTTCAGTCACACTATCAGAGACGGGTAAGAGAGTCTTTGGCTGCGATTCCCTGGTATGTTTGTTCACTCTGTGGCTGGCGTGTTGGACAGTGTTAACGTGGATCTAATGGCTGGCAGGCGCTTCATCAGATGCATCGCGACGTCGTCCGGCGGTATCCAGCGTCCGTCAAGAAGCTAGGCCATTCCGACCGGTGCGAGGTGCAGGGGATCTACGTCACGAACCGGGTCATGACTCTGCAGGGACATCCGGAGTACGATGCCGCGATTGCCTGCGAGTTGCTGGAGCGGAGGCGCGGATCTGTGCTAGATGAAGCCACATACCCAGATGGGATAGATCGAGCTCATCATCCGCATGATGGGGTGCTTGTTGGGACTGCCTTTTTGTGGTTTCTGATAAAAGAATGAAGGACGAAGCAGGAGTGTGGGTGTTGACATTTGTGTGAAGCGGTGGTATTATGGTATTTGGGAGTTTTGGCTTACAGTAAACTATACCGCTCCGGTACAGTTAGTAATGATACCTTACCAGGTACCACCAGAGATATATATCTCTGCAAGGCCAGACATCCTCTCTTGTTATTTTTCAAGTCACGTTCAAAGTGTTCTTCTAGGCTTCACTGGGTATCTGTATATGATGCAATTCTTTCCAACATGTCTAGACCTGAACCAGACACTGCGACTACATTAATCGCGACCGATCGCACTCCCCTCCTGCCAGCCATAGCAGAGGACATTCCTCCACCATCTTCCATCGCCAATGGCCACGGTCATTTAAGGAAAGTTGCAGACAATTTCCCATTCACCGTCTGGGCCATTGCGACCATTGAGTTCTCCGAGCGATTCGCCTATTTTGGGGTCCTGGGACCCATGCAGAATTAAATCCAAAACCCACGAGATGACCCTATCCGCTCTGGTGGAATCGGTTTGTCATGCTTACCCAGCCAGTGCGACATAATCTGACGCGAATACCAAGGACTCGGACAGGCTCATGCTACTTTGGTCAACCAAGGCTTCATGATCTGGTGTTTCCTGACGCCTGTATTGGGTGCAGTTGTCGCCGAGCAGTATCTCGGCCGGGTGAAAACCATCCTGTACTCTGCTGCTATCTACGGCGGCGGATTGGCGATTTTGGTCCTATCCTCTCTACCTGCCGTTCAAGAAACGGTCATTTCATTGCCAGGATTGCTTCTGTCTCTATTTCTGATAGGCGTCGGCACTGGTGGGATCAAGGCGAATGTTAGCCCGTTGCTTGCTGAGCAGTGCACGTCTCCTGGTCAAGTTATCCGTCTGCTCAAATCGGGTGAAACAGTCATCATTGATAGAGAGTTGACGGTTCAAAGGTCCGTCTCTAGACTTCCTTCTTATGCAAAGTCTGACAATCGTCAGGGTGTTTGCAACTTATTTTCTCTTTATCAACGCCGGCTGTCTTGCTGCTCTGGCTTCAGTCGAAATCGAACAATCCTACGGGTTCTCGGCAGCATTCGCCATCCCGATGACCGTCTTCATCATTGGCTTCATAGCTCTCATGACCAGCAAAGACCAGTATAACAGTAGTGCGCCGGATGGATCGATTATACCGAGCGTCCTCCACGCTCTCGGGATCACAATCAAACATAAAGGTAACCTCAACTGCACCCGACCTGCCCTAGAACCAGTCGAAAGCCGATACCAAGAATATCCCTGGACCAACTCCTTCATTGACGACCTCCAAACAGCCCTCAGCGCAAGCAAGGTCTTCCTCCTCTACCCGTTCTACTGGGCCGCCTTCTCCCAGCTCTTAACGAACTTCATTTCCCAAGCCGCGACAATGCAAACCCACGGCATCCCCAACGACATCCTCCCCTACATGAACCCCATCACAACACTCTTCCTACTCCCCTTACTCGACCGCCTCATCTTTCCCACAGTCCGCAACCTCGGGTACCCCGTCCACCATTTCCCCCGCATCACAGCGGGGTTCATGGTCTGCGCACTAGCCATGCTCTACGCCGCTTTCTTCCAGCGGACTATCTACGTCTCCCCGCCATGTTACGACCATCCACGGTCGCCCACCTGCATGCACGGACAGGTCCCCAACGACGTCTCCGTGCTCCTGCAGGTGCCCGCGTATATCCTCGTCGCTTCATCAGAGTGTCTTGCGTCGGTGGCAGGCCTGGAATACGCGTATGCCAACGCGCCCAAGTCAATGAGGTCGCTGATCATGGCGCTGTATTTGTCCACCGTCTCGGTGGGGACCTTCCTTGCTATGGCCGTCTTGCCGCTGACCGTTGATCCTAAGATAACGTGGATGTACATTGTTCTTGCAATGGCGGTTTTCGGTGCCGGGGCAGCGCTCTGGAGTGTGCCGGTTCAGCGGAAGGAGGCTGGCTAGCTAGCTAAGCCAGCTGGTGGAGGGGAGAAGAAGTCCATACGTCCCAGATAAGGTAACTTGAGACGTCATTCCGTTTGTCTGAGCGTCTTTTTTCTGGTCCAGAGATAGATAGATGGATAGAAGCTTTCAGCATAATATTTAAAGAAGTCAAAACATGTAGCCATCATGGTGGACAGGGCCGTTTTGTTTCCACGTTCAGAAGTTATAAGCGAAGGTATTTGGGTCATATATTCGGCGAGAGTAGATGTTTCTCAATTCAGACCGTCTGCTCTACCTTCATGAAAGAAACATGATGTTGAGCTACTGCCTTTGCAGTGGGTAGTCTAGTTAGTAACATTCGTCTATCGGTTAGGCTCCTTAATGGTAGCTTCTGATTTCTATCCCGCTGGAAAGCTCGTCGTGGAGACCGGGGACTGGAGACTTCCGCCGACCCTGTCATTACCCCAAAATGAGATGCTTCAGTCTATTGCTTTCCCGTTATTGACTCTGATCCCTAGTCAAGGTATCCAGCGCAGTAAATAGTAACCCGAAAGCCAGCCAAGGAGGAGGCCGTGGGCCGCGATAGATGTTTACCGGCCTGAGCTTTGCAAGCAGTCTTGTTATTTGGTGAGATCTTGACTACGGAGAGAGGAACAAGGAATGGTCAGCACAGCAGAGAGAACGACGTGGTGATGGCATCTTGGCTGCGTGGATTTCGATAAGCTGATTCATTGCTCCGGCCACGTAAATGATCATCTAAAACATAGACTATCCCTATTAGGAAACCAGATACAAGAATATGATTGGTTTCGCATGTTCTCGGTTCTTGCTCCACTCGAGAAACGTGGTATGTCCGTATCGTGGAAGATTTCATTGCACGCAGGCAGCACGAGGTCCGTTCGGGTCAGAACTAAAAGCCAAGCATGTTGTGTCCCCTTCTCCTAATGAAATTGTCATGTCTCTAAGCGACAGAGAGCACTGCCTGGGGTAGAAATAATTCAGCCATTGCTAGGCATTCCGAATGACGGGTATGAATAACTGGGCGTTGCAGAATTAGGCAATGATTGCGAGTTCTACATCATTGTCCACTCGCTGGCCATGCTTCCAAGGTCAAAATCGATTGCCCAAGACATTAGATCGGGATTCTCGTAGTCATCCAGATTAAAGGTACCAATCTCTCTATCCCCATCTCCAGCACTGTCTCCACCAGTGAGGGAAGCGTCAAGATCAGTGGTCGGAGTCGGCATCGAGTTCATTACGTCAACCCTTGTCGCAACATCAGCAATTGTCCGAGCCTGAAACTTTGACGTCGCAAGCTTGTCCAAAATCCTGTCCAATTTCTCCGTGATGGCCTTTGCCGCCTGCAAGCAGAAGGCTTGATTTCTTTCCCGCGAACTGGCCACCCTTTCGAGTTGCGACGTAAGGACGACAACATTGCGAATGACGGATGATGTTTTTATGCCAGGCGGAAGGATACTTGACGGATCTTGCGTATTGTTCTCTAGTGTAGTTAGGAGGACTGCCGCAGACGGCAAGCCGCAGGCCAGAAGCTTCACCCTGTCAGCTATGACAAACAGATGGTCGGTACAGGGGTAGAGCAGCACATACGATTTCAGGTAGATCATGCAAAGTAAAGGCGCCCTTTCTGGGAGTATTTCCCATCTGAACCACTGTCTCCAGAATGTTTGCCGATACGTCCAGCAGCTCGGGAAGCGGAGTTGAGCTATTCTCCCCAAGAAGGTGGTATATCTGGAAATGAATTTGGAGATAGGCTAGATGAACCTTCGCGTGCATGTAACAAGTGCTCAAGGGCATGTCGGATTCCCAGCAGTCCTGAGTATATCTTAGATGTGGAAGCAGGTTATCCCACGTCTGACGACATCGAGAAGACAATTCTCTGAAACAACCTTAGTGCTGTTCAACCCCTGTCCGAATGATTGTACACACCTCAGCTGGGCAGGGTCAGCGGCCTGTGATGCTTGAAATTTATATTCCACAATTCCCTCCCGAAACTGACTCAGAATATATCGCAATCGAGCCCAGGTTGCTGCTCTAAGCTTCCCATCTGTGTTCCAGCCATCTTCGGTGAGTCGACCTTTTGCATCCTCCAGTTCCTGGGGAGTTTGGGCAAAAAGTTCGTCATCTGACAAATCAAGGGGGAGCTTGACGTCCACATATCGAGAGGTAATGCGAGGAGGTAGATTGAATATCAGGCCAAACATCTTCTCCAGGTAATATTCAGTCACAAAGCACCTTCTCCGGCACTCTGCAAGAAAAAACGGGGTTCTCTCAGAGGAATATGTCGATTCCCTGTTCAAGCCCAGAGCCAATAAATCAGTCGAGAGATCGCCCACCAGACGCCACACGCCGAGGCCTGCAATCAATCAGTATCCACCCATTCACGATATGTATAAAAGTGGCCCACTCGTATCTCCTTCAAGAAATGACCTGAGCTGTCCATTCTCATTCGCCAACCATATAATGACGTCGTTTGACAGGGGTGCGAGGTCTCGAGCTAGTCGTAAGATTACCGTGCTATACCAGACCATGTCTGGGACGAATGCGGCATCCTTACCCTCATCGCAATCAATGAAAAAAGCCGAAGCACGGGCAGCCATAGTATACAAAAGACCGAGAGTCTCGACTCGAAGATTCGGACCAGAGAACAAGGCTAAGAAACCATGCAGGTCCAAGGATGCGGTGATGATAACCTCTGTAGAGGAAGAAAGCAGTATAGATTCTGATAACCGCGAAATATCGCCCAACTCAACTCGATCTCCCGTTTCTTCAAGGACATAGCCCGACGATACTAGATCTGTACGGAGCGCACTGAGAAGGTGCAGAACGACTGGTTTCGGTACAAGTGAGTTATGCTTAGCAGAGTAGTACTGATGGAGGCACTTTTCAATGACAGGAAGGTATCTTAACTGAGACACAATCTCCTTCATGGTGGCTAGATGGGCCTCATAGGTCTTGCTGTCATGCGAGCCCGGCAAGGGAGTGGCTGGCAAGTTCCCACTGTCAGAGACGGTCGACATAAAAGGCCATGTGTGGAATTTGGGCGGTCCAGCCGCAGAGCGTCTGGGATATATTGCACTGGAACTGCTCCACGATGGTGCAGCAATGGTTGGTTGGGATGGCGTAGGCACGGCCAGTCTTCGTGCACTTGCACTTCGAATTTTAGTCAGAGGGGCAGGATGGTAGTAGCAGCGAGAGTCGAAGCCACGACGCCGGCAGGAGGCACAGACTGGTTTGCCGTGATCGCATCGAGTTTTCCTCTCTCGGCAAGGTTCACATGAGGCGAGGGTTCGATTGCGCCTGGTTGTGGGTGCTGACATGCTCAATGACCTGTTTGGAATGAACTCAGTGCTCCTTCGTTCGCTTTCCAGGTCCACTGGATACGATTCGGTATTATGCGGACTCAGTATCCCGGTTCTTGTCTCTTTTCCTGGTTTCTTGGAGAGATTGCGCCATGAGGAACACTTGCCCAGCTGCAGGTGAGAGTGCGGTCTCGCTATCAGAGGCTCGTCAGCTGACTCTTATTCCGATACAAGACCGGTACTAAGCTATGTATCGGACCTGTACTGGGATTGTCAAGCTGTTATCAACAATACCGGACCTGCTACTATCCTAGTAGTAATACCCCTGCAATTTCGGGGTTCCTCCAAAGATCCCAAGAAGCCGAGTTAGATAGATGAGATTATAGAGGTCTCCGACCTTCAAGATACCGCAGTGCACTAGCTAGTATTCCCCAACAGAGCGGGACAGTGGGGAGCAGCGCCATTCTCTGAGAACTCAGATCGCGCCGACCAGTGCCGGGAATTTGCAACTACTGGCCATGGTCTTTGGCTTGCTGTTAAGTGTACGGATACCATGCCCGGAGAAGCTCCGACGGACATCGTGGGGGCACTTGCACTTGGAGATACGTCGTCGTCCTATGTGTCCCCTGTATCCGAGCCGGAGCTTCACGTGCGATTACTAATTACGGATCGAACAATACGCTGGCAATAATAGTGGCAGACGCCTCTTGGACCATGCCTGTGATCTTCCCTGCAAGGCTGGAGTCTCATTGCTGCGCGTAGGTTGCTATGCAGGTGGCGACGGCAAGTTGCTCCGATACTATGAGTTCCCAGGGCTTGAAAATATTCCAATCTACCAAGTGCTTGCTTAACGGTTAGATGAGATGGATAAAGAAGAGAGATGATATTTATCCTCTTCGTGGAAATGACACCATCCTTGCTGTACTTGTTTCGCTTTCCAGCGGTAGTGTGACTATTAGTAAACGCCGCCACGCCTCGGCCTGAAGTCGTTCTAGTGCTCCCACAGCCCCAGCAAACCATCAGCAGCCTGCTTGCCTAGCTTTTTGAGCGTTCCCATGCTCAGCATTTCTAGCACACTGATATCTAGCCCAAACATCTGCTTCCACCAGGCCTGCATCTCTACCGCCACCATCGAGTCCAGGCCGAGTTGCGCAAGCGGCAGAGATACATCAATCTTATCATCCGGAGACCGCAACACCAAGCCCAGGAGCTTCTTGCCAATCTCCTGCGCTAACAAGGCAACTGACTGGGGTGTGTTAAGCATTTCTGGGCTGGCCTTGGCTGCGCTCAGGAATTGTCGCAAACCGTCGCTGGAGGAAGTCGCATTGCCTTGGCTGCGAATGTTGCGAAAGACCGACATACGAACGTCTTTGCGTAACCTGGCGCTGCTGTCAGGACTGCTGAGGGGGATTACTGGTGCAATGCCCACGAGAGTAGTGTTTGGGTCGACGAGGCTCGGCTTTGGCGGTTCATCCTCTGTGACCTTAGTTGTTGCCGAGAGCATTGCGGTCCCCAACACCTCCAGTAACTCTGATTCCTGCACAGGCCGCCACCCTGCCCCTTTCATCTTGTTTAGCAGTTCATTTTGCTCGACCAGGTAGCCCGATCTCTCCACGGCACCAATGTTCAGCGAGCGACGTACAAGGGAGCCCCTTGCTTGTCCGGAACTTCACAAATGCGTCGAGGAAAGTGTTTGCACTGGCATAACCAGCCTGTCCATGCTGACCCACGATTCCGGAGAGTGAGCTAAATAAGATGAAAAAGTCGAGGTTCTGCAACTGCATCTCGTTATGTAGGTTCCATGTTCCTTTCACCTTGGGCGCCGTCGTTTCGTTCCAGTCGTCGATGGCCATCTTCTGCCAGGCTTGGTCATGAAGCACCATTGTCATCTGGCATACCCCTTTGAGGGGCCGAGGGGACTCTGCAACTGCCCGCGCTACGTCTGCCGCGTTAGTGACACTTCCGCGTACGAGATGCACTTCACAGCCCATGCTCTGGATCTCAGTCACGAAGAGCTTGTGTCTGTCGGTTGTCCCAGCGCTGCGCGAGAGAGAGGTGAGGTGCCTCGCTCCGTGTTGGACCATCCACACCGCTACAGACCGCCCCAAGCCTCCAGTTCCACCCACGAGCAGATATGAAGCCGAGCTGTCAAGCACGGCCGTAGAAGACATTTTGACAGCCTGAATCTGTCCAAGCTGAAGTTCCGCCGATGCCGGGTCGCGGAATTGAAGCACAATTTTCCCAATGTGGCTGCCCTGCTGCATGTGCTGCAACGATTCTTGGATTTCGGAGCAAGGGAAAACCTTTTCGATCGGGATGGCTCGAATATAGCCACCGCGGAAGAAGTCCATCATGGAACGGAGTAGTCTTGCTGTCATGTTAGCTATGGACCTCATGGCCGTAACGGCCGGCACTCACGGGCTGATCATCTCGGGTCGCTCCTTGCACATCTGGTCAATGTCTACACAACGGTAGCTACGATTGGCAAGGAACAATTCCATATCAAGCTTGCCTCGGCCGAGAAGATCACGCTTGCCAATCTCTACCAAAGTCCCCCATTTCGCAACGCAGCGCCAAGTTGCATGAAGCAACTCACCCGAGAGTGAGTTGAGCGCCAGATCAATACCTCTACCGTTAGTTTGTCTTAGCAGATCTTCTTGGAAGCTCACCCTCCGCGAGTTGAATATGTGATGTCTCGAGATGCCAAATTCCTGTACAAGGAAGCCAATCTTTCTCCCACAGCTGACCGTTGTGAAAATTTCGGCGCCAATCATCCGAGCTACTTGGATTGCAGCTAGGCCCACGCCACCACATCCGCTATGGATGAGAACAGACTGACAGCAGAATCAGAACCCCTACTTTGCTCAGACAGGATTCCGACATACCTGGCCTCGCCGAAGTAACCCGACGTTGATGAGCGAGTAAATGGTCGTAGCAAAGACCAGCGGCATGGAAGCTCCGTTGATGAAGTCGAGCTCATCAGGGAGCCTTTCGCAAAGCTTCTCGGTGGTCGTGACAGTCGACGCAAAGACATCAAATCCTACGAGGGCTACTCTGTCCCCAATGCTGAGCTTTCCTGCCTTCGGGCCAACGCGACGCACAATCCCCGTGCCCTCGTAGCCAAAGGTAGGCGGGGTGACGTCGAGGATACCCATCGCCACCAGAACATCCTGCTGGTGTTGTCAGTATGTCTGCCACTTTAGTATGATAGGAAGTGAGTTATTTACGCGGAAGTTGAGGCCGGCGGCGTGGATCTCGACGTGAACCTCATCGTCCTGGAGTGCTTCCCCGGCCACAGTCGCACCTTCCCAATGCAGCGTGTCAAGCCGCCCCGGCTGACTAATCGTCAGCCGCGCCTCACTGGTCACCTGACCAGCCTCCCCGCGGCTTGTGGAGGAGACGGGGAAGAATCGATGCACTCGCGTCACCCCATTCTCAATAATGTATTCGAAATCGGGCTCAATCTCTCCATCGTTAACTCTTTCGGAGAGACTTTGAAATACGCTGGCAACAGTTTGACACCCTCGTGGGCTCTCCATGTCATCTGCCTCACAAGTCGCAAAAGCAATGCTCAGCTCGGAGCGGATACACCGAGCCAGACCGTGTATTTGCGCGAAGTGTGGGTCTGCACATTGACTCCGCGATGGCTGCGTGACCTATAAAATTCCAGAGTTAGCGATATTGTTGATGAAAGCTCTTAGCTGCTCAAGCTTCGTGGCATCCAGCTGCTCCAGGAACGATGTCTGCCCGTCAAGGAAGGCGATTATGTCTTGCCCCGGTGGGGGAATATCTGCAAGGCTGCAATAAGAAATCTCATACCCTCGTGAGAGTAATTCGTCAATAACGGGATGGGATTCGGAGGAAACAGTTGACGATTCGGAAAGAACAGTGGCTTTCCTCGCCGGGAGGTGGTCACGTCGGGATCTCCCTACAATAACATGACAGATGTGTCTTGGCCCGTCGGAATTGAGACCAAGCTCGCCAGTGATCTCGAAGCCTGCTGTGGCTAACTTTGTTTGCCAGGTTTCCATATTGACGTACGGCTCGGTAGATCGGCCGTCATCGACCCCATTATCCCAGCTGGGAAGAAGCCCAAGGACATACTTGGACCACGAGAGACCGGGCCGTAAGGACTGCAGCAGAAGCCGTCCTGATAGGGTGAGAAGCTGACGAGCTTGTATGAGGGACTCTGAAAGCTTAGGAGTACTGTGCAGCACTCCTGCCGCAATGATAAGATCAAATTTCCTCTCATCGAAGCCCTGGGATTCGGCTTGAGTTCCAATGTCAAATACGTGAAAACTCATATTGGGGAAGCCTTGGAAACGCGCCTTGAGGACTTCAACCATGCCTGGAGCTGGATCGGAGAAAGCGTACTGCGAGAAAAGCACCTGACCGTCAGGCCGTGTCAGTGTCTCAACAATGCCAGCTGTGGCCGAGCCAACGCCTGCGCCCAACTCCAGAACCCGAGTTAGGCTTCTGGAGGCCAAGGCGATTGAAGAATGCAGATCCTTCAACTTCATTCAGGAAGCGAAGGAATTTCCCAAGCGTGTTTTCGTATCCAAAACTTCAAAGGCCTTTTTACGACCAGAAAGGATAGCAGGTGCATCGTCTGTGACTAGGGTGATCGCTTTGGCAATGTGCGCAACGGGTGTTGACCCCAGTGATCTTGCGAGGGCTTCAATGCGAGTGTTCAATGTAGCATCACACAGTTCTTCTGAATAACAAGGGACCTCGTCGAGCCATGTCTTGTATCGTCGAAGTTCTGGAATGACATCTAGACCGGTCGTCGATCTTCGAGATGCATCAATTGAGTAACTGACAAGCTCATCCAACCTTGCCGCGTGATCTTCGTCTATTCGCGTCGGCTTCACAAGAGTACCGAGAGCTGCGGTCTCAAAATGTGGCACCCACTCACTTCGGGCGGTGATAGGCGCGTGTTCCTCCTTGACACCATTTGTAAAAGATGTCAGACGAACTTTCGAGAGCTCGATGATGGTCTCACCACTAGCTGAAACCGTGCCTGTTCCACAAACCGCGCTACCGGTCGGCACAGCTGTCGCTGACACCAAAAGGTTGTTGACAGAGCAGCGGCGGAGAATCAACGAGCCCACACTTGCAGGAACGACTTGATGGTAGTCATACGTAAGTCCGTAACGAGCGGCTATACTAAGGAGTTGAAAATAGGAATCTAGGATGACAGGATGAAGGTGGTAGAATTGCTCGTCTCCATGCCAATTGTTGTGGACTCGTGCACGAGCCATTCGTGCGCCGGTTGTTGTCGTTGTGATATCTTCAAGACTTTCGAAATGGTAGCCATAGTCAAGGCCCTCGTTGCGCATGGTATCGTACCAACGCTTGCTGGAAGCTTTGCGCGGCAAGTTCTCCCGCTCGCCAGCCCAATCTCTCATGGCGACTATTTCGTTCCAAGCCCGAATTTCGCCGGAGGAGTGTTGTACCCACGTCTGTCCATTATGTGATGAGATAGTGAACTCCCACCATTCGCTGTCCAGCGAATCTGTTAGACGGAGGCGACGGAAAGTTGTCACGATCTCTTTTGTTGAGCTCTCGTTGAGGACTAAGGTGGTGCGTACAGTAATATTTCCAAACTCCACGGCTTCTTCGATCACCGTGATTTGACGGATAGCTTCAGCCGCCATGGCTATGTATCCCGCGAAACGTAATATAATATCCGTGTTGATTCTGTGGTCACGTATCCATGGAGCATTCTCAATGTGCAGCAAATTTCGCCATACAGGCTCAAGATCTGTGGTTTCAAGGACCTTTGCGCCTAACAGGTCATGGTATGGGTATTTGCGCATGCGCCACTCATGGGCGACGCGTGACTCGCTCCAATGAGTGCGATGATGATCCCACGGGTAGGAGGGCAGATCTGAGAGGGGTTTTCCAGAGGGCATCAAAGCCTGAAGATTGAAGGGTACATGCTGAACAAAAAGTTGGCCGAGAGCCGACAGCCAACTTTCAGCGCAGTCAGTTCCTCGGGTCAAAGATGAAATGTATGCTGCGCTGCTGGAGCTGTGGTTTAGAATCTGGCGCATTGGCCCGGCCAAAGCTGCATGGGGACCAACTTCGAGGAACACCTGCTTAGAGGGGCCAACGTGCTGTTTGATAGCGGCCCTTACAGCTGATGTGAATAACACGGGCCGTTCCAAGTTGGTCTGCCAGTACTCAGGTCCGAATCTGTCCTTTGCGATTGGGACCAAGTATTGACCTGAAACACTTGAGAAAAATGGAAGAGTGTGCACGTTGCCCACGACGCCGGCGTCGGTCATACTCACTTTGTATTGAGTCCCGATCTCAGCCATATGTGGCGAGTAATAAGCCTTGTCAACTTTGAGCACGCTCGCCAGGACCCTAGGGTCCGACTGCTTGATGTTTTTGATTATCTCTCCAATGGACCTGCGTCTCCAGATATTGTTACACTGTTCGGCGCGTTGTCGCAGGCGAGCACTACGCCAGGCACGAGATGCTTTTTGGCAGCTTCCCAACTCATACCCAACGCTCCCATGGCGCCCTTGGCACCCTGTCGCGTTGTTGCTAGTCCACGCAGAAATGCCACGACAATAGCCTCACGGGCGCTGAGGCCACCAGCGGCAATCTCACCGCTGGAGTGGCCAAGCACCGCCGCCGGGCGAATTCCAATCGAAGCATATGTGTCCACCAAGGCAATCTGTAGGGCTGTGCATAGAGGCTGAGAGTATTCGGCTACATCAACCCGACTCTTCCGTGCAGGTTTGCGGAACTCTTCGTCAATCGTCCACGATGGAGCTAGCGGGCCTAGCTCCTGAAGAGCCTTGTCGAGAGATGCGATGGTGTTACGGAAGACAGGATTGCTTTTGGAGCGGAGGATCTCATAGCCCATGCGTGGCCATTGCGCGCCTTGCCCAGTGAAGACCATGACCAGAGATGTGTCCCGGAGTTGTGGGGCCTTGGTGGAGGGAAGGGGGGCTGGTGGCGTGATCTCGTCACTCGTGCAGATGGCATATGTGCGATATGGCAGATGCTCTCGTTTGTTAGCCAGGGTGTATGCCGCATCTGGAAGCAGGTCTGGAGATCTCTCAAGGAAAGCCTCATACTTTTCACCCATGGCCTTGAGAGATGCCGCGGTATTTGCGGAGAACAGCAATAAATATGGTGTGTTTGAAGCTGCTCTTGTGGAATTTGGCGAGTCGATGAAGCTGGCTGCTGACTCGATGATAGCATGGGAATTGGAACCTCCAAGGCCAAAGCTATTGATGCTCACGCGCTTATCACGGTCTTCTGGCCATGGTATTGGCTCAGTAGGAATAACAAGATTTGCATTTTCAAATGCAATTGCAGGGTTGCGTGGAAAGCTTTTAATATTTGGGGGAATAATGCCGTTTTCCAGGGAAAGAACAGCCTTAAGAACACCGACGAGGCCCGCCGCACCCTCGGCGTGGCCGAGATTCGCCTTGACTGAGCCCATATGCACACCGGCTTTGCCGAAGCACGCAGACACAGCCCCCACTTCAATAGGAACCCCAGTTCTCGTCCCCGTGCCGTGACACTCGAAGAAGCCTGTTCGGGTAATCTCTGTAATACCAGCATTCCGGTATGCTTGCCTGATTAGTGCTTCTTGTGCCTGAGAGCTAGGGTGTGAAACTGTTGGTGTGTGACCGTTGTGGTTGGCTGCTGAGCCGGTCACAACTGCGCGGATAGGGTTACCGTCCCTGACCGCGACCGCTAGGGGCTTAAGGTAAATTGCGACAATACCCTCACCGCGCGCGTAGCCGTTTGCGTTGGCTGAAAAGGTGTTGCATGAGCCATCGGGACTCAGAACGCCTTGCTCCGACTTGGCGGCGGTTAAAGCTGGGGCCATGATGATGTTGGTGCCGCCAACGATGGCGGATGTGCAGTCGCCGCGCGCAATGGACATGCATGCCTCGTTGACGCCGATGAGAGAAGCGGAACAAGCACTCCGTAGCGTCACACTTGGGCCGTGCAGGTCGAGCTCGTGGGAGAGCCGATTCGAGACCATGAAGTCGTTCTGGCCCAGGACTTGGTAGATACCATGGGCCTGCGTGTCCCGCACCGAGATGTCGTACCAGTCCTGGCCATAGCAGCCGACGTACACGCCAACATTGGTACCCTTCCACCGCGTCTCGCCGGCGTCATCGATGGCCTCGCGGGCGACCTCGAGAAGCAAGCGCTGCTGGGGGTCCAAGGTCTCGACCTCGCGGCGCGGCATGGTGAAGAACGAGGTGTCCAGCGCGGCGAGGTCGTTGGTCGAATCGAGAAAGTACCCCTGCTGAGCAATGACGGTGCCGGGCTTTTTGTGCGGTGAATGGAACGCGGAGATGTTGTAGCGCGAAGATGGCACGGGGCCGCGAGCGTCGCGGCCAGCGTGAAGGAAGGACCACAGCTCCGAGGGGGAGTGGATGCCTCCCGGTAGTCGACAGGCCATGCCGCAGATGGCAACAGGCTGAAAGGTTGGGGCTGGGCTTGAGGGTGAGGACGGGGGTTTTTGCTGATTGCCTGTCCCGTTGGTCGTTGATCTCGAGTCATTATGACCATTGGCATTGAGACCGTTGAGGCCGTTGTCCCCGTTCGGGGAAGTGTTTCCGTTTGTTCGGCCCAGATGATTTGTGGACCCATTGGCCCCGTTGGAGTCGCCGCTCATGATGGTCTAGTTATTTCCAACGAAATGGAAATGGGAGGGGCAATGAGAGTGGATGATGTCGTCTGCCCTATTGATCTCTCTTGATCATACGTCGTGCGTTTTCGATATCGTTATGCAGAGAGTGTCATGTGGTGTCTATAGCGCAAGCAAAGATGGCTCCAGCTATCTCGGAGAAATGTCTATGGTTACAAGATCATACTCTACTCAGCTTTCCAGGCCTGGGCTTGCTGTACGATTAGGAGGATATTATACAATCCACGCGGTTACTATGCCTGCTTACTCTGTTGTGCTCTATGTTCATTGACTCTGTACTTCATGGTCGCCCATTGAATGGAAAATTACATTTTTCTGACATCCATATGGTCTGTGCAAACCAAGCAAGCGCTTACCCGTTATCCTCAAGCTGATATCAAACTAATCCTAAGTACCATCAGCTTGGTCCCTTAGTAAGATCTTTTGTCCGGGCAAGAGTAAGATGGCCTAGTGTAAGACCGACGGTTCCAATGATACACCCGTCATTACCGCTTTTCCGTGATATTATATTACACGGTACGAGGTATCGTCTCGTATCGGAGTATTCGCGTAGTAAGCCCGTCAGTCAGCCGCCAATGCAACGCTAAGCACCTGGCCCACACCCATATCCATCCTTTCAGCTGCCCGTCCTGGGGCCCAAAGGACCAAGAACCGAAGAGAGGAGGACAATGGGAGGTCCGACGTCTGCCTGGCTCAGGCGTCTGCTCGGAGTAAAAGTAGGTGTAGGAGCGGAGAGGCGACGATGTGGCCCGGCGTGTGTTTAACTGCTGTATCCGCCTTCCCCCGTCAGCTCTGATTCCATCTCAGCTTCGACTGACATCTACCAGCATTAACTGGACAATAGCGAAGGGAGCATGGAGAAAACCACGAGCCAGAGCCAGGGTCACGACCAGGATCCTGAGGCCAGAGTGATCCGGCAAGACGAGGCCGCGTCCGGGTCCCAGTCACCAACGCCGGCGCCGCAAAAAAAGCACTACTCCTTCTACCTGTCGATCTTGATGCTGGCGGTGATTGCCCTGATCGTGTCCTGGGATGTCACGGCCCTGTCGCTGGCTTTGCCGGTAGGTCTTTTGCCTCACATGGCCACGGCGCTTCTGTCAAGCTGACCAATTCATCTCGCAGGTCATAGCCGACCAGCTGCACGGGACCAACTTCCAGTCCTTCTGGGCCAACATCGCCTTCATTCTCGGCGTAGCCGTCACCCAGCCCGTCTACTCCAACATCTCCAATGTGGTGGGCCGCAAATACGTGCTCTACGCCTCCCTCATCCTCTTCGGGATCGGGTCGATCGTCTTCGCCACTGCAACAAACATGGACATTATCGTCGTCGGCCGGCTGATCGAGGGTCTGGGGTCAGGCGGGCTAGACGTCTTGCAAAGTATCATTCTCTGTGACATCACGACCATGAAGGAGCGCCCGTGGTGGCTGGGTGTCATGTCCATGGCAAATGCCGTGGGCGCTGTGACGGGCCCCTTCATCGGCGGCCAGTTCGCGCAGGAGGTTGGATGGCCCTGGCTGGGCTGGATTAATCTCATTACTGCGGGCGCTACGGGCGTTCTGGCCTTCTTCTTCCTCCATCTCACTCCGTTAGAAGGGAGCATCAATGAGAAGATCCGCAGACTCGACTGGCTCGGCTTCGGGCTGTTCATTGTCATCGGCACAATCATTGCCCTACCGCTCAGCTGGGCGGATACCCTCTACCCCTGGGGCTCATGGCAGACGCTCGTCCCGCTGCTCATCGGCCTCCTGCTGATCGTTCCCTTCGGGTTCGTCGAGAACCGAGCCGTAGCGCCCATGATTCCATACCAGATCTTCGATAACATCTCCATTATCACGGGAATCCTATCCGGTGAGTTCTACGGCGCCCTCCTAAACCCGGTCCTCCTCTACCTCCCTCTCTTCTTCGAAGCTGTCTACCTGGAAACACCGATCCAAGCGGCCAAATCCATACTCCCGCTCTGCTGCCTCATCGTGGCAATGAGCATCATCGTCTCCCTGCTCATCGACTGGAGACGCAAGTACCGCATCGCCCTATGGACAGGCTGGTTCATCACCGCTATCTTTCTAGGCCTAAACTACATGGTTGACGCAGATTCCACCCGCGCACAAGCCTACGCTTTCCAAGCAATCCTAGGCGCCGGACTTGGTATGACTCTCGTAGCGACAATGATCACTGTCCTCGCGAGCGTGCGAAAGGTCAACGACGAGGGTCTCGCAGCGGGGATGCTGGTGACAGCGCGGTTCGTGGGATCCCTGCTCGGCCTGGCGATCTGCTCGACGGTGTTCAATTCCATGTTCGAGCGCGGAATGTCGCCACTGACCGGGACCGGAACCGAGTTGCCCGAGTCCATTTCCGTGCTGCGCGATGCAAGCCAGGCGGTGGGGTTCATTCCGCGGATGAGGGAAATTCACGATGTGGATGCAGAGGTGATACAGGTTGTGACAGATGCTTATGAGGATGCGTTCCATACTATCTGGGTGGTTTTGGCGGCGATTGCGGGATTGGCGGCGGCACTTTCGTTGCTTACGAGGCAGAATTCGTTGGAGAAGGAGGATGTTGGGAGGCAGGGGTGGAAGGTGCCGGAGGGTTCGTAGGACTTAAAACTGGTCTTGGACTGGTCTTGTCTTAGTTCTGGTTTTGACTGAGTGCGTAGGGCTCTACCCTGTATTGGGATGTATCTTATCTAGGGTAGACAGTTCAGAAAGAGCCCTGTACAAAATCTCCAATAAAACAAAAAGTCTACCTCTATATATCTGCAGCCGTATAACTAGTATAATATAACACACCAACACAACGCACAAGCTATCCACAACCTTAGCAATTCCCTGATACCCTACCTACCTACCTACCTATCACCGTAGTGCAATCCCCACCCCTCCGCCCCGAACACAGAAGGTAATAAGCAACCACATCCCTCACCTGCTTCTCTAATCCCCTAAATTCCATTCCCAGAACACTCGCCGACTCCTGCGCACCAACCCTAAGCACTGGCGACGGCAGACTCCCCTTCCCCAGCAATACTCGCCTCTCAACGGCCTCGGGGAACCACCGCGCCATAATCCAAAAGGCTCATTCAACCGCGTCCCCAGTTCCCCGCCCGAGCCCAGAATGTACAGTCTGTTCTCCGGGATAAAAGCGTCCAGGCGCGCACGTGCGCTTCCGCCACGTCGTCTAGGTGCACTGTAACCCCTGGGTCTGGCGCTGTCTGCGTCTGCATCTGAAGGGAGGATTCAGATCTAGATCCAGACTCATACCCGGACTCAACAACAGCCCTAAGTATAATCCGATTCGACTCAGCCCCCTGCAACTCCCTGCCATTTCATAATTCCCTTGTTCTTCTGCCTTCGACCTTGTATATAATGATAGATGCTGATTGTTCACTCACACGCAGATCTTATGATGACCTGTCTCGCCTTGGCGCTCGATCCCTATGCGCTCGGTACACGTGTGGCAAACTTTGCTTATCCGAATAACTCGAAAACTGTGGGAACCGCGACTCCGGCCACCTTTCATACTGGATTTCTTCAAGATAGGGACCATACCCATATGGGATACTGTGGGTATAGAAAAAGACTAGCACTTCTTTTGACGGCGCTTGCAAGAGCAATCTTATTTCTCTCGCTGGTTCAGTGTGGTTGGGCCCTTCTTAGTGGGAGGCTAGCCTAGGCTAACCTCTAATATATGTAGCGCGCCCGTCTGCTTCCGACGCGCCCGAAGTCCCGATCAAATCTAAGGGTTGCTGAAGGTGCCAGGATTCCTTGCGGACTAGACGGATTTCCCGTATTGCCTAAATATTCATTCTTAGCCGGGCAACCTTTCTACAAGCCCTTTCCCACACCAACACTCGCAGTTCACGTAATTATTGATCCAAGGTTTCGATTGTCGCGGTTCTTCCTGCGTCCGGAATAAACTAGTGCAAGATGTCTATCTTAAGCCTGCCTCTGGAAATCTTGACTTGCATTTGTGAGCATCTAGAACCTCAAGAGTGGGGTGCGCTCAGGATTACATGCCACCAAATATATGCCAATACACTGGAAGCCTATGCGACGCGCTACTTCAAAAGTCTCTCACTTCTTCTCACTCGTGATAGCCTTGACCATCTGGAGGAGGTTGCAGCCAGTGAAGCTCTTCGGGATTTGGTTGAAGAAATTTCGATCATTCCCAATTTGTTTGAGGGTTGGCCACAAAGGGATAAGGAGAATTTTAAAAGTTTGGGTTTATCAATGAGGAAACAGAGAAAAATTCTTTGAATGATGCGTGGTGAAAAAGAGGATCCAACATCCACCAATGCTGAGGCTGAGCTTGACGCTCTATTTGCTGCTTACGAATGTACATTAGCAGAGCACCGTGCTATCCTTGACTCGAAACTTCATGGGGTACTGGAGAAATGCCTCCCACGCCTCAAAAACGTCACCACGATCGCATTACGCTCTTACCCCCTTGAATACCTCCTCTTAAAAGCAAATTATCGTTCATTTCGCTGCCTTGGATTACGGGAATTGAAGAAGTTCAACAGCGCTGATGTACTTGGTCATTTAACATTCGCAAGTTTTCGCAAGGATATGTTGTCCACGCCTTTTGGTTTGGCAATCTCACAGGTGTTTCAAGCCATAATCAAATCCAATCGAAAGATCCGATCCCTCCATACGTGCGGCAACTACGCTTGCGGAATAAATTTGGGGTCCTTGGAATTGCCAGAGTCAATGTATAGATTGCTATTGCCACTATTGAGCGATCTGATGGCTCTGCATATGTGTATCCGCATTAAGGATCACGAACAAGACAAATTCGTAGAAGAGACCTTCAAACGTCTCCTCAATATTCTGGTCACAGTTGCACCTAAATTGAAGATACTGGAATTTGCCCAATGGAACCCCTGGGAAGAATTATCCCCCCTGTACTTTGAGGATCTCTCCGGGAAGATCCGGTTTTCCCAGCTAGAGGAACTCCATCTCCACTCGATTGAGGTGACCGTGGATACGCTCAGGCAATTTCTTCAGACAGCAGCGCCGACATTGAAACGGCTGAGTATGGATATGATCAGCTTGACGGATGCGATAATCGCAGCACGAGATCCAGGCCCGATCACTGAGGAGAGAAGTAGTTGGGGCTCTTCATTTTCCATTGAAGTGATGAATGAGATAACGACGCTCTGGATGCGGGGCTTTCAGTTTTTGGCAGATGACCTAGAGTTGCAATTTGTCCAGTTGTCGAAACTCGGTTACCGTGGGAGAGAAATAAAGTTGCAGGATGACTTATATATGGAACGTGGGCAGCCGAATGCACAACCGGATTCATGTGCACAGCCTTCTATCGATCCGCACGATATTTATTCTGATCCAACGGGTGGCCAATTGATAGCTTTCTATTTTGATGCCGAGAAGGCGAGTATACCGCTCAAACAATGGATCATGCAGCTTCAAATGGAGATGTGCAATCCTTTGAGCCGTGCACCTTGCCGACTCCCAGGGACCAGCGGTAAGAGCTTCAACCGGGAGGGAATGAGGTCCCTTATTATGTACCCACCAGGACCTGTGCCAGTGGAGGACCCTGGAAGACGGTCGGCGATTCTAGAGTTCTAGATTTGTTGGACAAGCAAGGATATGTTAAAGCATTAATGATGATTACAATAGACTCAACCCTTTGAGATATGCAGGTGTGAATATTGAATGAATTTCCATATGTTGATATTAGTAAAACTTATTAATTCATATCTTCGGATTCTTTAGATTTTTAGAACAATACTGTGTAGTATCAGGCTTATTATTAATTACTACTAAAAGTTCTAGGATGACATATATAGAACACTCCACCGGCTTCTTGATAACCTTACATGATATCTTTAATTGATAAGAATTACTGTTTCTATAAAATCTTGTATAACAGATACTTAGCAAGTGTTAGATAGACCCTCAAAAGGTTATAACTATGTACGAATTCATCAAATATAGAGCAAGGGTATATGTAGGATTTGGGGAGGTATATATAGTAGCTTCATAATCATGATTTTTTATTCTCAATAAAAACCATTCTTAATCTGGCTGTTAATCTAGCAGCAGGTATGAGAATTTCAATTAACCTGACCTGGCCTGACCTCGCGCTTTGCTACTCTAGCCTCTTTACGTGCGACCCCGGGCCTCTATGATAGTCAATTAGGTATGCACTTCCTTGAATCGAAACTACTTCCTTCGTTATATATTGATGAATTAAGACATTGTAAACGATGGTTATCTAAGTGTATGAGACATGTTCCTTTCACACAAAGTAAAGGAAACAAAATATCATCACACAGCCATCCCAACTAGCTCCGTCAGCTTCGACACTCTGGCTCCGTAGAGCTTGCTCATAAACTGCAAATGATCGGCCTGCTTTGAATGAAGAGAAGTCGTGCAATCCTCCAGAACCGTAACCCTCAACCCCTTCTGGAACGCGGTTCTCGCAGTTGAATCAATACAAACATCTGAGAACAAGCCCGCGAGAACAAGATGCTCAAAACCCTGTTCTTCCAAATATGTCGTGAACTCCGGAATTAAGAACGGATCCAGCAATGCCTTCTTATCAAAGATGCGTTCGCCAGGCTGAACCGTCAACCCAGGACCAACCTCCGCACCCCACGTCCCTTCGACGCATTTTTCGGGTTTCTGGAGAACGGCGTCCCGGTGCTGCCAGCTGGGGCTTTGGTAGGTGGTGTTTCCGAGGAATCGAACGAAAATGACGGGGCGGTTGTTTGCGCGGGCGAAGTCGATCGCGCGAGGGACGTTGTTGACGACGCCTGCCATAGCAGGGCTGGGGTTTCCGGATATGAAATCGTTCTGGAAGTCGATGACTACCAGGGCAGATTTCAGACCAAGGAAGGCTTGGAGGTCACCGGAGGCGGTGGCGGTATATGCGATAGATTGTGTGGGATTTGCGATGGCTTGGAGGAAGTAATCGACTGTTTCCTCTGTCTTCAATGAACCGCCTTGGTCCGGGGTAGTGAGTTTGCGCTGGAGGAGGTTTTGAATAGCTTGCTCTGTCAGCTTCTGGATACCTTTGCCCCCAGCGTGTCGCTCCAGGATCGTGGCTGCGGCACGAATGGTAGCAAATGGGTTGACGAGGCCCTTATCAGCGATGGCATCGGCGGACCCATGGACAGTTTGGTACTCGCTGAGGCCGTTTACGTCTGGGCGCAGGTAGACGTTCTCAGCGTACATGGTCTCGGGAGTCGATTGACCGAACCAGTTGAGGAAGACGGGCTGGATGACATCTGCGTATTCGTTTCCTGCAATGATGATGCAACGGCCCTGGACTCCATTTGCCATTAAGCTGCGATTGAGCGTGTCAGGCTGAACAAAATTGAAGTCGATGCCAAACTGGGCTTTCCATTGGGGTTCCCAGGCTTGGAACACGCCGTCAAAGAGGTGGAACTTGTACGCCATGGTCACCTTCTTGGGGACGTTGTCCGGACCCCAGTTTTCGGCCGCCCTGTCGAGTGCAAAGCGGATGATGCGGTCGAAAACGGGCTTACTGAAGCTGGTGGTTCGTGTGATGCTCAGCTGATCGGCGCTGTATGCGTTGTCGCCAGCGTAGAAGCCCTGTGCTTCATCGCGAACCATGAGAAGGGCGTTGCCCTCTCCGAGGCTAAAGTGCTCCACCTTGGCCGCTTGGAGGTGTTGCCGAACCAGGTAGAGAGATTGGGCGTGGATGGCGGTGCGGAAGATTGCCGCAATGCCAGCGGCAGCAGCATTCTCACAGAAGTGCTGGTAGTCAATTGCATCCTTGGTGGTTTCATCTGCAATGTGCGTGATCAAGTTTTTGTCCTCGCCGGAGACAGTGAGGGTGTGATAGGAGTGGTAGGTAGAAGAAGAGCGAACAAATTCAAAATTGATCGAATATTGTTTGGCGAGTGTCTGAATGACCCGTTCAAAGACGGCGACCAATTCACGGCCGGTGCCATGGCCAACGGCAAGGCCAAGTCGAATAGTTTGGATAGTCATGTTGAGGAATGAAGAGAATGGTTGTTGATGATGGAGGCCTATTGAACCCTTGCGATACGAGTATTTATAGACAATAAACCTGTGTATCTTGAGGAAATGCGTCCTCAGCTACGCCACAGATCTTCAGCTGGGTGGATCGATGCCAACACATACCTATCTGCCGCAGACATAAGCTGAAGCAGTTGAGTTTGCTACGTATTCGAGTGGATTCCCAGTGACCTGTAAACGAAAGGTATAAATCGGATGATCCCATGCAGTCTCAGGTCCACCGCTTGAGCCCATTTTGCACTCTGCCTGACCAGTTACACTCCGCTGACAATGGAACCTGAAACTATCAACTCCGGCTTCAACATGGGCAACGAACTCGATTACATGCTGGATCGAAACTACACAGCAGCTTCACGCCTCAATTTCCAATTCTACCTATGGAAAGAATCACTCCAATTCAACCTCCACCCCTCCATCGACCTCGGCCCTGCCGGTGAGACTGTCAGAATCGCCGATCTAGCCACAGGCACCGCAATCTGGCTTTGCGACCTTATGCGGGACCCAGCCATGACGCCATACACTCTGCAGCTGGACGGTCTGGACGTGGACCTGAAGAATGCCCCTGCACCAGAATGGGTGACGCCCTCCATCAGTCTCCGCCAATGGAACATCTTTGACGAAGTCCCTGAGGACCTGCGCGGAAAGTACGACGTCGTCCACCTACGCCTTCTCGTCCTGGTCGTGCAGGAGAGCAACCCTCTCCCCATCATCGATAAAGTTTTTCAGCTCCTGAAGCCAGGTGGATACATCCAGTGGGACGACCTGAACTATCCTGACACGATCGTGGCCAAGCCCCCCACTGCACAGCTAAGCAACCAGGCCAGCCCAGCGTGCGATGCATTCGTGCAATTTGCCCAGTCTAACGGACGTAATGATTGGGTGCTGGATCTACCACAATCGTTGATGGATGGGCATGGTGGATTCGTTAATGCCGATCTGTTTCATTTTATCGATCGGCCGGAACTCTGCAAGGCGAATGGAGACCAGTATATACTCGTGCTAGAGGAATTTGCCTCTCGGCTGAAGTCTGCGGGAAAGGTGGAGGAGGCGTCTCGTATCTATGACATGATTATTGGGCTCGCTGAAGAATCGCGAAGGGGGTTCCACTTGTCTATGCCAAGGGTGGTCTGTGTGGCTCAGAAGAGATCGTCGCTCTAGGATGGCGTCTGCTCCATAACGAATCCTTCTACTCTGCTAGCTAGATCAATGAATCAAGATATACAATGCTGGAACGGCTTGTGTGTCTTTTCCAACTGTGCTCATGGCACGTGATAAGTGCCCCTTGGCATACATAGCTGGCCCTGACCCCTTTCTAAGGAGGAGCAACCTCATCTCCATCTTCGATTTAACTTATAGCACCATTTGCATTGATAGCGCTCTTATCAGACCGGAAACAAACTCAAACAGTATGGCCGAGATTGACACATCAGTCTGGTACAAAGCAGATATTGGCCCTCGCCTCAGCCAGCCCATGCGGGATATTTTCTGTCAATGGAGCGGTGTAAGCGAGGGTGAGCTTGACGCCCATCTTCACACTGTGGTATGTCTGCCTGGACAATCCCAGGACGGTCAGCACTACACTGCACCTATTAACAATCACAGCGAGACAAAGCGTGGCAGTACGGCAAATACCCCTGCGTAGGCCAGTGGATGTTCTTACTCCCCGGCATTGCCAAGTTCCCCCAATTCCCTGCTGTCGTCGATCGCGCCCTCCAACCAAGCACAACCATCATCGATCTCGGCACAGGGCTAGGCCAGAATCTGCGTCTGCTCGCCGCGAATGGGGTCTCTCCGTCTCAGATGTGGGCCCTCGATCTCAGTCCCGAGTTGTGGCAGTTAGGTTACGAACTGTTCAACGATAGCGATCGAATGAAGGCTGTCTCGTTTATCCCCGCCCACTTCCTCACCGATGAACCGGAGCAGCTGAAAAAGCTCCGCGGAAAGATAGACATCATGATCGCGGGGCAATTTCTCCATCTCTTTTCCTGGCAGGGGCAGATTGACGCTGGAAAGCGGATTGTTGAGCTGTCCCGGCCAGGTACCATCCTTATTGGATATCAGCAGTCGCGTCGTGCCGCGAGAGAATACATCCGGCCCTGGGGGATGATGTTTTACCATAATCTAGAGAGTTTTCAGAAGCTCTGGGCGCATGTGTCGGCAGAGTCAGGGACAGAGTGGAAGGTTGAAGCCACATTGGTGGATTTGGCAGATTGGGGTATGGAGACCGAAGATACCCAGTGGATGCCGCCAGACCACCAGGGGTTGAACTTCTATCTGAGTCGGGTGCGATGATGTGTGATGTTCCGCTCCTCATCGGAACATCACACATCATCGTTTGTTCACAAGTCTCTCCACCCAGCTGAATTATCTTGGTTGCTGAAGACGGCCCGCTGAACTGCTGGACAACAGAGTCCATAAAGATCCACATAGTTCATTAATTAAGCCAATAAGTGTATGACAGCTGTCAATGAGTGAAGAGGATCGAGAGTGGGCTCTGATGGGTCGGTCGCTTGCGGAGTGACGCATCGGAAGTTTATTCTCCACAGTCTCCGCTGATAAGTCTCCTATACGCTCGCTTAGGTGGGATGAAGAGTAGTCTAACCGTGAAGATTGTATCCACAACGTCCAGAATTACAGCTGTGCAGGTTAAGGTTGTGGCAATAATAGTTATAGATTACAAAGAAAGCTGCTCTTTTTTTTTTTTTTTTTTTTTTCTTTTATCATTATTATTATTATTATTGTTTCTTGAATATTATCTGCTTTTTATTAGTATGACATCATACAGTAGAATTGGTTGTATCGATATATGTTCTCGTTGCTCGTCCTGAAAGAGGAAAATTCCACAGTGCGGTTATATATATAATAGAAGGGCAAACTAAGCATGATTGTGGACAAAAGGCATGAATCAAGATAAGGGTCATTAGATTCCAGTTTGAACCAACCATCCACGCACTATACTCGGTCGTATTTTATTGATTATTCCAATGCTCAGGCAACACACAATCAATCAAGAGCCATACTCTGTTCATTGTGCCCTCGACCTTCTTCACCTGCGCTGCGTGACAGATATAGTAACAGATAGCGGATCCTCATCAAACAGCCATAGGCATGAATTTAGCCGATTATCCTGGTAAGTCAAAAATGAAGCATCTACTCATTGGTTCATTTCTTTCTATCTCAAGGTAGCCGACAATTTGCCTTATCTTTTTCGGTGCCAAAAGAGAGAGTAGGAGAAAACAGAAAAAAGAGAGAAGAAAGCCGGCTGATTTTTATTACAGAGTAATTGCCTTTTACACCCGGTTAGACGACTCCGTAAGTTTATAATGGGCTCCGTTAACTACCCAGAACAGGACTCCAAGATATGAATTCTCTGCTAAACACCACATTTCTAGTACTTAACTGTGTAAAAGGTCCTTCTTCCAGATGTATGTATCATGATCAAATCCTTACTCTATTGTACAAAGCCATAACTTCTACTTCGTTTCGGACATGATTACATGGTTCATTAATCGGTGCCTTCAGCTGTCCCCTTTGCGTACTTTATATATATATACAAACAGAGCTGCTCTGTGACTTAGTCCATTACCATTCAATGATCTGAGGTTTCCCGTACTGACCTGAAAGGAAGTGGGACGTAAGATGTCGAATTTCTGAAGCAGGAATTATTGTTGTCAAATACCCAGTAGTGTTGGATGGATCAGGGCGGGTTATTGGGTTGGGTTTTTCAAAAATTATGCCCCGCCCCTTTAGCATAACACTGTATGATATTCAGGCTAATTGTGATTTCATAGTAGATTAGAATTAAATAAATGAATAGTTGAACAGGTTTCTAGCCCGGTCTTTTATATTCTATTTCATTATTCACAAATCCAGCTATTTTCAGCTGTCGTGCTTTCATTTTAAATGTCATCGTTACTTTGAGCTATGTGTAAATTACTTAAAATAATACTTTATATGATCGATTGAATTTAATAATAAATAACATTCATATCTCTTGCCTTTGGCATATATCTCGAGCCATCCGATTACCCTCATAGCTGGGAGCAACTGGGCAGGAATATATTACAGAGAGGTCAGCCAGCTCCACACACCAATTACATGACCACGATATCTCGCCAGAACATGAGATGGCAGAACAGGGCGAAGATGCTGTGATATCTGTTTTTCATATGTGTCAGGGCTGGAGATACAAATAAATACCCGGGAATTCGCTATTACTTAGATCAGCCGGCTGTCCTCAAGAAGAGGAATATCCCTTGTCGGAACCGTCTACACTGGTTCTACCTGATAGTCAAAGCTTTATTTGCCAACAGAATTCGCAGTAGAAAGAGACCCCAGGCAAATATAGAAGAAATGTAAATGCTGTAGAGAAAGTAAATGTCCGATACTCGGTTGAGCCAAGTCCAATCCAGTATGATCCAGCATGCCTTTGCAGGTTGCCTTAGAAATGTGGACTGGATATAGAGGTTTGTCACAAGTAACCGTTGTGCTTGGATCCGCAGCGTAAGCCGATGGCGACTTAGTGAATGCAGAGATCCCTGCGGGGCCAGGTTCGTTGGCGATTTGAGGCCCTGGACTACCCGCTGCATTCCTCGGGTAATGTATAATGGTAGATGAGTTATACGAGAGAATTGATTTCTCGCCCGAGACATCCAACCAGTAATCGAAGATCAAAGACCCCATCACGTGATGTCCCATTCCCGAGGCCGGCCGATATCCCTTCTTGACCAGCCACTGATGGCCTAGATGCTGTGTGTCGTAGTCATGGACCTCGAATGAGCAATGGTGGACGTGTGATATCTTCGGGTGGGCGCCGAGTAGAACGCGTGGTCTACGGGCTCCTTTTCCAGGTACAGATGCATAAATACCGTGACGGGAATTCGCTGACCATCTTGGTCAGTGTAGACAAAGTCGGTGGTTACAATGTGGAATGTTGAGGTATAGCTCTGGAATTGAGCCTCGAAAACCTGCGTTGAACGGCCGAAATGACCCAGCTGAAGTGCAAAGTTAGCTATCTATTCTCTGTAAATCTCGAGATCGCGAATTTTGATTTTGTGAACTGCAGCTGGTCTGAGTTCCGAGGAGGATTGATGGCATTCTGATTATAGATCAGGAAGGGAATTCTTCGGGGTCGGGGATCAGGGCTTCCGCTAGTTCTTGCATGGGACCGGCCTTGGGCAAGGCCGCTGCTCTGGGGCCTATTAGCGTGACGGGGGTCTATAGGTCATTATTAAGCGTCTGGTTGCTTACCGTATGGAGTCTTCTAGACTAGCTGCTTCGAAGGCCCTTCTCAGAGACTTACCGTCGCCCTTCTGCCCATAATACACGTAGTGATCGGAGTCATATCCGCGGTATCCGCTTTGTTCGTCGGTCTGGTGCGCAGCTTGAAGTTCCTCTTTACGCGGGGCCTCAATCATAGCTATTCCGATATACTACCCCACCGAACTTGTGTCGATCTTCACTTGGAGGTAATTTTCCTCATTCGATTTCGACCATGGCGGTCCCTCATTCCCCGCCCCCGCTTGTTGGGCACCGAGCTTTGGGTGTATTCTGCTCATTTAACGTCTATAATGGTGCTTGAGGTTTCCCCGCCCCCTCTTTACTGATCCTATGGGAGACAGCCGAGGTCCGTGGTGGGAACGGTGATTTCTCTAATTAGGATACCACAGTATGGAGGACGGACCCGCCGACACTACTTATTGGCAACGTCCTGTTCATATAACTACGTCCTATCGAAACACTCTATTTATAGCTGTATTTTTGACGCTTTCCCCAAAAGCTACGGAAATCCCGATCGATAAGTAAATCAGTCAGGTCAGGCAGTATCCTAGCATAGTCACAGGCACCGTTCCCACAGGTTCACCATGACAAAGACCACCGTCGATATGCCACACCAGGTGGAGGCTCCTGTCCTGGTAGTTGGCGCTGGGCCCATCGGAATGATAACAGCCTTCCAGCTCGCAAAACGGGGTATTCGAACGGTTCTTGTGGAGCGCAACCTGGAAACTACGAAATGGCTCAAGATGGATATCACCAATCCACGATCAATGGAGCTGCTCCAACGTCTAGGGCTTGCAGATGGGCTACGAGAGAAAGGTTTCTGACATCTTTCTTTGCTTACAGATGGAGCAGTTGGCTAATGTTTTCGCTCTTTCAAGGTGTACCATCGCAGTTCTCGTTTGACTGCATTTTTAGCACTGGACTATCTCCTGGGGGACAAGCTCTGGCGAAATGGGTATGGAAGCATTTTATTTGACTTCAGGCTGAATATTATATGTAGGGTTTTCACATGCTTATTGAATTCAGGATCTACCGTCTCCGGATCAGCAGGCAAAGAGGATACGGAATAACTGCGACGGGACGATGCCGCGCTACCCGTATCAGAGATGTTCTCAATCCATCTTCGAATCCTGGCTAAAGACTCTTATCCAAGAGGAGCCGCTCATTAATTCCTACTTCGGGATGAAATTTGAAGCGATGACAGAGTCCACGGAAAAGGCTCTATCGACTGTGATCAACATAGTTACGGGAGCGAAACACGTTATCGAAAGCCAATACGTCGTTGGCTGTGATGGCGCCAGTAGTCGCGTGCGAACCTCCACCGGAATCAAGCTTACCACATCTCCGATGTACGAATTCGCTAGTCATGATCCGATCAGGATACCGCTGTGCTAACGTGCATAATTGATGTCGGCAGCTCCGGACCGACACTTCTAGTTCACCTAAAGTCCAGAGACCTTGAAGTTATTCACCGCCAAGGTCAATTTTGGCACCTTTTCCTGTCGAAAGGGAGTGTGGTGATCACTCAAGACGAGAAAGATACCTGGACGATCCACACTCCTATTCCGCCTGACACGGACCTTGCCGATATTGACATTGAGAAAGCCGTTTATGCTGCGCTTGGGGACTCGGGTCCTCCACAGCCAATCACAATTGACAAAATACTGGTTAGTAGCATATGGAGGGCGAACTGAGGTGTCGCAGAGCAATTCCGCTCACCAAAAAAACGCGTCTTTCTAGCGGGTGACTCAGGTACAACTGTGTATAACCTATGGCACTGCACTGGGGTATAGGGACTTTCTCATTGCTGACACGTCGACAGCTCATCAGAACATTCCATTCGGTGGATATGGCATGAATACTGGACTTGGAGATGCCTATGATATCGGATGGAAGCTGGCCATGTTTCTGAATGACCAGGGCGGCGAACGGCTACTCGAATCGTATGAGACTGAGCGGCGACCAGTCGCCGTGCGTAATGTTGCGATGTCAGGTCGACATGCTCAAGTTCACATGAATTATGCTGGATGGGTTCGACAGACAAGCGAGGGGGAAGTTCGCAGTAACAGTCCTGAAGGACAGGCACTTCGTGAGCGCATCCGATGCCATGTCTATGCCAACGACGGGGAGAATAAGAGTTTGGGAATTGAGATGGGGTACAGACTCAGCTCCTCGATCATTCTCTTGGAAGAGGACCCAATAAAAGAGCCGAGGTGTAGCGAGCGGGACTATGTCGCGACTACATGGCCTGGCTCTCGAGTGCCGAACATCATGCTGAAGGACGGAGTGTCGATTCACGACCGCCTTGGACCCGATTTTACTCTGGTAGACTTTACGATTGATGGGGCCTACGCAAAGGAGCTCGACAGGGCAACCCCCAAGGTCACAAAGAGGCTGACTATTGTACATTTGCCCCAGGAGACCATGGCTCGGAAGTTGTGGGAGAGATCTGCTGTTTTGGTACGCCCTGATATGCATGTGGCTTGGCGGAGTGGTGAGACGGATGTACCTTGGAGCAAGGAAGACACCGAGAGAGTTCTGAAGAGGTGCTTAGGTTACTGAGAGAACCAGTGGCCCCTACTCGAGTCAATAGAAGTAAATTTCTCGCCGAGGAAGCGAACTTGTTCGGGATGAATCTGATCTGGGGTGGTTGGTGCTCTATTCGACAGGGACAGTTTATGTGGGGACAATAGTGTAGAACACCGAGATGGGGCCTACACTATGTGCTATTCCTTGTGGATCAGTGGTGGTCTGAGGTTCTTTCTTCCGATAACAATATTTCTAGTCCCCAGGCCACTCAGATACCCAGAGAGCATCGCGCCGGTCGGACCACACCCACAAATGAGGACATCCGCTGCTTCGTCTGGCGCCGACAACATGCTCATTCAGAGATCGTCGAGCTAGCCCTTTCCGAGTAGCTTTCTATTTCCTTTCTGTAGTTGCTAATGGAAATAATGCGATAGTTGAGGAGATACGTAATTATTTGATCAGTAGCAGCTCGTCGGTCCTTCAGCGGTGGAAATCTCTCTCGTGCCACTGATAGATCCCACATCTTGTTGAAAGTATTGATTGGGCTATAGGTCACCACGACGAACTCTCTCTCGTCCCACACACTTCCCTCCCCAAGTTGAGTATGGAGACTAGCCCCACGGCAGGGCTGAGGCGGATGTACTCAGCTTTGCCGAATGTGGGACCTACTCGGATTGGAGGCTTGGCATACACTGCCAACATTCCACGGATTTACGGGTGTCCGAGCAAACACTATACTCCACTGACGTGTGGATTTTCGTGAGCAACGCGGCATGCCGCGAGACAACAGTCAGTTAGGCAACCCGAACTTGTTGAAATTGTTCTCTAGCTCTACTTGAAGATGTTATGGATGTCCGGACGATGTCCAGCCAATGAGGGTAGATCAAAGCGGGTCAGAATAGAAGGTGCCCCGAGCAAGTCGCTTCCACCTGTGTTTCCTACAAAAAAGGCTGTAGTATCAGGAATGTGGCTAGTGGCGGTAAATAGCCAGATCTATTACTCTGTCAAACGATTGAACAAGAAAGTAAGGAGTATACCGCACTTTCACCCAGTATAAAAACACTTTTGACTCTGTTTAAACTCAGCCAGTCCCTCTGGCAGCCCAGATAACAAAGACGGGTGAAGTAATGATCTCCTGGTATATGTTAATCCAAGACACCGTCGGACTAATACGTCATTTACTATAGATTTTTAAATCCTTGCCGCGCCTGTCCTTCCTTCTGTGATAAAAACTGCTTGAAGATAGTATGGCCTTAATGTAATATGTTATCTTTAGAAAAAGAAAAGACCAACCCCTTGCCTGTGATATAATGAGATGAAAGAAGATCATAGATAGAAGGAGAAATAATGACTCTGAATTACATGAGTGAATGAACTATAGAGATAAAGCTCAGATTATGGTAACCTTCACAGGTATTATATAAATAAAATAGATAGCATGTCTGAATATTTAACTGAATCATTTGAGTCGGAGTTTTCGATTTCTTCACAGTCATTTGCCCAGCCCCCAGCTATCTTATTTATATAGATCCGTGCATGAAATATGACTACCAGACAAATAACGATCTTACTACATATTGTGTTTATCAATCCCAAAACCAGCCGCAACTATCTAGGTAACTACTCAGATACTATTCTGACAGGAGATAAATATATCTTTACTTTCTAGCTATATTTCTATAATTGGAGAGTTCCGCTAATAATATACCCCTAAAATAATCAACTTACCTATCCATGACAAACTCACTATACTAAGATATATACTAGAATTGTTCTGAATATTATGTTATTTCGTCATAGCCGCTGTCCACCAGGGCTTAATAGTCATACTCTTACCAACAGTAAACATCCTGCTATTACTACTATATATATCGATTATATTAATTAGATGTTAGACCACTATACACCAATATCCCACTGATATTATAGTAGTAGTTTCATTATATCATAGATAAGATGGATCTCTAAATTTCTGGGACGTCTTCTAAGGATGAATCTATAAGTAATTACATTAATATATATTACATCCTATTATTTCGTGAACCAAATTAGTGATATTTTACCTGGAAATATAATAGCATATATCTCCAGTTGTTCTAACAATTTAAATGAATTAAAGCTTTTCGGGTCCGGTGCCCTAATAGCATCAATGATAATCAACAGTAAAATGCTATGTCTTCAAGGTAACGAAATGTGGCGCACAAAAGCGGAATCTTCCGAGAAAGAACTGGGACCGCCAGTCAGCTCCAAATGTACAGGCAGAATTCTGTATGATCTTAGCCGGCAACGGTGTTGGCCATTTTACGCCACGGGATCTTAGATTCCGCGGGAGGACAAAAACGTACACCTCTGAGTGGCGGTTTATCCAATCCCCGCACACGAACACTGGGGTGAAAAGACTCACAGTTAGGCGAATGCTTGCACTGGGACTCCATTACCGAAGTCCATGCCTTCCAGCCCTAAATGGCATGGCCAAAGCATATTGCGGGGTCCCCGGATTCCTGGAAGAATTCTGACATGATATAAAATGCATTGACATCCTTGGCTCAATTTGATCAGCATCATACTTTACAGGCAGCTGATACTGACACAATTCACTATGCTTCGTGGAAAGTCGCTCCACCTCGCACAGGTCCTTCTCACGGTAGCTCCTGCATTCATTACATACGGGTACAACCAAGCCGGAGTAGCACCCCTTGCCAATCTGCAGTCATGGTAACTTACCCCTTGAAGAGGTTATTTCAAGATTTGGTTCGGCTGATCAATTATGTAGGGTCACCACATTTCCAGAGATTGACACGCTCAACACCCATGGTGCCATTAAGGAGAGAAACTCAACAAGGAAAGGTGCAGTCATTGCCTCTTATCAACTGGGAGGCCTTCTTGGGGCGCTTGTGTGTGCACATGTCGGTGACCGCTTCGGCCGGCGAAAAACTGTCTTTATGGCTACTATTCTTACGATCATTGGGGAGCTGCTTCAGGCATCTTCTTATAGCATCATTCAGTTCACCCTGGGCCGAGTCATTCTTGGCATCGGGGTCGGGCAACTGAGCGCCACTGTACCGGTATGGCAGGCTGAATGCAGTTCTGCAAAGCATCGTGGTCAGCATGTGGTAGTAGATGGGATCTGTATGGTCCTAGGCTTCGTGATCACGAATTGGGTTTCCTACGGGTTCGGGAAGACGGCGGGTGAAACCCAGTGGCGTGTCCCATTAGCCTTGGCTCTTGCCTTTCCCCTGATTATTCTCGGGTCGTTGTTTATGATTCCGGAATCACCACGATGGCTAGTCATGGTATCCAAGAGGGACCAAGCAGCTCAAAGTTTAGCGGCATACAGGGGTCTCCCCGTCAACGATGACGTGGTTCAAAGGGAGATTGCGAGTATTGAGTCATCGCTGGAGCTCACAGCGCAATTCAAGAGCTTCACACTACGAGAGCTATTTATGGGCGATGATAAAGAACGTCTACTGTACCGATTCGCCCTTTGTCTTGTCATCCAATTCTTCCAGCAAATGTGCGGAGGAAACCTGATCTCCACCTACATTTCCACCATCTTCGAGGAGAATTTGAACCTTGATAAAGATTTGTCCAGCATACTAGGCGCCAGCGCACTCACTTGGAAATTCGTTTGCAACTTCATTCCGTTCTTCGCAATCGACCGTTTTGGCAGGCGCAAGGTGTTCATGCTCAGTGGGGCTGGAATGTGCATTTGCATGATAGTATTAACTGTTATGACCAAGTTCTCTGACGCCAGTCGGGGCCTCTCAATTGTCTCTGTGGTCTTTATCTGGCTTTTCAACATGTTCTATCCCATTGGATTCTCTGGCGCAAACTTTCTCTATTGTACCGAAGTTGCTCCTATGCGTCTGCGTGTGGCTATGTCGTCCGCATCAACTGCAAACAAGTGGCTGTGGAATTTTATTGTCGTGATGGTTACACCTGTGGCTCTGAATACAATCGGGTGGAGATACTATATTGTATATGCTGTTATCTCTGCCTGTATCCCAGTCACTGTGTATCTCTTCTACCCAGAGACCATGGGCCGCAATCTCGAAGCCTTAAACGAGGTGTTCCACGATGCTCCGTCCGCATGGCATATTGTGGCGATGGCGAAGAGGCTTCCGCAAGGAGACGTGACAGACGCGAATGCGCAGATCGAGGACGAGAAGTGTACTGTGGAGCAGAAGGAGCATGCTTGACTTTCTTGCCATTATTGTCTCTGTTTCTACTTTTTGTTATTTCCATTTCATTTTCATTCTTTCCCGAGCCGCAATAATGCATGTTTAGTTGTTTAAATGAAGATCACTCTGCATTGGCTATCCAGGTAGATTCCTATCACATTTGTGTAGAATAATGGAACGCCAGATACAGCACAAGGCACCAAGTTCAAAGTATCTCAATTGTGACTGTTCAATCACATAACCCGAGCCTAATGTCCACTATATATAACCAGCCACGGCTAATGATAAATAGGGAAGGCGGAGAGGTACCCAAATGAACTAATGCTATCTCGTACAACCTAATTACAAGAGCCCTGACAACCCTTCATAGTATCGCAATATAGCATATTTATTATATGACTTGATTTGCGAGTTCATAGGGACCAGCACCTTTCGGTCAACTACTTCAGCACGTACTAACGAAACAGGCATTGATGTTGGGCCATGGTGTCGCGAGGTACCAGTCACCGAGCGGGAATGGCTTTGTTCGATGCTCGGACTTATTGCCTTCTGTTGCCCTCATGTCCACATGGGCTGCGGTGGCGTGATCCGTTCCGCGGAAGCCCCATGAACATACAGTCTTTCAGCTAGGTAGTGGAGTGGGTACATTGTTATCGTGGCTGACGGACGGAACATGATATGCCGCGGAATAGTACCCATGGGATATTACATCAGGAAGCAGCTATCTTCTATCCGAACTCGCATTCTTGAAGCCAGTTATAATTCTAGAAGTACTACTATCACATAAGATAAAATATATAAACGAGGTTTATAGTATAACAACAAGTCTTTGGCATCTCGGAAAGCAAAATACTACGTTCTAACTCACCCGCTGGATACAAAGCATTTTAAGATTTCATGCGAAAGACCGACCATTTCGACCCGAACCAATCATGACACAAACATATTCGGTCATCCGGAGTGAACCCATCCCCGTCTTACCGAAAATAACTTACAGGTCGAAAGAATCGGTTCGGAAATCGATTCCAGCGGTATGGATGCGTGCCGGCACATCCAAAGGCCTTTTTCTCCATCGCCACCATCTTCCCGCGTCGACAACGCTGTGGGAACCGATTTTGCTATCCGCGATGGGCTCCAGTACGGGTCGTTCACGCCAGATTGACGGGATAGGCGGTGCATCCTCGACAACGTCCAAGGTCGCCATTGTAGAACGGTCGAGCCGTCCCGGTGTCGATGTCGATTATACGTTTGTGCAGGTGGCGCCGGATCAGCCACGGATCGATATGACTGGAAATTGTGGCAATATTGCATCTGGAGTGGGGCCGTTTGCACTGGATGAGGGTCTTGTCAGCGTCCCTGAGCGGGAGAAGGAGGTTTGTTTCCTTTGTGGTTTTCAGTGGGACTGTATGAGGAAGTCAGAGACTGACAGAGTCACAGATTGATATCAGGATTTACAACACCAACACTGGACAACATATCGTCGAAACAGTCCAGGTCGCGACCGACGGCTCGTTCCGGGAGGATGGCGAATATGCGATTCCAGGCGTTGGAGGCACGGCCAGTCCTATCAAAGTTGCATTCCTCAAGCCGTGCGGTAGTATGACGGGCCACATGTTTCCGAGCGGGAGGCACCAGGAGATGCTAACGGTGCAGTCCCGGGGATTTGGAACATTATCCGTGCGAGTCAGCCTTGTTGACGCCGCGAATCCGTTTGTGTTTGTTGATGCTGCGTCCCTGCCGCGAGAAGCCTCGTCCGCTATCACGGATGCTGCGGATCCAGCCTTCCTGGCATTGATCGAAGATATCCGCCAACATGGTGCGGTGCGGTTTGGCCTTGCTGAGAATGTGCAGGCTGCGAGCCAAGTCCGCGGAACTCCGAAGATTGCTCTTTTGTCTCCCGCCAGTAGTAATGTAGATGGCGTGGACGTCGAGGTGAAGGCGTTCAGCATGGGAAAACCCCATCCGAGTTTGCAGCTGACGGGGGCGGCATGTCTCGGCGCGGCGACAATCATACATGGCACCATTGCTTGGGACTTGGCCCATATCAAAGAAGGGAAGGAGATTCCAAAGCATGGGATGTTGCTAGGAGACCACCAGATCGCGGGCGCGGTGCCGGTCGGCATCCGCCATTCAGCTGGGGTCATCCATGCGGAGACGGTCCTGGGGATAGACAGGAAGGGCGGGATCGACGTGGACCGGGTAGCAGTATATCGAACGGCTCGACGGCTTTTTGAGGGCCGTGTATTTTATAGACCTTAAGACACAGCGGTTACGGGGTTCGCTGAAACTAGACTATGCCATCACTGGCCCAATTTAGGATGCAGTACTCATACCTAGGCAAGGAGCAAATACATTTTAGTTGTCCGTGAATGCATTATCCTGCGGAGAACCGTTGAACCCAAATAGCATATCGTCAAATCTGGGATAAGAGTACGCGTCCTCGTACGGCCCGACAACGGGAGCTATAGGAGCCGGAATGTTCGAATGAGATACCGTTGGACCAAAAGAGAGATCCATAGCTTCGCGCATCAGTCCGTCTGTGGGCCTGGGTTGTGTTCCGATAAAACTTTGAATGACCATTTCAATGTCTAGCTCGGACGGTTCAATCTCTGGCGGAGAGTCGTGGCTGATTGCAGGTGCCGGTCCCAAGGGTCTTTCGGTTGGCATTGTCAATTGGTCTGATCGGCCGTCCATACGATTGGGACTGTCGTCGTCTACAGTCGTGCAATCATCTAACCGAACACCCATGCGGTCCATGAGGTGTAAAATCACGTTGTGGGCTCGCCGCACTGCCCAGTTTGTCTCCTGGTTCTTCTTGAATATGTCGAGGCAGCTCTGGAGGTTAGTGTGGGCCCGACTGACACGCTCTCGTTGGGCTGCGACTCGGACGAATATTGTCGCTGCTACGTATGTGGCGTATGATATCAAATACGGTGCTCGTCGGATGGAAAATGTATTATCGTAGGCCTGCAGCAATTGAATGATGCTGGAAGCGGCAGTGGTGCAGGTGGTAAAGGAGCTCTTGGCCACCGATGGATCGGCAGTGTAAAGATGGCCCTCGGAAACAAACGGTCGGTGAAGCAGGATGACCAAGACATTGTACAGAGCAAGTAACGAGAGAACGTGTGGTGGCGGCACTATCCCCATGGGACTGTTGTAGCGCAGGTGATCTGGAAGGCTTTCGTACCATGTCTTCAACTGGCCATCGAGTCTGTTAAGGGTAGCGATGAGGTCGTGGGGCGACCGATTGGAACTTCGCTCTGAATAAACTTTGTTCAAAATCTCATTCAAAACTAGCGACAATTTACACAGCCACGTGAATGTCGACACGCTATATGCCGGGGATCCAGGGTATGACTGCACATCAGAATAAGCAAAGGGTTGCCAGGGCTCCAGCTCCTCATAACGGTCCAGGATGGACAAAAGGACTTTGGTATCAAAACTTTGGAGACTAGCGGGTCGCCCCTGGTATAGGGACTGGATCTTGTCCACAACAAAGGCACCCCAGAATACACGTCGTCGGATTTCGAGGTCTTCTGGCGAAAGACGGCGCATGTTGGGGAGCATCGTGGCGTCAACGTGCATGCCGAGGTCAATGATCATTCGAAATGCCGTACCAGAATAGAGCCATGCGGCGCTACGTTCGTCTCCCAGCGCGAAGAGAGAGCTCGTCATGACTAGCAGTGCCTGGATGGTCGTGATCTCACTCCGATCCAAGGCACTCCCGAGCAGCTCCTTCACCCTCATGCGAAAGGTCCACCCAGCCGTGCGAGCATCATCCGGGTCTCTACGCACCTCGGGACGATTACTGAATTTGGCCGCCCCAAAGTATATCGCATTCAGGAGCAGTTTGGAAAAGTAAGGCCCGTTGGTGGCCATATCACGCATAAAGCTCGGGCGATGCGTTATCAGGAAGGAGTGGTGCTGGCGATTCCAATGCAGGGACAGCAGGTGCATCCCCAGCTCAGGATCTACGCCATCAAAGTCCAACTTTCCTTGCTGGAAGTTCAACGTTTCCAGCTGCCCTTCGACATGAGAATATTAGGGTCCGCGAGTAAATATCTGTAATGGGCAAGGGTGTCGCTACTCACTTTGATAAGCGGCCTCTCCCATCAGTTGTTGCTGAATGGGCTCCACAGGACCGGGGCGATTGGCCAGTTGGGCCGAGCCATGACGGCTGACGGGGGCACCGTCAAAGAGGGTACTGGTGAGGCCATGGTAGCTGGAGTCTCCGTTGGCGGAGATAAAGATGCCGGATACAACAGACTGCGGATGATCCATCTTGGTGGACTCCGACTGTTGGTGGAGATCTGCATCAGGGGTTGCCTGTTCTCCATGCGCCGGCGCGGCACTTCCGTCGCCAAGTCGCTGCCGAAGTTGCTCATTTTCGGTCACCAAGTGAGCGATCCAGGCTTTGGATGGCCTAGGCAGGTCAGGTAATCAGCATCTTCTGCACACGGATTCAATTTCGCGCACCTGGGCCTTGCAGGGCTAGTCATGTACAGGCATTCTTTGCCGTAACCTTGACAATTGGAGCATGTTGGCTTTTCGTCGCAGCGCAACTATAACAGCCGTGAGCGGTAGGGCACGGTCGGAGGGGGCGAAACAGTGGATCTCAACTCACCTTCCTCCGGCGACAGAAGCTGCATGCCTTGGCTGCTCTGCGAGAACGAGACGACGGAACCATTCTTTCCATGGCTTGACAGGGTCTCCGTGGAGAGCATGAGACACGGACAGGGGAAAAGAAGATGGAAGATGGCAGATGGAAGATATACGTACCGGGTTTGCACGGAAGGACAGGTTCCGCGGCAATTCATCCTCCGTCGGCAAATCCCGCAATTATTGTGGAGATTTGGTATCACAGTTTACTAAGTACCTCAATATAGTTACTATAAGTTGGTGCAAACAATTGGACTACTCAGCAGCTAACCATTGTCGCTCTATTACTGGTACTTGGTATTATCATGGCTGCCCCTGGCTCAACAAAGCCGCAAAAGGTCGGCTCATCTCCCTCCAGCGACCGGGAAGGACATTAACCAATTTAACTTGTTCGCAGCATTACACTCCACAGTGGGTCTCTCTGGTTGCCGGCGGAGTGGCTGGAGGGGTGGAAGCTGCGTGCACGGTAAGTAACTGATTCCTTCGGGCTTGCAGCATGTTAGATGCAGGACTGACAAGATGATGAATAGTACCCCTTCGAATACGCAAAGACCCGCGTGCAACTCTTGAGGAGCAGCAAATCGACCCCCTCCAACCCATTTCAACTCATATATACCGTTGCGCAACGGGAAGGCATCGGTGCTTTATATACCGGATGTTCTACGCTGATCATTGTGCGTTCTGATCTAATCCTCTTTCGCTAGGGATAAAGATTTAATAGTTCGCAGGGCACGACGGCCAAGGCCGCTGTGCGATTTGTTTCATACGACACCTTTAAGAACTCCCTTTCCGATGAGCGTGGATCGCTCTCCCCAGCACGGGGCATTCTGGCCGGCGTTGTCGCAGGGGCCACAGAAAGTGTTCTGGCCGTAACGCCTACGGAAAGAATCAAGACAGCACTGTTTGTGTCCTGCTTTCCACACAATTCTCAAAGCCATTTTCACTGATTGACGAAGGATCGACGATGCGAAAAACGCCAGGCAGTTCCGATCGAGTCTCCACGCCACGCAAGTCTTAGTTCGAACCCACGGTTTGGGCGAGCTCTACCGGGGACTTGTGTCCACCACGCTAAAACAGTCAGCAACATCGGCCGTGAGAATGGGCACGTACAACATCCTCAAAGAAATTGTCAAGGCACACGACATTCCGCCAACTGTTCTCACTACCTTTTGCATGGGAGCCGTGGCGGGAGTCGTCACTGTGTACGCGACGCAGCCTTTTGACACGATCAAGACGCGGGCGCAAGGGGTCCAGGGGGCAGGGCTTGTTGAAGCCGTCCGGAACATACGGAGTGACTATGGAATTCGGGGTTTCTGGAAGGGCAGTTCAATGCGGCTGGGCAGGCTGCTTCTGAGTGGCGGGATTGTCTTTTCGGTGTATGAGAAAATGACGTTTCTGCTGCATCCGAGTGTGCGGGTCGAATGAATGTTCAGCAGATCAGATGGAAATCTACTTCTTAATTTCATCATTTCCTACTAGATAAAAATATAAGAAAGACAGCAAAAGGAAAAGGGAAAAGAAGAAAGAAAAGGAAGGGGGCAGAAAAGGGGAAAAATGAAAGAACGAAACAGCCCGAAATCTTGTAGAGTTTCAATGAGTGTAATTTCTAGAATCCCCATGTAAACAATGTTTATAGACTTACTTCAGTATCCGGCCAATAGGATCATATGAATATATCTATTCAAATTCTGCTTCTCTCATAGTCCATCTCTTCTCCAAAAGCCAGAAGCCTTTTGATATGTATAGTACCGCCCAGCATACATTATATATCGATGGTTAGTTTAACTTCTCACAAGACGCTACAAAAGTATAATGCCTTCCAAGCATGACCAGTCCAATCCGTCCATTTATGAATAGGTGATCTCAAAAGTCCCGTCCTTCCTATGTTCTACATTGGCGAGCAGCGCGCCATCGGCATTCAAAAATCGAAGCATGCCCGCATGCTGGATCGCGTTGGTAAAATCCACTATCTCACCTTCCTCGGCGTCATATGCACAAACCCAAAGTTGGATTACGGGCGCAATGACAGCAAATTGAATTGCATTGGCATCGGTGGGAGCCGGATACCACAACTAGATTAGCTGCTTTCTACCATAGGACAAGGGAACGGAGGAACATACATAAGCAAAAGGCCTCGTGCCCACACTTCCATCGGGCAACCTGTTGCCCTTGGCCATTCCATACACGATGTATTTCCCATCCGATGGAGAAAGGTCACCACCGAAATCAAACCGTACCATGTCCATTGGTGCAGTCTTCTCTTTCACCGTCATGAGTGGGTCGCCTGTTTCGTTTTTCGTGAGGCCAAAAGTACCTGTAATACCCTTATTTAGACTCTAGTATCACTGCTTATTCCTTCCAGCCTTTGACAACTCCTATAAAGAGATGATAATGGGGTATACATACTTGCAGGCGTCGTGGGAGTCGCGGGATCAGCATCTTTTACATCGATCGATGTTACCTTCACGCCAAACCCGGGTTTCTCAGCGGTAGTCCCAACCCCTTTGCTAGTATTAATCTGGTGTATCTAATTGGAAGTGTAAAGGTGGGTAGAGTATGTCACGCACATCCGTATAGTTGATACGTGGTTGATGTATCCCACGTCTGTTCGGTGTCGAGTTCCTTTGCGTGCCAGACAAGACATCCCCCTTCATGCTTATTGTTGTTGCTTCCGAGGGTCATCATGGGTGGACCGGGAATAATGACATATTTCTGTTTGTGGCCGGAGTTGTTCACGACGTGGATGGTATGGTCAGGCATGTTTCCAGGCAAGTGACTGAGGTAATGTAGAAGGCAGGACTATTTTGGGAGTAAGGGTCAAAAGGTAGTAGTCGTTGGTGCTACTTATATCGCATCGATGTGGTATCTTTTTCGTACTTTCAAGGGCAAGGTGTGGTGGTCATGACTCATTAAACGCCGTGAACGGTAGTTGCATTTATAAGGTAGCATCGGGTCTTCCCAAAGGCGGAACTCCTAGTATCATCATTACATCTACATTGGTTTTTGTTTCATTCTGGAGGCTTCTATGTTTTTGGCTGTGAATGTGGCTCTGCCAGGTATGAGGACGTCTACTAGTGACGAGGTAGTAATAGACTTTCCACACTTCTATGGTGTCTATGTTTCGACTGTTCGTCCTCCGAGGATATTCGGGCGCTAAAATCGAAGTAGCATCTTCCTATGAGTTGCTCTGTCACCCAAATGTGTTAGGTTGGGTTTTAAAACACTCGTAAACCCCAAAAAGAGACGTAAGTTAAACCGAGCTTATTTATTCTGGGGCATCGTCAACATCATCAGGGCCGTCTTTGGTCTACCTACTTCCACAGATTGGTGCCTTATTAATGCCTTCTGAAGCCGAGGCCCCACCATCCGAGCTGTGCCAACGAGAATAATAGCCTTCCCTTGGCCGGCTATTGTGAAGACGCTCGGGCATTGTTAGAAATGCTAATCTGTCCTTATTGTCATTACAAATTAAGTAGACTCCCGAGATGGTGGGTCAAGACGGCTGTCCAAGGTTGCCGACAGTTCGCAAGCCACAGCCGTTCTGTCAACCAAGCCTCGAAAGCATTGCCGCAGATCTTCTTACCAGACCAACTAATTTTTGGTTGCACAGGGCCTGGTTTCTGTCGGGAGGGAAAGGAACAGCAAAAGTCCTATATAACAGTTAGTCAGTCCGGCTTACAAGCAGTGGAATACAAACAATATTGCAGAACGGGGGATTCAAGCCAAGAAAATGATACCCATGCCCAATAACGCCCGAATATCAGTGAACCATAGTAAGAAAAAACCCATTGTGTATTAGTTGCTTGATCTGGCCAGCAACTTACATGAAGCGTGCGTGCACTTTCGTCTATTCCCTTATAAGAGCAGGATCCTACTTGTAAAGCTAAGATCCCTGGTGGGCTGGCTTAACGTAATTCTCTCTGATATTATTCCGGACTTGATACGACAATGGTTTGATACCATATAGATGATAAGCATTGATGGTAAATTGTCTAATCACACAATTCAAATGGTGAGCGTGATACTAGCTATTCTGTGACACTAACTGAACACAATAAGCTGGAAGGCTCCGGGCTTAACTAACTAATTTCCGGGCTGACTCAGGATGAGGGATTCAAAATGCTGCCATGCTGGAGTCATGTGACCTCGGCTAACTAAGTAAGTAATGGACTAGTATTACATTCCAACCTCTCATAATATTTATTGATGGGAGGAGATGCCTCAGTTGAACCTTATTGGGCCATTATGAAGGAGGGGGCGGGTAATGTGACCGTGGATTACATTAGTCGAGACAGTATCAGGGATTGAATGACACAATCCGATGACACAGTCTCCATTGGACGAACGACCTTCTCATTTATAATCTACAAGGTAAAATATAGGAAATAGTGAGCCGAGTGTAATGCGTGACTAGAAAGGGTCGGAATAATTGAAGTTGAAGCACTGTTTACTGTTGAGCTGATCGGCAACAACAGCAACGAGGTGAACAGCACTGGTAACATTCTTCTTCAGCTATACCCACATTCTATTCCATCTTTGTTTAGCATATTTCGGTAGTTCGCACAAACCCTCTTCCATCATGATCGCCATAGGAAATATAAATCCATGATGTTCTTATAGTACTTCACTTACCACTGATGTCATCAGCATTTCTAACCGAGTAATACAGTATGGTTTTGGTAGCACTTATCACAGGAGGAAGTAAGTTACCATTCCCATATGCCCATGCCCATGGTAATGGCCGACCGTGAATAACCATTCTTAGCCAGTGGCATCGGCCTCGATGTCGCTCAACAACTCGACCTCACCGGCCTCTGGAAAGTTCACATCATTGGTAGCAACTTGGAACGCGGCAAAGCGGCCGTTGTGTCGCTTAAAAATACCACATTTCACCAGGCTGATGTGACAAAGTACGAGCAGCAGGGCAATATGTTTCAGAAGATCTTCAACGAGGAGAAGAGATTAGACTTTGTCTTTGCGAATGCCGGCGTCGCCGAAGACACGGTCTTCTTCTCCAAGCATGAAACAGGAATCCCGCCACGGCCTGATATTGCTGGACTAACGGATATTAACTTGACTGGTGCCATCTATACAAGTTACCTCGCCATGCACTATTTTCGCCGATCGCCGGAGGTGACGATGGGGAAGAGTAACCTGATTATCACGTCGAGCATCGGTGGGTTATATCCATGCATGCATACGCCGGTATATTCAGCGACAAAACGTAAGTACACGATGCCGCCATGGCGGATGCAAAGCTAAGAATTCTAGATGCTTTGGTTGGGTTTACACGCTCGATCGGTAAACAATTGTGGAACGAAGGCGTGAAAGTGAACGCGATCTGCCCAGGAGTAGTCATCACATTCTTGATTACACCAGAGCTGAAGGCTTACTTCTCGGAGAAGATCCTGATCACTACAAATGATGTGACCAACGTGATCTTCAAGCTAATCTCGCAAGACGACGTGACAGACTCAAAGGGGACGTTTGTCTCGCGCGATCAGCTTCATTCGCAAGCAATCCTAGTGTCCGGGGAGAAGTACTACTGTGTCGACGTGCCAGAATATTTTGATGAGGAGACGCAACTAACTCATCAGCAAATGATGGGTTGAAGATGCCGGACGTTACTCTTCGTTTATATAGTTGGCAGGCGTCCCGGGGGTCTTGCTTCACGACGATTGAAGTAATAATGACCTTGGAAAGCCGAGTTGAGATGGTTTGCACCTCATCATTAGTCTCAGGTCATGCTTTGACAATATACATTTTGATAGAAATTGGACCCACCAACAAGCGCTGATCGATCCTGCACATATTTCACTGTACCCACCAGTCCATCGTGTTTCCAAATTGCGTAATCAGTCTTCAGTCGGAACGTATTTTGCATGATGGGCGATAGTAGTGGAAAATCAGTCACTATATGGGCCGGGGAAGGATTAGCTTCGACTCGACCATCCCTCTTCCTTGAATCCCCGCGCCTCTTAAGATGAGATGTAGGTCGCTATTGATTCGAATGGCTGATCTCAGTTCGCTCGCTTACACTCATAATCTTTCTACCTGGGTGACGTACGACCTTTTACATAAAGCATACAACGTGATGACCGATGTGAGGGTTACTATTGCTCTTGGACCCATATAAATAATAATGTCTGTACACAGATATCGTTCCCGATAAGATCAAGTTAATAAGAATAAAGGGAAGAAAAAAAAGGGGGGGGGGGGGAATTTACTCTTTCTATGTGGACGTAAATGACTGCGTGCCAGTAAAGCTTTATTAGTGTGTTCGTGAGGATTGCAGCAAGAAAGGATCCAGAGTCTAGTGGGCCTCATCGAGCATAGTCCTAGGACTGACCAGCTCTGTAAGGTGACCAAGAGAAGCCTGATATTCTCTTTCTGAGCCAAGGGATCCCATTGCCTACTTGGCGACCGCTATAGAACTTCACCAGTGACTGCTCCCATGGGATTAGTGTGAACGAATTGAGCACTAGAATGAAGTAGCATCTCCGAAGCGTCTAGACATAGCTCCAATATTGAAGTCAGTATCTTGTATGCATTACACGATGCCTTGATTTGTCAGGCCAATTATCGTCTAATATATTAATTCTAGACAATAGTTCGCTACACGAAGTATATTTTCGTAGTAATTTTTCGCAATATCGCGTCTGTGAGGGCATTACAGGCTCATGTGATATACTATACTCCACGACACTGTTATAAATCTGTGGTCTCTATGTAGCCACGTTGCTACTACGTATGGTAGCTTCCAGCGGGTAGACTGAATTCTCAACAGTTACGCCGTCATAGACCCGGTCAAATCGCTCCTTCAACTCAGAGGGCTTCTTCCACTCATATTCTGGATCACGCAGCCAGAGTCGCAGGAGGTGCCGCCTGTCGAGAAAGGATAATCAGCTCTACTTCTCTTTTAAGCATCTCGACGCCAGGATACTTACTGTTTCTCGTTGGAGTCGGTGAAGGCACCCCTAGCGTGTAAGATGCTCAAGTTATTGGCAAACTGAATGTCGCCCTTGTGAAAATCCAAAGAAATGGAGTGAGCCTCAGCAGTGAAATGGATCGCGTCAAGCGCTTCTGCCTGGGCCTCAGTGAGTGGCGGTATATGGGCTGATCGCTTGCAGTCCATGTACCCTGTCAGATTTCGCCGCGAATACTGAATCATCAATCGCTCTGGGTCTTTCCCGGTGGCAGACTGGTAATAGAGAAGCGGCCGTAGCTTGTATACATCGCCTGTTGGCGCGAAGCTAAATGCAGACATGTCTTATCAGTCTCTTGCACCGGAACCTATGCCATTCTGCAGCGGTGGACTCACTCATCGAACGGCCAAGGCTCAGACAGCGTCTTGATCAGGTCTGGTCGTGTAGCTGCTAGGACATTGTACACATGGCAGGTACTGGCAAGGTAACTCTCGCCACCCCAAGCACCCTCATTCAGACAGAATAGGGCGATGACATCACCAGCATCCGTGTGGAACACTTGCTTGTCAGCCGTCACCACCGGACCAGGAATGTCCTTGGAGTTGCATGATTGACTCAGATCCTTGACATGAGCTATCATAACGTCGGCTGGCCTTCCTTGCCACTTACTATCCTGGCGACCGCGGATAGGGGCGACGTGTGATGAAAGACCAGTGTAAATTATAACGTTCTCTTCGCGTGTGTACTTGTCGACTGGCAGACCCCGGATGACTTTGAAGCCATGGCCTTCGTGAACCTGCTTCGAGATATCGCGCAATGTAGTATGCAACTTTGGCAGTGGGAAGGTGTTCGGACAGATTTCGCCCATTGGCTTTCCTAAGGCTGATAGAGATTAGGATGAGTCGGAGCCGATGGTCCAGGAAGCATGGAAAATAATCACATACACTGGAAGTATCGGAGAGCCCCATCTATCTCAGAGATATCCCCAGTGCTGAGTTGGTAGTTCCAATCATATCTATCAGCAATGGTTCTTGCATCCCACACTAGGTCACCTGACAGCTGTGTAGGGAAACCCTCAGGAAGATGCATGGTCAGCTCTTCGGTTTCTTGTCTGCGCTTACTACGCGCCAGATATTTGTCATGATCAGGCATGTAGTCAATATCAGCCTGCTGGGAAATCGTAGAGGCAACCATGGTGGGCGAAATATGACCAGGTGTTCAAGGCACGCAGGAGTGCAGGAATCCGATGTGGATAGAGACGTGACAGATGTTGCATCTAAGGACACTGAGTTTTATATTACTCAGGGAGATGTATGGCGTGATAGTACATCGTGAAGCCGGGCTACCTCATTTGCGATCATGTAGGGCTATCTAAGAGAACTGTCCAATGGTTGGACTTGGAATGTAGTTCTCTGTAAGAAATGACAACTGCGGCATGTCGGGGTCAGTATCGGGGTGTCGGCGTCACTGTCGGCGTTCCAAGATCTTTGCGCCGGCGTACAGAGGACCCGCTCATCTGATGAGTTGACGCCATGAATTTTGGTAATAGACTATCAGTCCAGTTTGAACCCCATCAATTACCACCGTCTCGTATGAGTTGCCATAGAGTAAGAAAGGTTGATAATGATGTTGGCACTGTGATGCTAGTCCTTAGTTAATTAGTCATGTTCCCGTCGAGTCTTAAATTGTCGACTCCCTGCCCATAACCGAGACCTATTGCAATTGGCCGTTAGGCTTGAACAATCTAGTATCAGAGCGCAATAATGTCGTAATTATGGAGAAAGATTATGTGATTACTTTATACCGATGATGTTAAGTAGGCCTTCTATCCCACAGCTCCATTGAATGCTCGCGAGACACTAATTTCGGAGTCGGAGTAAAAATCGGAGTCTCACAAGTCACAACCGTTTCCGCCGGAGAGAAAAACATCGCACAGCGGGCGGTGTGGCATTTGGTGCAGAAATTTGCAGTCACCGATGCCTCAGGATGCCGACTCCGACATCATCAAATCGACTAACAGCGAAATCAGGCAAGCTCCCTGCCTGTGATCCATGCCGAGCGATAAAGCTGCGGTGCGACCATGACAAACCGGTTTGCTCACGGTGCAGGGAGCGTGGCCGAAGTGGTGATTGCACCTATCGTTTACGACCTTTCAAAAGACCATCTGCTCGGGCTGCAAACTGGCGAAGGCAAGAGAATGATCAGTCTCATAATACTGGAGTCACGGCCGATGAAACTGTCAACCCTCCAGCAGCTTTCCAATACCCCAACCCAGGCTATTTAGGCTCGTCGAGTCATACAACGTTCTTCGATCAATTGCAAATCCAGAAGACCGCAGAATTAGGCCCCACGGCTGAAATCAGCTCACACCCAAATCCGGCCGATGACTATATCTTCGATGACACCTGTATCGCCAAAGGTGCCGAGCTAATTCTCGAACTGCACCGAGAATCATTGATTCCACAGTTCACTCAGCTTTTCAGAAGATGGATAGCTACGGGGACCAATCTTGCTTTAGCTGGCCCATTGACTACGCCCTGCGCATCTACAACTTCTCACCTAATCTCAAACTTTGATGGAACACATGCATCGGCCGCGACTATTTCCAAGCGCCTCTTCTACAACTCCCGCTGCCCTCTCCGTCTCAACCATGACACAACATTGGACGAATACTGTGCTAACTTTTGTGGGCCTCATGCGCGATGGGAGACCTTGGGTCTTTTTTGTACCGCTGTCTGTCGAGCCTCTATTGACTTGACTTATGCAGAACCAATGTATAGCTCGGAGCAACAGCGTCGTAGAATTCAGAAGTTGACACTCTCATACTCGGATCGATTCTTGGATCTATGTTTACCCCTTGATTGTATGAATGACCTTCAACTTTTTCTAACCTACGAAAACTTCATATCTCATTCGCAGGTTGATGGCGACCAAAGTACGTGATTCCGATTCCCCCCCCCCCCCCCAAAAGACAAAGGAAAAATGAAATTTCAGCTACACATGTAATATCAAATACTAACTTGATATGATTCCAGGCTACTTGTCCTGGAGGAAATTGGGGGATGTCGCAGCGGCTCTATTTGCCCTTGGTTACCACCAACAGCAAACAGAATCCTTTCGTGCAGCTCCTGCATTCCTACGAGATCTGCGTCAGGCCGCCTTCTGTCGAGCATACTCTGCCGACAAAAATGTTTCCATTTTTCTTGGCCGCCCACCTCGAATCCTACGTAGGTTTTGTCATTTTTACCTACCGGGTGATCATGATGCGAATTCACACGAGGCATCCCGCAGCCCAGCAGTTTGGCTTCATACTCAAAAGCTGGACTTTGCTACTGATTCGAGATGGGCTGGTCTCTGTGCCATTCTGAAGGATGATATATTGGACCTGTTCACCGAGGACAATTATGATGAAAGGGCCCGAAGAGCATGGTAGGTTTAGTGTTCCGTGTTAATAACCCTTAGTGTGGTACTAACCCCAATAAGGCTGATAGAGGCGGATATCCAGGCCCAATGGCTTGCGGTTCCTCGAAGCTGCCGGCTGGAATGTGGCCTTAAAGCCTGTGATCGACGACCAGTAGAACGAGACTTCATGGTTAATATGAAGTTGAACTACCTACATGTCCAATTCCTTCTGAGACTTGCATTAGTCCGCCCTATGTCTACGGAGCCCGACTCGGAGTTGCTCGAGATTTCCTTGAAGATGCTGGGCCTTGTTGTAGAAACCATTCTACTCAAAGACCAGATAGTGAACTCTGGTACATCGCTCGTATGGAAGGTGGGTTACGTTTGCATCAAAACTTGCAATGTCCTGTCTAATGAGAACGATTTCGAAGGTCGCATACTACGGCTTGTCCGCTGCGGGAATGATATGCCTAACTCTTGTCAAGCGCTCATTTGCCATCCAGAGCTTTACAACAAGCTTTTCGAAGATATTCCAAGAACTAAGCATCCTTGCCGCAGAAATCGAACGCGGAACTTTAGTATATATAGACTCACCCAACTATGCCTTGCTAGCTCGCGCGACACAAACCATAAAGGCTATCCTGGATCGGATGATGACGCCTTCCTCGGACAATACGATGGTCGCTTCAGATAACCGAATTGAACATCCAACTGCCTCCGAGCAAAGGGAAACTCTAGATGACGGATCCTGGTGGTTATGGGACAATACCAACCTCCAAGAATTTGAGCTCAGTTTCTGGCACAATCTTGCTGGCCACCCGTCGCTAAACCAATAAAACACGCTTCCATACTGATAGTACTTTGATTATGGTCAGCTATGCATTGGTTTCGCGTCAGCTTGTAGGGCTTAGTTATGGTGAGCTGTATTTACCAACAAAATGACGTGGATGTCACACATGGTAGAATCTTAATGAAGAGTACGACATTGGTTCCTTGTCTGCAGATTGCATTGGCGGATTCTACTGCCACTAAATGGTTAACTAAAGGCCTTGATACTAGTTTACTGGCCTTTTTCTATTGCACAGGTATTACAGCTCGCTGCTGTGCATTAATTTACACATTAGGGTATCCTGGCATGTATAACTTGATCATTGTGGGAAGCGGAGCTTTACTATTCGATCTGAATATAGCCCTCAGTCTTCCGATACCTTGTTGTAAAATATGAGGTTATGACTATTCTATCTATTTGATCATTACTCGCCTAACATTGATAATATCTTTCAAAACATCCAGTTTCTGACTGCTTTGAAGAAAGCTAACGACCATGTCACACACCTTAGCTGACCATTGTTCGGACATCCCTCGGAGACATGCAAGCCGCGATCATCAACGTTATCTTCCCGCTGGTATCGGTCTGTTTCCAAGTCAATATCACCAAGAGGAACAAGCTTGGTTTTCTTGTAAAGCTTCCAAATCAAGAATAGGGAGCCCATGATTGGGATCTCAATATAGTATGATACAAACCCAGCGGCATCGAATCTTGGACTAAAGGATTTCCAGCCCTGTATGAGTACCAGAAAGAGATTCAACCCGGCTGCGAGCGCCGGGCCCCACGGGTACGTGACATTTTTGAAAGGTAGCAGGTGTTCGAGGCTTTGATGTCGGACGGCGGACCGGAAACGCAGCGAAGTCAGGCAGATGAAGAACCATGATATCTGGTTTGACACCCCCACCAGATTCTGCAGCCACGACCAGACCTGACCGGCACCAATCTTACTTGCCCCGAAGCAGAGGGCACTGATAGCTGCGGTCGAAAGGACTGACACCCATGGGACATTGTATCGGTTAAGGTGGCCCAAGAAACGAGAACCGGGAGTGTGACCGCTAATGGCAAGGGTGTAGAGAAGGCGTGCGCCGGCGAAGAGGACGTGATTGGCAGCAGATATTGCACTGGTCATGATTACAGCATTTATAAAGCTGCCCGCCACGGTACTGCCGGCTTTGTCGAAGACAATAGTGAAAGGGCTGGTGGAAGCACTCTCTGTCGATAAGCCAGGATAGTTGTAAGGAATATCGAGACCGATGATGATGATAGATACGACGTAGAAGAGAAGAATGCGCCAGAAGACATTGCGGATGACACGAGGATAGGTCTGAGATGGATCCCGTGTCTCGCCAGCTGTAACGGCCACATTTTCGGTTCCGCCACTAATACTTAAAATCAGCGATCATAATCCAAATTTGCTTGGGCCATGCATGTGAGTGTTACTAAGCAAAGGAAGCTGTCACAAAAACGGAAGCGAAGCCTCCAATCCCCCCGACAAAGGGCGCGTCCCCGGTGTAGAAGTATTTAGCGCCCAGGTATGTTTGATCAGTATTAGCGCCACAGTTCACAGCAATCCCAACAATGATGAAGACCTGAATGATATAAGATGGAGGCACGGATGTAAATGACGGGCTTGCGCACATACAATGATGGTCACGACTTTCAGTAATGACAGCCAGTATTCGATCTGGAGGGATGATTAATAGGATGTCACATCTCACTCTTCGTTATCACCAAGATACCTCTCCAAAGACTCTGACTGAGCAGATATTCAGGGTCAGAACAAGCGCAAGGCAAATGAGGCTTAAGCCCCAGCCAGGGAAATGCTTCGTCCAATATTCCAGCAAGACTTGCAATGCTATAATGTCTGAAGCTGTGGAGACGGCGTCATTTGCCCAGTAATTCCACGTTAAGGCGAATCCAAGCGCATCATCGACGAAACGCCTGGTCAATGTCAGCAAGAAAACCCAGAGCGACGCTTTCATTGATGCTCGGCATACCCTGAAAAGGTGCAAACGAGCCTGCAACAGGCATGAATGCTACCATCTCTCCCAAAGAGAGCATGGTGAGGAAAACAATGCCACCGCAAATAGTATATGCCAACAGTATCGACGCGGGTCCTCCAGTTGCCAGCGCCTCGCCTGTTCCCAAGTATAGCCCTGTTCCTATAGTACCCCCAATGGCAATCATCTGAACTTGTCTAGGGGACAATTTTCGAGCAAGTCGATTCGGTCTAATATCCTCTAATTCTCCATCCATAGGACCAGCTGGAGGGACTGGTCTCGGCGTACTGCCGGGTTGCAGCTTTTCGGCGTCGAAAAATGACATTTTGGTGGGCGAAAGCAGCGGTGCTCTTAGAAATTCATATACTGCTGGTCAACGGGCGTTGCTTTGTATATATGTTACCGGATGTGAGGATGCATTCAATACTGAATGATTGCCACTGTTGGAAGCTGTGGGTCTATCAACCCCCGCTAGCCAGTCGGCGGGAGGACAAATGAGCAATCCAACCTTCCTGCTGTCGTCATTCGACACTCCGAAGCCTAGGGTCAATGGGGTTAGCTGATATTCTAACCCGTGGCCGCTAAATGCAGCATTTCCTTGACGTATTGCCAACTTGCATGCTATCGAGGTGGGCGCTAACCATGTATATTTTAACCGTACTACGAAACTTCCTACATTGGCATTTGATTATCAATTTAGAATCGAATATGACCGTATAATGGGAGTTTGGGTGTTCACACAAATGGAAACTAGATGTATATAAATGTCTTCCATGTGGCTGTGCATCTCAATCACATACAGGTCGGCTTTCATGCCTGCTCGTGTTCTTCGTTACTACCTATTCTAGTAGTATTAACATTACCTCAACCGTGACTGCGCCCAACAAAGTATTATAGCCATCGATATGCTCCCTTGTGCTCCCTATGTTACGAAACTTAAAAGTTTTTACCTGCTACTTATACCTAGAGCTGCTTTCGAATCTTCGTAGATGGCTGGTTTTCTTGAAGATTTCCAGGGAATCCCAGAGCCTTCGTAGTACAACACCTCCAAGCTATTTAGCAAAGACCAGATGCATAGTCAAAGATACAATGAACAACTAGCCATTAACATTTTAGGCATGCGGGGATCGCAAAATAATGATGCATGATGAGGCAATCAATTCTGATTGGCGTTACCCAAGATAAAGAATATGTCTGCAGCGAGGTATCTGATACTTAGATTAATGGTACCTAGATTGCTGAGTATGATCCTCTTCCTGCATGCTTAGGTTGACGCTAGGGAGAAGCCATCGCGTGTCACATTATTAGTCTGGAAGAAATAGATTCAAGCTATGCTGTCAGTATATGGAAACTGTGAGACTTGTCTTGCTTTGGCTACTTCGAAGCTCATGCTGGATCGGGTTGTTCGGGGTAGTCTAGCAGTAGGAAAATTTATGTGTGGGTTTTATTGGAGTATTAAACGTCTAGTAACATTTAGGGAGATTTCCCGTAACATTTTCTGTCGAGATCCCGGGGATATCGTTTGAAAGCCCGAGGTCGAAAAGGCTTACTCCGAGAAGAAAACGGTACATGGTTTAGATGTGGCAAACAAACATCTGACTGGGTGTTTTGCCAGTCTAAATGAAGATACTGTCATTGTGGTAACATACTATCATCGGTCCGGGTGGGCTTCAATGGTCATCTACGATGGCCCCTAAAGATGAGGACCACCGCAAAATCTAGTTACCCAGCACTGTCATAATTGTATTAACTAGTGAAGCTCTGATACTATCGACGGCAGGTATCTGCTGGATTTCTGCAATTGCATCAAGTTTACATTAGACTGACCCCTTTTTAAATCTTAGTGCTGAATCCGTTCTTTAAGGGATAACTAGCACGCTCTGCGTATTACTGTAGGCGGATGCATTTATAGTACATCCCCCAGTGCAGTCTCTCGACCTGAAACAACTGACTGCTACCTGGACACCTAAAACTTGGTCTGACACATGAATTGAATCATCACTACATACGTAGCGGAGCTTCAAGGCGCATCTCTTGGATGAGTTCGGTCAGAGTACCTTGGATGTTCAATGACAGAAACAACCGTACTATACACGTCAATCAGTAGCTACTACAGAGCTGTAGTAACCTAAATCGCGCACCCACAGTGTGCTCAATACCCGAGGATCATCTTCGGGGATGCGCAGATGCAGCCACAAGAGACTAATCACTAATCGGGACTAGGGGTCGGCTAGTTCTCCGATATTGTCGAGGGAATTGAAAGGGGCGGCCGAGCACCCTTGGTCCAAAATCACCTCTTATACCATGTTCCATGCTCCTTTCCTTTCCCCTCGGTCATTTAATACCACTCTCCCGAAGGACAATTGTGTTTTATGATTTGAAGTCTTTTGCCTCTTGATCAAAGCCATCCACTCCCATTGGGTTGCAAAAGTCCAAGGTCTCCAGTTCAATGTAAGTCCTCTATTTGCGAGACAGTTATTTAAGAAAAGGCCTGTTCTAACGGTTTACGAAGACAGCAAGATGATTGTGACGCGCGGAATATCATTGACAAACTTTGTCGTGGCATCGTCGGCACTCGCATTCCAAGTTTTTGTTCTGTATCCATGGCACAAGCAGCTCGATGACGGATTCGAGGCCCTTAAGAAAGAGCACCTCCGAGTCTTAAAGTCTCTTGAACAGCTACAACATGACAGCCGGAAGCAGCTTGACGGACGATTGACTTAAAATATGGATGGATCACTACGGCGAAATGTGGCGATAGAATAGACGGATAGGGTTAATCAAACGCGGCATAGACACGGCCTCCTTCTCGATAGTAATGTCGGATTGCATGAGCCAGCGGAAGGTATTACTCGGGATAATGTACAGGAGTCTTACAATGAGCTTATCGTGTGTCTTGTACTTTCCAGATTTGAAACAGCGATGTATTACTGCCTTGAAAGTCGAGAGCCTGTAACATTAAGCCACTCTTTCAACTTGATGGTCGAGCGATGCAAGCTATGTGTTAATTGAACTACGATGCATCATTTTTCGAGGAAATGACCGCCGCAGAAAATGAAGGTTTTTTGGTTCGCATATGGCCGCTATGATCGGAGCGAACTCCGGTCCGGTCGGTGTTGGTTTATTGATACACACATAACCCCCCTTGGGTAACGGGATAGGCGTAAGGTAGAAATTCATTATTATCTCATAATAAGGCAGGCATCGATGTTGCTCCCATCATTGGTCAATGTGGGTCTTTCCAGTGTATTTCACAATACGAACCCCTTTTGAATAATCTGGCCGGAGATCGTTCGTATCAGTCGGATCCGACTGATAAGGAACCTTGGGTCGATCATTGCCCCAATGGACAAGAATCAAGAATAGGTCTTTGCTACCAGTAGGCTCTTACATACTTCCCTGTCCCTTCGTTAACAACATTTTCCCGGCTTTCCAACACGCCGGCTAACTAATTACTAATTCTACTGTGTGACTTGTCAGCTGCGATTGTCAAGATTCATGCCACAGGCATTATTTCCGAAGCGTCGGGAATCTAAAAGGTTCGTCACCCAGACAGTCAAGTCTTACTCATCGGAGAGTGCAGATACATGCATAATAAACTCTTTGTCTTTTCATCACCTGTCTTACCGAGGGAGCATCATTGGGATCCTTGCAGAGGAAATGGGACCATCTGCCGAAACTGGAGCCCTGGCCAAATTGCAGGGTCAACGAGCTATTTGGGAATCGGAGGTCCATGACTAAAGTCCCATGCAGAAATATCATTTGTGTGAATTGAGCCAACGAATACTGGTATGTTGAGATGGATGGACTTCACACGCCACACTGATACAACCACAAGCCTGTTCACCAAGATCTTGCTCGGCTGATGGTTGAAATTGTGGCGGTAAACTAGCTAGCTATCGCCAAATACGTAGTGCATAAGCAAAACCTGCAGGTCACGCCGACAGTGGCCGGAAGGTATTGAAGCACCGATACATTCCATGTGTTAGGGATATTTCTCCATCACGCATTGAATATCAACATGCCGCCCAGAAGAATCCGTGTTTACTGTTAACGAGTCATCTTTCACTGGTGAACAGGCGTCCATGCGAAACGTAATGCAAGTAGATGGCTAACAATGAGATCTGGATGCGCTAGTGTCTTGAGCATGGAGCTGATCCGAATACGAGGAACATGAACATATATCAAAATGTAGCAAGTCAAGCTGAACGTTATGTCTCAATGTCCACGGAGTAGGTCTTGGTAGTCGGGAAGCTCCCGATAGATTCAATTCCCAGGACAGAACATTTTATCCCTTATCATGCTACTACAATCATAATAGAAAGGTAAACCGCTACATTACGTACGGAAAACCTCGCCTTTATGTGTTTATCAATTGAATGTTGAAGAATCTCGTACATCTAGTAGATTTTATAAGAGTCTAAGCTATACGGCGAAATCCGATCAAGGATCCATGTAACGCTCTAATCAGTACAAGTTATTGATCACATCCCTGGACATGTTGGGAAATACGAGGCCACTCACTAGACAGTGACCTCTGTCCCGATAACGCTGTGACTGTCGCGGATAATGCTGTCCTTAACCCACGGGCCTGCACTGAGTATGATATCGAGGGTGGCACATACCTGGAGACCAGAATACTAGCTTGTGGTTCTTATCATGATTCTTAGTGACAGGGAAGACCGCATTTTGTAGCCATTGTAGAAACAAACGCGGAAATGAGTAATCTGTCTGAAGCTTCCTGCTCAGTCATTAAAGACAAAACGTAGGTGTCCTAGTGTTTCTCGCCTGTACAATAAGTATGACGCAGGTCTTAAGACGGTGTGACATGTGCTCTACTCTGTCAGGCAGTTATCTAACATGGGTAAGACACCGTCGGCGGCTAAGAAATAACCTGATTCTGCGAGGTTGAGTCGTTCTTTTAGTGAATCAGGTGATTATGTGGCACAACGGCCCTTGCAGCGTGCAATTAGGGGCACATCGCCAGAACCTTATGGTGGACCGACGACATAGCAGACATGTGATGACAGAAGCCAGAGAGGAAGTTGCGCAGTGATATACTCTACATGGCTTATAGCTTCAGTTGGTATGGTAGTGTCTTCTTATGGTGTATTGCTGATGGTCGCCGTGTGTGTAATAGTTGAATCCATGTATCTAGCATCCCAAAACGTGGGATGCTGACGGTCACGACTGCTTATCCATCACCATATGACTTCATTGTATGCGAAAATGAATATTCTTTAAAAACCATAGAAATAGCACTGGCATGAAAAGGCCACCTGTCATGACGACGGCACGGGGCTACTAAGCAGCGCATTCCCCAACCCAATGACCTAGGCTTTCCAAAATCTTTAAAATCAGAAATAGAAACGCAACCTCAACATAGATTGAATTACAGTTGACGCCCAGGGGAAAGGGGTACATAGCGGGTCGAAAGTGTACATCTTACCATTACTGCTTATCCCAGCGCGTGCAGTTTCATAACCACATAAACATATTAGGTCAAGTTTGATTACCCCCGATCCAATTTTCCTTGGAGGTTGCCATCTTCTAACAAGCTGCCAAACATTGCAGCTTCAAATAAGTAGGTAACTTGGAGTGCATTTTGACAGGCATGGGCTATTAGCCAGCTCATCTCACTGACCAGACCCTTCGAGTATGTTGTTGCTATTGTAACCGAGAGCTGTTCAACTAAGTACTGCTCCATTTCCTCGTCAATATTACCAGCTGCCGCATATTGCAGCACGGCTGGTGAGAGGAACCACCACAAAGTTGACAGGCTCGGGTCAGACCATGATTGCAGTTGTTGCTGTACATGATCGCAGTATACATGCCCATTGCAGGCGTTCGGCAGGGGTCGGCTGAAACCAGTTGTCCGGTATTCACTATCGAATGTTTCGCCAAAGTCTGCCTCTTGCTGGCAAGTATTTGTTTTCCGTGCCTTGGGGTAGCCGAGCAACGCCCTGCGAAGGAAATTATGCCTGCCATTAAGGATATGCCAGGGGTAAAGTGCCATGGTCATTTTTGCGCATGGATCGGACCAGCGTTCAGTCAACATTCTCGCACTGTTATGCGCGCATGCATCATAGACAGGTCTCAGCTTTTCTTCAGTGATAACGCCCTCGTCACATATATCTGCTGTATTTAACAGCGCGTTGAGTAGCTCTGAGTTGAGGATATCGGATCCGACATCCACAATGTCTGTTAACGGAACACTCTGCATCAAGTCATGTGCTGTAGCGGCACAATCAAAGCCGCGTGCTATCGCCTCAACGCCACACGGCCAGATAGAACTCTCGCATATCCATAAAGGTAGCGCCTGGTCACGATTGACGCGTGCCACTTTCCCCGAAAGTTGTGTGACGTATTGCTCCTCTAGTGATGTCTTTTGTCTCATGTATCGCAGGGCCAAATCCGCGGCGGTCCTTCGATCTCTGCCGGCTGGCGTAACTAGCGCATGGGGGTCATGAATCGCCTGTTCGAGGGTCTTAACAAAGTCGGGAAACACTTGGTGATAGGCATGCTCCCAAAAAAAAATCATGTCAACACAGTAGTTCGAGTAGAGTGTGTGGGCGTCGTAGGCTCCACACAACATATTGAACAGGCCACTTCCGAAGAGTGCGGCTCGCGTTAAGAGCGGCTCAGGCCAATTCCGTGCATTCAGCAATTCGACCACCTTCTCTGGCTCTCGTGCCAGTCCATTGCCTTTGGATGGTAATATCTGTCCATTATGTTGTTGATCAGCCATTGCTGCAGCTCTGGTGATAAACTGAGATTGACTACCGGGCAATGAGTAGTATTCGACGTTGAGGGTTCATTTATTGCCTCAAAGATAGACCTGAGTTTCTGCAGGCCGCTATCAACCATTCTTTCAAGTCGAGGAATGGAACAATCATCCATTAGGTTCCGACATTCTTCATATCCGTCCACTGGAGGAGGTTTTGACACAGAGGTATTGCCCCAGAAATAAGATGGGGTTTGCTTGACAGCTTGGGTGGGCTTCATCGTGTTCTTTATAAAGGTTTCTTTGATCCCATTTTGCTGGAATTGGCTTGAAGGAGGCATTTAAATATGAATCGCAGAATACACCTAGAGTTGAGGGAAGGTAGTGAGTGATGGTACAATAAATGCCATGCTGCGCTTGCTGTTTATATGTGTTTATAGACTAGCGCTAATAAGTGTGACTTTGATAAACATTCCAGGCCGATGTTGCATTACTAGGTCCGAAGGAAAATGATAGTAACTACATCTAATCTGCTGGCCGCGTAAGACCCGGGTTCCAGTAACTACTGATGTAATAATACCCGATCAGGAAACATTGGGTTGCAATGATCCGATTTTCGCGCAAGGGACTGAAGATCAAATGGCCCTATCTGGTCACACACATATTGAGACCCATATCTCACATCCCACAATTTGCTCTTGCCCCTCCAATGATCTATTGGATAAAGCGTGAAAATCTAACGTTTGGTCTGTCCAATAGCCAGTGATGTAGCTGAGTGATGGACGTTTCCTCTGCTACTCAGTATCGGTGTCCGTTCTTATTGATAAGGTCATAATTTGCAAATCGGTTGCTACTGCCAACGGACCAATCGTAGTTGTTGCTTAAATGCAACGTGCTCAAATCCGTAATGAGCATTGCCCATAATTGTATGAGAACATAGTCATCTCAACCTATTATTTCACGCGCGTTTTGACTATCCCTATCACACCACCAAGTCTACCTAAGTGCGGGGACTACAGATGATCAGCGTCATTTAGGTGGTTATTTTTGCTCTAGGAAATGCCGCAGCCTCGACATACATCAAAGTTCGATTGGATGCCTCTTGAAAAGGGACACTCATTTCATATCCTCTCTTGTTCTCAAATTCACTGGCAGTGGAGTCTTGACCCAGACAGCATATGTCTCTTGATCCTCCCAGCGTCCGAGTGGCCCCTCTGGCTGCACGTCAAAGTGATACAGAATTTTGCCCAGAATGAGGACGATCTCCATGCGGGCCAAATTCTGACCAATACAGTCCCGCGGGCCTTGTAGAAACGGCTGCGTAGCATGTCGCCGGTCCTTTTCAAAAGGGTCATCTGGCGGAGATAAAGCCTGCGGGCGCGAGTTGAGCCAGCGCTCAAGGTGGAAGGCCTGAGGGTCGGTATAGTTCTGTGGGGAGACATTGGCAGCCCATTGCATGTAGGAGACAACCGTCTGTAATTCATCGTTAGCTTCTATGAGTATGTTATCTCATTTCCCCGCTTTGGGCCAAAACAGACAGGCAAGTAATGAGAAAAGTGTCGACAAAAGTGACTTACTCCCTCTGGGAAATATTCCCCGTTGATGGTATGGCCCCCAATGGGAACCAGTCGAGTCAACCCCAGGGGCACGGGGGAGGTGAGACGTATGCCTTCCTTGATCGCTGCTTCTAGTATGGGCAGCCTGAGCAGGGTGGACACATTTATCTGATCGACAGAGAGAAATGCACCGCGCACCTCGCTTGTCACGCGATCCATTATTGTTGGGTTCCGAAGGAGGTGAAAGAGAATTCCAGTAATGGCGGTTTGAAGTGTGTGGCTCCCAGCAACGATGAGGGTTGCGGCGTTCACTACCATCTCGCCTTCGGAGATTTCCCGGCGGGATTGCTGCTGCACAAGATGTGCTAGGAAATCCGGCCTATTAGCCCCTGCGGCATCATTGCCTCCCGTACTGGCATCGCTTTCCAGCTGCTGTAACCGACGCTTCACCTTTTCCTTGGTTGTGGCTTGATGCTGGGCCATGAGGACACCCGCAGACTTGGGTAGGCGCTTGACGAGGTAGTTGAACAACCAGGGATAGAAGCGGCAGGAGGCTAGCTGGACTTTGGCTTTGAGCGAGTAGACGAGTTGGCCCACCCATTCGTGGTAGCGTTGATTGTCCAAACAGCCGAAATCTTCGCCGAAGCTTAATTTGCAGACGATATCAAAGGTGCAGAAGCTGATCCACTCTTGTAGATCAACCTTCTTCGTAGCTAGTTCGCTCTGGGACTGCATCTGGGTGATCATCTTGTCGACGTAGCTGGCAACGAGCGGCTCCTGGGCGCTTAAGGCCTGGCTGCTGAAGGCGGCCGCATAGGCCTTGCGGAGTCGTGTGTGGTCAGAATCGCCTGCATCGAGGATGCTAATGGGCTGCCCTGGCCTTGGAGGTGCCTGGCGGATGGGATCTTTGGGAAGTGACTTGAAACCGCCGCCGCTCGGTCGGCGCTGATAGATGTCTTTGACAGTGTCGGGGTTGATGAAGGACACCTCATTCGGGGCAACGCGGACGGTCTCGCCATAAACGTCGTGAAAAGACTTTATTTTATGTGCTAACTTGCCATTCCGGAATGCCAGCATATACGGCACACGGGTTAACGCCCAAAGAAGCGGTCCATTGTACCGAGATAGCGGGTGGAAGTAAAGCCGCTTCAGGGCCAAGAGGATGGGAAGCTAGAAGGCGTGGGTCAGAGAAGGGGACACTCTTCGTGGTTTCGGCCCCCGGCGGGGCTTGGGACGGCTGAACTCACGAGGAGAAGGGTGATCAGGGTGGCAGTGATGGACGACGGGATTGCCATGGTTTCAACATGCACTCAGCTACGACACCAGATAGTAAGAAGTCATAGGAATTGGGACCGACAGAGGAGGCAGCGCCTGCAGGGGAAGAAGTGCCGTTTGTTTAATAAAGGCCGCCCCCAAAAGAGAGGCCCGTGACCTAAACTCAATTCCGCCGTCGTCTCCACAGACATGCATTACAAATGATCCTATACCATAGTACAGTTCACCCACCGTTAGGTGGCTGTTCCATGCGGGTGAGAATTTAGTGTCACTATTAGCGCGGCGGGAAAGAAAGCTACAGACTACCAATTTCGCGGTCCCGAAAGCGCCTCGCATGGTCTCCTCCGAATCCATGAGCGATAAGAGCCTTCGGCTTGCCCTACGTTGACCACTTCAACGACTCTCTTGATCCTCATCGTTATCACCCCATCCTTGATTTGACATTCCAAATTGCTCTTTTGCGGTTCAAGATGATTCAGTCAATGCTTCCAATGATCGACCAGACGTTCCGGTATTACGTTACCATCGCCAGTCTGTCACTCATATACTTCATGATCCAACACTGGCTCCGCACAAAGGTTGGAAATGCCGCCTTCAGTGCCCCTTTCGTTGGACTCAAGTATGCTTGGTTGGCTCGATTTCAATTTTTCTTTTCGGCCAAGTCTATCTTGAACGAGGGTAACACGAAGTACAAGAACAGGCCGTGGAAGCTCACTGGGAACGATGTCATCGTCCTGCCACAGAAGTACCTAGAGGAGATCCGCAAGCTGCCCCCGAATCGGGCAAATGCAATGAAGGCAAACCTGGACAATATGCAGAGCAAATACACACATCTGGATGTGCTGAATTCGACACGCCTGTTCGTCGATGTGCTCAAGTGGAAGATGAACCCACAGTTGGCTATCTTAATACCAACGGTGCGGAAGGAGCTAGATGCGGCCTTTGCACACGAGCTACCTCCGAACATCAGCGAGGAAGAATGGACAAGCGTTCCAGCATTCCACACCCTCCACCGTATCGTTGGGCGCATCTCAGCTCGCATTTTCGGCGGCCGCGAGCTGCGAGATGACAATCGCTGGGTCGCCTCGGCCGAGGGCTACCTCAATAACATATTCATTACTGCTATCTCCATCCGACTGGTGCCCTATGGGTTTAAGACGCTTGCCTCCTGGTTGCTGCCCTGCTCGTGGGAGATTTCGTGGCGTTTCTGGCGCGCAAAACGTATTCTTTTGCCATACATCCGCTACAGAAAGCAGATATACGCGGAGCGCCGTGATGAGATACAACGCAAGGGTAAATCCAAATTTCCAGACGTGCTCCAGTATCTCATTGAAGCTGCGAAGGGCAAAGATGCCGAACCGCTGCGGCTGGCGTCTATGGTCCTTGCTCTTTCCCTAGCCTCCAACCACACAACCGCCATGGCTTTGACGGAAACCTTGTACGACCTTTGTGCCTACCCAGAGTATCAGGATGAGCTCCGCCAGGAAGTTCTCGATGCCTTGGAAGTTAATGGCGGATGGGAAAAGACCACCCTTCTGCGTATGCGCAAGCTCGACAGCTTCATGAAGGAATCTCAACGCATGAACCCCCCAAGTCTCAGTATGAATGACCCCATCTCTTCCCGCAATTCAGGCTGACCGTTTCAATGTACTACTTTAGTGGGATACAAGCGTCAATTTACCGATGAGATTGAGCTTAGTGATGGCTTGCACCTGCCGGCAGGCTCACACGTCGAATTTCCTATCGTCCCAATCCAGCACGACAGCGTAGAGGATCCCACACGATTCGACGGGCTGCGCTACTACAGGCTACGTCAGAACCGCAGCGAGACCTACCGTCATCAGTTCGCAACGACCAGTCCAACCAGCTTGCATTTTGGGCACGGGCAGAATTCGTGTCCCGGGCGCTTCATGGCTTCGAATATTATCAAAATGGTCCTCGGCACGCTGTTGACCGAGTTCGAGTTCAAGCTCGAGCAGCCGGGACGGCCCAAGGGGCTCCACCCATTCGAGTTCAACTTTCCTAGTCATAGTGCTAATCTGATGCTGCGCCGACGGCGTAAGCCCGTAGGGGTAGCAGGAAGGCGGGAGCCATGAGCCATGATAGGTGGGTTGGAGGAGGGGGCTAGTAGTTACCGAGTCTTCACTCGCTCCTAGTTTTGCCATTTCCGATGCTGCTTCACTCAATGGAGAAGTATAAGTCAATTAATCATTTATTTCCCGGTTGACTATGGCGATTGTGCATTGCCCGTAGGATAATCCAAGGGGGCAGTGTCCTGCGGGCCCCTCAACAGCCCGTATAGTGGGCCAGGTGAGCGGGATGAGTTATCTAGTTACCTTTAGGGTTCATCCCGCAGTGTCCCTGCGTCAGCCCCGCAAGACGCCCACTAGCGTTCGTTAGTGCCAATTTCCAACTGTTTGCTGCTTGCAGGATCAACCGGAATCGGGTGCTAGAACCTGTACAAAGTACATGGGTGTGGGAATGCAGATCCCTGGGTTGGTCTCTCCGGTTACGGAATCGGATGGCTGAGCCGCCAATCCAGGCTTGATTCTCAGGCAGCCCCACCAGACTCACACTTAGCGAGACATGGAGTATATGCCATACTGTTTGGAATTCTCCATCCCAAAAGTCCGAGACTTGGCCCCGGCCTTCTACATCGTAGCGCCCAAACAACATCGGATTGATGGCACTACGCCCACCATTCCGCCCTAGCGACAACGTCGACCACCCCACTCCCACAAAGCCATGGCAACAACGCCTCATGAATAGTCTGCATGTTCATGCAACAACCGTCACATTTTTAATCTGCTGATAGCTACCTACAAGGTAAGTAAATTCCGTACTCATCCCCCCGGGCAAATGTGCCTTTGCCAGTTACTCAAGGCTCCCCTGCTTAGCCGAACAACGATCTGAACTCCTCAGCCAGCTTTGCGATCAGACACCCCAGCCCCGTCCACCTCACCACGCTCTTCCTCGCCCATCTCATCAGTGGGACGGCGTTTGCTATCGCCATCACCATCCGTAGTAGGCCGGACACCGGTCTTTCCAGCTATGGAGATCGGCGGTGCCAACACACCGGCCACCACTGCCGCCCCACAGAGGGCCAGGGTCAGAATCCAAGCACCATGGATCCCGGCCAGATACGCCCGACGAACCCCCTGCAATTCTGCCTCGTCAAATGCGCTTTGTAGCTCCGACGCCCCAGCTTCCAACACTGCTGTCGCCGATGTCCCCGGCGCATACTGGGCTAATTTCTGGATCACCCGGTTGGAAAAGATACTTTCGCCCGCCGCGATCCCGATGACGCCACTGCCTAGTTGAAAGACTTCATGGGTGATGGTCAGTAAAATAGGAGACATAAAGGAAGAGAAAGGAAAAAAAAAAAAAGCAAGGTGCTTGAAAAGCAGGGAGTAGAGTCGGAACGTAGGGGTTGGGGTTAAAGGATGACAGGCGGGTAACATTGATGGGGAGGGACAAGCAAGCAAGCATAACGGAACAGAAAGTGATCGCCGTGTCTCCAGTGTCTCCATAGAAGCAGACGGGATCATGAACACACTAGTAAGAAAGAGAAGATGCTTACACAAAACGAGGGCAGTCACCGTGGCTAGCTCTTTTTGGTCCACAAATGCTTGCACAGCCGTCACAGGGACTTGAACGCAGATCCCATCTCCAGCCCCCGCCAAGATCTGATAACCGATGATTTTGGCGGAAGGGGTGTTGATGTCCAAGGTGTAGATCAAACCAGAGCCGATGGTCACTATACCGGCGCCCGCGAGGAGGAAAGGTTGGTAGTATCCGACCTTATTGAGGACGCCGCCAGCCAGCATCGTGAAAACGGCTGTACAGCGAAACCGAAGCGCAACAGTCAGGATCTGGTTGGAGATGCACAGATATCGGAAGAAGGGAAAAGCATACATGTGGGAACTATATATGCCAGTAGGAGAATTCCGCTGCGTTCTGGCGAGGCATACTTGATCGCCTGGAAGTAGAGAGGCAAGTAGTAGACGCGGATATAATTGGCCGCGTTTAGGCTGCCATGCTCAGTTAGCTTAATGACTGAGTTGCCAGTAATCTTCACCTACAAGAATACGAAGATGCAGCACATCAAGACGCCGCGGTTACGCAGGTATCGCGACGCAACAAGTGCTTCATCCCCCTGGAACCACTCCACGGCCGCAAAAAGTAGCGTCAATAGGATCCACCCGACCAGTAGGCCGATGGGCTGTGACGAATTCCAAGGCTTGGTAATTCCTCCGTATTCCAGCGCCAATAGATAGCATATAAGGGCACCAGTCATGACGAAACAGCCTGGGAGATCCAACTTGAGAAGAATTTCCAGCACCGGTGTAGGAGCCGGTCGGTGGCTTTGAGGGAGGCGTAAACTCAGTAAAAGTGCGGCAACCGCTACACCCCCAAGAGGAAGATTGATGTAGAAACTAGATGAAACAGGAAAGATTGCAATATTAGTTCTTGGAGAGTGTCTGCAAGGCCTAGAGAAGCCATTACTACTCACCACCATCGCCAAGTCACGGTGGACGTGAAGGCCCCTCCAATCAAGGGTCCGGCAACACTTGCGATTGTGAAAATGATGCCATTCAGACCGTAGAAAACCGGAACTTTTTCAGGTTGTACAATGTGGGCTATAATAATATAAGTGCCCGATATCACACCAGCACCACCAAAGCCCGCGACTGCACGGCCAGCAATGAACCCGGCACTGTTCTTGGACACCGCTGGTACTGGCTTAGAATCTTCGTCCCAAGAGAGAGAGAAAAAAAAAAAAAAAAAAGCCAAGAGATTCAGGAGAGAGACACAGACATACCACACCCAAGTATTCCCAACTCGAAGCTCAAGATTGCCGTAATGAAAATGTACTTTATGGGACAGTATCGATACAGCTTGCCCCAGAATGTTTGGAAGCAACACATTGTGAGGAAGAAAGCCGAGCCATACCAGCCTACGTCGTTGAGGCTATGGAAATCATGTGTAATTCGTGGGACGGCCGTGGAGATAATTGTCTGTGGGCAGGATATTAACAGAAACTGGATTCAAGTAGAAAGACAATAATCTCGACGTACCAGATCCAAGGCAGTCTTAGTGTGATCATACAATCGTTAGTCCAGAATCCCAACTGCAATGTGATTTTTCAGAGAAACAAAACCGAATGCCTACCAGAAGCATTGCAAGCAGGAGGGCTAGTATGGTGACTATGAATTGATATTTGGACATCCGCTCTGTCGCCACGAGGCTGTCCTTTGGGGGTTCCTTTTCGATGGAGGGGGAACAGTCACCGCTGGACATGTCAATGCTGGCCATCGCGGAAGATATGCAAAAAAGAAAAATGTAGAGCAGTAAGAACCAGTGATCAATGTGTGGGGATCATATGAAAAGTTTTCAGAGCGAGGTTGTAAAAGTCTGATGACTGAGGATGGCTATCTGTGGCTTAGACAGTGCGGAACGGGTCGATCGGGTACAAAGAATCTTTTAGACCTACGACAAGGAGACTCCGTCCGGCCCCAATGAGCACTAGGTCGACCTGCATATACATGCATCAGCTCAGGCTCGGCCAGTTAGCCAAATTCCTGGCGAGAGTCTGAAGGACATACCTATTTAGATGAGCCCGCACTCGTGTTTTTTCATTCACCTTCCAGATCTCGTATTATTCTTACATTATAATCATGTCCACTCTTTCCCCCATCGAGATCGCCTATGAGAAGGCTCACATCAATGAGACACGACAGCCTGCTTGCTATGGTGTTGTTATCACCTTTTATGTCATCGCAATCATCCTGGTGGTGATTCGTTTGGCCGTCCGGCGACAACAAAGACGATGCCTAGTCTGGACGACTATCTGTCTATCGCAGGCATCATATTTCTGATACCGTTCATAAGTGCCACTCTTGGAGGTCAGTACAGTCGCTTGCAACCGACTCACTAGCGTACTGATCGCAACCACAGAGGTCGCCAATGGTATCGGTCGGCATAGCATAACCGTGACTACCCATGAGTCGATCATGCAGATGAAGGTGGGTATCAGCGGAAATGTCGACAAACACAGACCTATTGCATCTGACAGGAACATAGTGGGAAGTAGTCAACTTGTACTCATACACAATGTCCATTACAACCATAAAATTATCGATCCTGGCGCTTCTGGGTCGTATCTTCGTTACTGCTCCGCGCAGCTTCCATATCTGCATCTATATATTGGCTTGCTGGATGGTTCTCTGGGCGATTGCCTTAATCTTCGCCTACAGTTGTCAGTGCCGACCATTCTCGAGCCAGTGGAGTCTCAGTGAAAACTGTAGCTCAAGTTTGAAACTCGAATACTCCGCCAGTATCCTCAACGCCGTTCACGACGTGATGATGTTTTGCCTCCCGCAGCGGATCATTTGGAATCTTCATCTTGCCGCCCGCAAAAAGCTGGCAGTGAGCATATCGTTTTTTATCGGACTCATGTAAGTCATATCCTTCTGTTTAAATTTACCATACACACTCGAGGAACGCGGGCTGATTGGTAACGTAGCGCCACGCTGATGGCATTGTTGAAGATAGCTTACATTCAAGGTGCACCCGGCACAAGCCACAAATCGGATTTGTGTAAGCCTTTGAATCCCATGTTACCCCCCAAATTCTTCCAACTCTTGCGCAGGAACTTTATCTAACATATGTATGACCTATTGTAGATGCCATCGCCCCGGCTCTTATTTTCAACGCTATGGAGCCTCTTCTCGCGTCCATTTGCTCCTGCCTTCCAGCCATCCCGTATTTCTTCCGCCACGTGCGACTAGACAGCTTCTATCAGCTCTCAAGCCTATTCCGCTCTAGCAGGAGCGTCAATAGCTCGAAGGAGTCCGCAATCAACATTGGCAGGAATAACAGGCACTACTCCAACGGGGCGTCGACAGAGTCCATTACCGAGCTGACAAAACGCTCCGGAGAGGAGGTCTAGTCTCATCGGGTGGCAAGGTTGCACTAAAGTTTTTACTTGTGAGATTATGAGGCCGGTGCTTGTGAGCGCGGAAAGGGTCAGACGGAAAGCAGACCCCGATTGCGAGTAGAAGACGAGTTACCTTTTCAGTCTTAGTCTGACTTCAATGTTTTGATTTAGCACGGATGTATGCAGCATACTTCTGCATGGTAGACCGCTTGAAGCGTCCTCTGTACAGCCCCAATACTAGCCATGTTAGGCACTCATTCCTAGTGGCTCAGTTTCGTCATTAACTACGCTGTATACCAATACTTACCCTTTTTTTTTTTTTTTTTTTTTTGCCGCTAGGCACGGAAGAGATTAACGAACACAGAGAGAGCATGAACAAGATAAACGATATGAACCCATCACCGAGACCAGAGTAGCTATACATGTCACACTTGAGGATGTCGACGCAAAATTCCTGTCATGCGGCATACATAGACTGATCTAAATAGAAACAGCCGCTGTGACGCTGGCCAGACTACTATCTCACCAGGCTTTGCTCATGCCACATCCTGCTGCCTACAATAGAAGGTAAGTAGAAGATAAGACTTGCTCTTGACTGCCTGCTATCTTGATCCACGCTGCAGCCTGGGGCATAAATTGTTCACATTAGACAGTCACTTTATGCCTCAGGCAAAAAGAAATTATGTCTCTTCTAGGAAGGCGGTATGACATCTGTAGATATTAGAAACACCTCTTACTTACTGGGGTAGGCGGAGGGTAGGTAGAAGGATACTTCCATCGGGGGATAAGTTCGGCATAATTGACGTTACCATGCGCAACTACCTAGTGTTCAACCTCAAGAGCGTTGCCCAAAAGCGTAGCAACCACGGAGATTGATCAATTGGGTAGCAATATGCAGAGTTTAGTACTATGTTGCTCCTGATATATTATGGGGAAGGCAAGTACATTTTCTTCCTCAGTAGTACTTCATCTCTATAGAACGGTACTTAGTAGTATGATAGCTAGTACCAACTGTAGTAACTTGGCAGGAATATATATTGCAAATTGCAAGTGTACTACTTACTACTTACCCTTTACTCCTTCTCAATCAATAACCTTACGTGAGCTAGTGCAACCAATGGGATCTTTTCTATGAAGAAAACATGATGCTCCGGATTCATTATTATTAAGTCTCTGATTTGAGTTTGTTAATTTAATTCGGGAGGAGGAGTGAGATGCGGTCGCTGTGGATGGCAATCGACGAAGTTGGTGGGTGTAATAATTGTATGAGACTGGTAACGGGCGTAATTATATCTCTCTCCGAAACCGGCTCGGAGCAAACACTTGATTCTTCCCTGAATAACCTCCGATCGCAATTCATATCCACATATGCCTTTACGTGATCAGGGTATGGAGGGCGCGGGCAATCGGCCACGAATCACGAGGAAACATTCTGGCTGCAAGCCTTGTCGACGGCGAGGCAAAAAGGTCAGTTGTCCCCAGGAGTATAAGTAATCGGAGTGATCCTGCTCACCACCCCGATAGTGCGATGAATCAAGGCCGCGTTGCCGGGCTTGCGCCCGGCTATCCTTAGAATGTATCTATGGCGTCGACTACAGCTTCCATAACATCACTCCGACGAAATTGCAGCGACAGCCGATTATTGTGGCGGAAGATTCCCCGTCAGCCCCTCTTGCTTTGAGTTCTGCGCCGAGTAAGGTGGCCGTAGAGCTCCGCCATCTGCCGAGGTCATGCATCTCCCACCACCTCACGCGAGCCAGGATCCCTAGGTCTCTGGACGGCGGTGATAATCTTGAGACATGCTATCTAGCCCATTTCCAGAGGCATGTACGCAATCTTCTTCCTGCATCCACTTGGCCATTTGCAAACGCAACCTTCCATTCCCCGTACCTCTGAGCTGCTGCCTTGTGCATCTCCGCATCCAATCTCTCAATGTTGGATGCACAAGTACAGAGCCGTATCCTCGTGGGAAGCCATCGTCAGGCCTGGTTCAGTCCACTGGTCAATGAATTGCATCACGCCAAAGCACGGGACTATCATGATCGCGCGTTACGACTCTGTCGCGTGGCGGATATGAAAGAGGTGTCGGACGACGCCGCTGCTATTCTTGTAGCGCAAATTCTTCTTGCATACTACGATCACGCGTCGACCAACCACCAACGCTTTCGGTCGGCAGTGTGGGATACTGTTGAATTTGTCTCTCGGAATAGGGAGTATATTATGCGGTCCGCGGGGGGCGTGGGGGCCCTGCAAATGTGGCATCGCTTATGTGTTTCTCATCGTCTATCTAAGCCACCATCATTGCTTCTGGAGGGAGAGGGCAGAAGTTCCTTCGGTCCAAACTGTTTTCCAGACGCCACGGACCAATTGTATCTTAGCACCGTCTTGGGGATGAGCATGGATGACCTGATCTACGACATTCTTATCAAAACTATGGAGATCCGCTCGCGAGTAGTAGTGTTCCGTTGCGTTGCCTACCATTACCGGATTCCCGAGTCATCAAGAGAGGTAGGTGGTCTCGCTCACGGTCTCCTGACCCAGATGTTAGGCAGACCCTTTGTCCACGAAGAGCTTTCCGAGGCCCAGAAAGGCTTTGTGCGTGGCTCGCACCTACTGGGGCTGTTGCAGGTGCAAAAGGAACGGTTATCTGTGTGGAAATCTCTCCGGCACACGGAACGATCGCCTGTCAGTCGCCAGGCAGACAACCATCGTGATATTGTGTCTCCAGGAGAGTGGAGCCTTGCAACTCATCAAGATGCGATGAACACCCTGTATGAGATACTTTGCGAGATGATCTTTGAGGAAGCCTACGCAGTGTATGCACCTGACTTTGCGTTGGAGCAGCACTCTGCCGCGACTGCGCTTCCTCGTCTGGCACAGAACTTTTGCCACATTGTGAGCACCTTAGATTTTGCTGCAGTAGGTACGGCCGATGTCTACACCTTTAGTCTGACCGAAAGTTTCCTCCAATTGGTCGTTCTCTGGCGGTCTGATAGCTTGTTTCACTTTATTCTGGACGTTGCCTGGCCGAACATTGAGAGGAAGACTCGAGGCTTCGAGCACTCGCACTATCCCACTCACCTCGCGAAGCGGATCATCTCTCTGGTGGCGGACTATTGGTCCCGAGGGCAAACTGTGACCCTCGTGATGCCCGCCGTGCCAGAGGATATCCCGAAAGTGAAACTCCTCGACCTCAACCATCCAATAGAGATGGTGATATGCGGACATAATCCGGATCACACCGCGTGGATGAACAAGATTCTTCTCCCTTGAGCAAGGGAGCTAACCCCAATCGGGTCAAATTATACGCGGTAACACCGTTACGCGGGGAGAGTGGACCCACCCTGCGTACTTCCCGTATTGCTGGTCATGTTTCCATGTTATCCATGTTTCCATAATACTACTCGGTACGGTCGTGGTTATAAAGGCAGCGGGTTGACCATCAAGATTTCGAGTCCCATTCACTCATCACCTATTTCCTCTTTTTAAATTCACAGACATCTTCTCGCCATGCCACCTGCTGTTTGGACCAAACTCTTGTCCGATGTCTCTATTAAGAGATCATCCCAGACTCTCGCAATCCTGGCCAGCAATGCATATATCTATGGCGGAGAGCTGCGGCCGCGAGAACCAGTTGATTCTGCGGTGTACCGTTTGTCTTTGGACGCTTGTAAGTCGCCAAAGTCTCTGTCACCCGTCAGTAGTATATATCAAGACAATACGTTGATTGACACAAACTAGCAAAATCCAGCAACCACAATATCATACAGACTTCCCCGTCTGCCAGTCACCCCCAGCCCCGCGTAGGTTCCGCCTCGACCGCGCTTGCTGGAAGACTCTACATCTTCTCTGGTCGGGGCGGTATCGCCATGGCCCCGATCGAGGAATCTGGCACCTTCTGGGTCTTTGATCCGACCCAGAACACCTGGTCCCAATTGGCTCCTGCAACCTCGAACTCGCAATACCCTGTGGGCCGCAGCTACCACACGCTCACCAATAACGGCACGGACACCATCTATCTGCACGGTGGCTGCCCATCCAGTGGTCGTCTACGCGACCTTTGGGCGTTCAACATTCATTCTCGGCAATGGCTAGAGTTGCCCCCGGCACCCGGCCCGGAACGAGGCGGCGCGTCGATCGCGTACGCTGATCAGCGAATCTACCGGATGAACGGCTTTGACGGGACCAGGGAGCAAGGCGAATCCCTGGACGTGTACAATGTACAGACGAACGAGTGGACCAGTTTCACTTATGCATCGGATGGAATCTCCGGGCCTAGTCCGCGAAGCGTGGGCTGCTTGCTCGCCACGAAAATCGGTGGGAGGCAGTCACTGGTAACAATGTTTGGCGAGCATGATCCCAGTAGCCTGGGACACCAGGGTGCCGGAAAGATGCTGGCGGATATATGGGCATTTGATCTCCAATTTCAGCGGTGGACACAGGTGGATATTGCGGAGCCAAACAGACCTCCGGCGCGTGGCTGGTTTGATGCGGACGTCATCGGCCCTGAATCAGATGCCAATCCTGGAAGCATAGTAATTCACGGTGGACTTGCTGAGACAAATGAGCGGTTGGATGATGTGTGGCGACTAGACTTTGTCTAGTCCTGCTGTTGTTTGGCAATGATATCTTCGCTTGGACTCATATGTAATGGTTTTGAGTGTGGCGGCATGTCTGGACGTATGACTAAATAGGCTAGTAGGAGAATAACAGTCATTGATTGGAGGGCTTCACTATGTGACATGAGAACTCAAATAGTAGGCCATCCGAATCATCGCACGATTGATAGTATCCCCCAAATGAAAAAGCCTTACAACAAGGTGCCGGCTGCAACGGGCTCGGTCATAAGTAGAAAGCACAGTTCTCGGCCCCATCAAGCTTGACTTCGTAATATTTCAGCGAACGATCTATGTCAAAGGACAATACTTGTCGCTTCCCTTCTTATATCTTGCAGCTTCACGGGGCCGATCTCTAGGTACATGATATCTGAAAGCTCCTGTAAAAGTCCCCTCCTTCCCGCTCAACCGGCCTCCTCCTGCTGCAACGATACAGGCAGGGGTAGCCAACTTCTCAAACTCTCTAAAAGCACCAGTACAATTCTCCTCGGCAATAAGATATGGAGCACAGCTATCTGCCAGCCTGGTCACCCACATATCATAGCTCTCTTTCACAGACACACAATCACCAGGCAGTGTCGTTTGGCCGGTGACAGTCTCGGCAGTAAGATTACTGCATGCCGGTGCATCTGGTCCACTTTTTGCAATAGCATAGGCCGTGCTATTGAAAATGCGCTCCAGGTCACTGATGAAGAGCGAGGACTTGAAGTCTTCAAGCTCGCGTGTCTTTTTCATTGCGATCGAGGCGACGATGAGAGCCACTACAGCGCAGAGCGACAGCAGAATGATGAAAATGTTGAGAAGCAGGGTCTTCGTCTTTGACATCCCGGACTTTTGCTTATGTGGGATGGGGATCTGCTCGACAGAAATGGGTTCAACCATTGAGCAGGGTTGGGTGGCTGAGCTGAGAACAATTCTCTTGTTTCAAATTCTCAGTCTTTCATACGCTTTACTTGGGCAGTGTTGTCATTGCTTACCGTCACCGGGGAACCAGAAATTGCGGCACTTTATTTGAGTTTAGTTCACGTTCTCGCGGTCGTTGGGTATTGGTACAAAATCAAAGTCTCAAAATATTGACGAAGTGGTTGCTGGTATATCAGTCATATACCCTCGGACAAGTGGGTCGAACATATACTATCCTTCTCATGCTATGGATCGCCTTACGGGACATGATAAAGCTTGATAGAAATTAAATGGCAACCCCACAGAATACCTCACACATGATGACCTGTTACCTTCTGGCCCAAGGAACAAGGCAACCAATGGTAGAGAGCATGCTGGGATTCTCAACTCAAGCTATTTATTAGGCTATATTATTTTGAAACCTACCCTATCACAAAAAAAGACGCTTTGTCAAAATACCTCACCACAAAACGCTCTGGCGCTAATGTAGGGGTCCAAGGGTTCCAGCGATAGGAAGACACCTGCCCAGTAGACATGCACCTTGGCAGCTCCGCGCTCATGTATAGACTAAGTGCTAGGCAAACTCTGCATTTGATTCTGGAGAAGGGAAAAAAAAAAAAAAAAAAAAAAAAAAAAAAAAAAAAAAAAAAGGAAACCAGTGATATTTCATACATTGTGGATGAAAAATTTCGGCGAACGCATGTCTCTTGGAAGTGAATTTAGCGAGTGACCATGTAGCATTGGCGAGGAGATCGCACATGGCGTAGATAAATACCCGCCTAGGTTACCCTATCATGAAACATAAATGCTTATTGTCTTAGCGGGCTAGTAACTGCGCCTCAGCTGAAAGAAGATAGTATGGGTAGAAGGATATTACTTGTGGGTCTACCTGCATACTAGGTCAGCAAATTGAATCCACCCGCTTATATGGAGAGACATCTGAGAACCGGACTCCGTCGGCTATGCTGATCCCCACGAGTGTAGCCAAGGTGGCCCGTTGAGTAGCTGAAAATGAGGGTCAATTATATCAACCAATTTGTACATTGTACGGCCATTCGCATTTCTTCCCCGGGCCGACGATGTTAAGCAGTACGTCATTTAACCATTCAAGGTTGTTTGCTATATTCGTAGAATCAGGTGCAAATGTATTTGCGGCAGGGTAGTCGGAGCTTACTCTCAACTCGATTTTTCTTGACCAGCAGAGCGAACGGGGGTCTGAAAAAGTCTTAGTTCAAGAGCCGGGGCAGAGACTCATACTCGTGAATAAGATTAATTGTCTATCCTATATAATTCATCTGCTGGCATATACGCACCGACCGTAATATACAAAAGTGACCAATTCGCCCATTCGGTAAGTTGAGCTGTTCACAGTAACCCCCGCTATATTCCCTCCCGAAAGAAGCATACCAATCACAACAGCAGATCGAGACAGCAACAACATGCAAAGGCCGAAAGAAGGCCTGTGCAACATTCCTCTTCTCCTGACGCTTGGTTACTCTGCTGCATACGTCCTGGGGGGACTTGTTGAGCCGCCATCGGAGCTGGATATTGCATCGACTGTGGTGGTGGGCCTTGTGGTGGATAAGCCGGCCCTTGAGGATATCCATAGGTCGCAGCTGGCTGGGGCACTTGGGGAGGAGGACCTGCGTAGTAATTTGGCGGAGGACCAGGCTAGAGGGTGTTAATCGACTGTTTTACCTCACATAAGCTTTCAAATCTTACCGGAGGCTGGTATCGACGTTCATTTTCTGCCATGTTTCCTTGATTCGTGGATATATGACAACCTATACTAGACTCCGAGGGGCTTCCAAGCTCCGGACGACGTGTATGGCTGCTGATTTGCACTGGAGGGAGAACAATAGTGTGGAGAATAAATATCAGGAATCAGTTTATAGGAAACATGACCCATTCATGTACGCCGTAAACATCGCCGCCGGAAGAATATAACTGCCTGTTTGCACGGAGAAGCCGGAACCCGGTGGATACTTTCGTTCGTCAGGCCTCAATAACCTACCAATCGCCAACTAGATAACTCTCTTCCGAGGTATACACCATGGTCGAGCTATCATCACCTATACAAGGCCAGATGCTGGCATCTATTCGGAGAATGTAATGGGGAAACAGTCCAGCGGATGCATAAAGTTGATGATAGTCCGCCACAATCGAAGACCTTACTGGGAATCACGTAAATTGCGCCGCCAACACACCGACAGCGACGTACTATCTATGAATTCCTCTTCAGAGGGAATATTTGAAGTCTGGGAGGAACTTCTCAGGAATAATCGGATCAGCCTAATACTATTGTGACAGGAGTGGTTCCTCGTGGCTCGGACATTCACTGGAAGGCTCCCTGGGATTCGTTGCCACGTTGGCCAGCTGCACCGCCTCTACAAGACTTTCGGCCGGCGAAATATGAAATTGAATGCGTTGGATGCCCTCGCCATCTCCAGTGTGGTTCCCCAGTTGTTCGGCATGGTATAGACAAGCCTCTGCGGTGTTCGGGATGATGTCAAGTGGCGCAGGCGCCTAAATACTTTGCCGGCCAACTCGGCCCGCCATATCCGGTGCCTTATTTAAAGGGAAATATAGATCCACTCGGTATGTCCCGTCTGTCATTTCATTCTCATTCACAACATAGACCAGTACTTACTTCAGTACTAACGTTCATTTCATCAAAATATACCCCGAAGTTATCCCAACTCATAAGGTGTCAAGAATGCCGCCACCTGCCCCTATCGTTCCCGAGGGCTGGAAAGCCGAATTTGATGACCGATATCAGGAATGGTAAGCACCTACCGTGATGTTTTCGCTTTTTCCTCTCTCTCAACTCCTCCCGTACTAATGGCTCTGTTACTGTTTAGGTACTATGTCAATCTTCACACCGGACGGTCGCAATGGGAACGACCAGATCGACCAGCTCAGCCTGATGGCGCGGCTCCCCCTCCCAAGGGTCCCCCGCCCAGTTACGAGGCCACCACGCGTGATCGACAAGATCCCGATCCACGAGCTCGGGATCGTCCGGATGCCTACTACTCCTCCCCGCGACCTGCGTCGCAGTCCAACTATGTGCCGAATCGAGGGGAAGGGCCCTATGGCTACCCGCAGCCCCAGTACGGGTACAATGGCTACGGCTATAACCCTGCGTATCCCCCGCAACCTGCCTACCCCAATCAGTATCCCAATGCCTACCAGAACGGCCCCGATCAAGCCCAAGCCCCGCGCAATCAGAAGCAGAAGAAAGGCATGGGCAAGATGGGGGCTGCTGCCCTAGGAGTGGGCGGAGGATTGCTGGGAGGATTTCTGCTCGGAGAAGGCATCGAGGCGTTGAAGGATGATTTTGATGGTCCACCACCGCCAGGACCGGACTTTGGCGACTTTGGGGGAGGTTTTGGTCCCTTCTAGTGCTTGATTGTGATTATTCTCGCGAGGACGACATGATGCCTTGTAGGAGAGATGTTTATGCCAACTCGATACCCAATAGACTTCATTACAGACTCCATCAGCCACTATATCGGTGGATACTAAGCTTTCGATTGATTTAAGATGGAAAAGTGGGTGTATTCGTACACTGCGTTGAGGGGTGGAAGATACGATTCATTTTTTTTTCTCTCCTCCCTTGGTGGGTTGACAGCGTAATCTAGAACCTCATTAGATAGACTCACTGCAGGCAGTGGCAGCCAAGATCTTGTCATACCTAGCAAAATTCGTCCCGTTTTACATGTTGGGAGAGCGGGGCTAAATCCACTTCTCTTCTGGGCATTATTGCCATGGATTGTCCGTGCATACTAATTAACAGGGGAGGGGAAGGGTATGCTCCCCGCAGTGGGCTAAACCCCGATCCAAGGGACGTCTGGAAGACGATGCCCGGGTCCACCTGTGGATGAAACTTTAAATAACTTTGAATCTCTCAGAGGCATATTAATTCTGATGGGGATATAGGGTCCCCACACCCCACAAGACGCAAAATATCACTGTTAAAGTCCGCTGGATGCCAGCTAGACCGAAAGACCCCACCCGACATGTCTATCATATTAGACCAAAGGGTGTAATGATAGATTCTTCATGTTGCTTGACTCATTGAGTCCACCATCCTTTGCTCCTGCAGAAGGCCTCGGCGATTTATCTCATGGTTGAACAAGTTAGACTCCGATCGGAAAAGAAAGCCAGTGAGTGGTAGAATCCCACCAACCATCACTGTATTGTACTTAGTAGACCTAGGGTGGCAAGAATCGGAACACAACAACCACTCAATTCACCTCTTCGACACCTGGGTATCCCCAGTGGCAGACCAGTAAGTTGCAAGTGATCCTCGTGTTGTGATTGCTGGTATTCCCGGACAAGACCTGCAGCTTGACTGGAGCTTACGGGTCTCGGTTTCCGGCCCTCCTTGGCTTTTCTGGCCCCGATACACGATGATCTGACCGACACCCCGGCTTGTTGGTGCTGGTGCATCTTTGGAGGATTAGCAGACCAAGATACTTACAATCATACATTGATGCCATCTTACGCTCTCCAAGTCTACAAAGTTCTCGCCACTTTGGACAAGCGATCAGCCTTGACCTCAGTCTTTCTCAACTGGCGGTGTCAACCAAGCAGAGATCTGCCGTGCAACATTTGAACCAGTTGGCGGGTTTGCCGATCTCGCTGCGGAAATTCCCCGCGTCTTTCGTAAGCCGCGTGAGAAGCGACTAACTAGTCGAGTTAAACTAGTTTACTGGGATTTTTGTTAGTGAATAATTAATTTGTTGTCTATACCTTTCTTTCCCTTCACTGGTTCTTGGGGTGGCACCAAAGGTGGCACCAATTACGCCTTCCTCTTTCAATTCCCCCCTCCCACCGTCAGCTATCCTCGGACGACTACTTACTTCTTCGACAATCTTCCCTCAACCCTTCACGCCATCGCTCTTAATGGCGAACATGGGCGAAATGGAGTCCAACATGTCCAGCGCGCAGGAGAAGGGCCCGTCCTCCACCACGGCACTCCACGAATCACCACTCAACGATGAGGCTCGTCCCGCGGTCTTTTCCTCCACCGTTCAGGAGATCCTCTTTGTCGCCGTGGCCACCATGGCCATTGCCATGTCCTCACTCCTGACCGGCAGTGTCACCGTCCTCACCGCGCAAGTGCAGACAGATCTGGGCATGACCACCGCTGAACTCACCTGGCTGGCCGGTTCCTCCTCGTGCGCCATCCCTCCTTTCCTCCTCTATGTCTCTTCGCATATCCGTGTGTCTAATGATGAGCAAACTCTAGGCTCGCCTGTGGCTCCTTTCTCCTCTGCTTCGGCCGCCTGGCAGACCTGTTTGGCCGCAAGACACTCTTTCTCGGCAGTCTCGTCTTCTACGCTGTCTTCGCTCTGGGTGCCGGATTTTCCCAGAAGCCCCTGCAACTGGACGTGTTGAACGGTGTGATGGGTCTGATGTCGGCTGCCTCGATTCCGCCGGCGCAGGGGATGCTGGCCAACCTCTACCCGCGCCCGTCCAAGCGCAAGAATCGGGTGTTTGCCTGTTTCAGCGCCGGCAATCCTTTGGGCTTCGTATTTGGGACCATCTTCTCGGGTATCGCGACCCAGCTGTTCAACTGGCGAGCGAGCTTCTTCTTGTTGGCGATCATTTACGTCGTGGTTGTGGCGGTCGCAGTCTGGGTAGTGCCGACGGACCATGGGGCCAAGGAGCCTCTGTCCCTTCTCGCTCTGAAGAAATTCGACGTCTTCGGGACCATTCTGACCATCGCCGGGATTGGCATGTTTTCTGGCGCCTTGAGGTGCGTTACCTGACTGTCCTCATCATATCCTCATCTTTCAAGACTGACAGTGGAATCGGTTCTAGTCTTGGCTCGGATGCCCCTTCTGGGTGGAAAACACCATACGTGCTCGTACTGCTCATTCTGGGCGCGCTGTTCATAGCTGGCTTCGTCTTCTGGGAGCGTTGGTATGAATACCCCTTAGTGCCCATGTTCATCTGGCGCGACCGGGACTTCTCCTTGGTCATCACGATTCTGCTGCTGGGCTTTCTCGCCTTCCCCATCATGACCTTCTGGATCTCGCTGTTTCTGCAGGAACTCCGGCACTACTCCGCCCTCATGGTGGCCGTGCACCTGCTCCCCATGGCGATTGGCGGCATCCTGGTCAACATTGTGGCGGGGCTCATCATGCATCGGGTGTCCAACACGCTGCTCATGACGATCGGGGCTACGGCGTACACGGGGGCCTTTCTGCTCATGGGACTGCAGCATTCGAGCAGCAGCTACTGGGCATTTATCTTCCCCGGATTGCTGCTGGCGGTGGTGGGGGCGGATTTTCAGTTCTGCGTCGCAAACATGTATGTAATGAGCGCATTGCCAGCCGACCAGCAGAGTATTGCTGGTGGTATCTTGCAGACGGTGACCAAGCTGTGCGTGACGATCGGGATGGGCATCAGCACGGCCATCTTCGATGCCGTCGAGGCGGGCGGGCCCACCAGCCATGGGTACTTTGCCGGGGATGCAATCGCCCCGTACAGTGCCACATTGCTCTACTGTGCTGGAATATCGGCCATCGGTATGCCCTTGTGTGCCTTTTTACGTATCGGAAGACAGGGACATGGTGGGGATGACAAGGCGCAGGCGGCGGTGGGGAAGCGAAGCAGTTGGTGTGGGCGACGCAGAACTAAGCAGGAAGCGATCGGGGATGAACATATTAATTCGACTGTATAGGCAAAGATAGGGGATACCTCATGTGCCTTGTGTCCCGTATAGATGAAAATCCAGCCCATTGTGCCACATGTTTATTGTGATTCTCTAGGATTGTGTTAGGTACCAACTATCCCCAAGGATGTGCTGCAGGAGAGCAGTGACGTCACAGGCGAAGGAGGTTGTCTCCTGAATGGAGGGAGAAATATGCTATGAGAAGCAGTAGATAAAATAAGTAGGTACCAGATACCATTTGGAGACGATTTAGAGTTCTACAGCGATGAATGTCAGTTGGTTGTGTCAGTCCATCCGTCAGGGCAACCCTGGATTCCCCCCGCCCTATACGTCATTGCTTCGCTACTCTTCCTGCTCCCCTTCCAGATGAACTATCTGTCCTCGAAATCTCCCTTCGCAATCTCGCTTCCTCTTTTGATTCTCTCGACAATTTCATTTCATCTCACCTTCCCTTCTCCCTGACCTACTGGCTCTCGTTCCGCCATCTCCAACATCTCCCGCCATGTCTCTCAGTTCCGCGACCGGCAACCTGGCTGGCCGTCCGCCCAAGTTGACCAATGACCTCAAATCCACCGTCCAGCAAACCCAGGACACCACCACGCAAACTGCCACTCACTTGTCCGACTCGGTCCTCCCCGGTGAATTTCCTGGCGATTCGGATCACATCCATGATGCACAGCGCGACGACACCAACAACGGACCCGTGCTGGCGCCTCTCCAGCAGTGGTGTCGCCAGTCCCTCCCCCGTCTGCTCGATCGCTTCGAAGCCCATCTCGCCGGACTGCTTTCCTGGATCCTCCCAGCACCGCGCCAGGCCTGGCTGTACGATGAGGCCGCGCGCCGTCCCGCCAGCACCACCTTTCTCATCTGCCAGGCCATCTGCTGCGGTGTGCCCTTACTCGTCTTTCTCGCGGGGGTCTTTGTCTTCGCTGCGGTCGCCATTCTTCTCTGGGCGATACTGTCGGTTCTCATCCTGGGGCCGGTACTCCTGGTGGCCAGCATGATGGGCGTGTCACTGTGGGGTTGGGGTTGGTTGCTGTACGGCCTCGTCAAGTGGATCGATGAAAAATACCTGGGCGGGTTGATCTCTCGGTTCTGGCTATCGCGCATGCCATCGCCGGAGGGTCAGGATCAGCAGTCGGCAGAAGGACAAGATGGAGCCCCAGAGAAGAAAGCACAGTAAGGTGATAATGATGGTGGATGCTCTTCATTCCGTTGATGGTTGATGATTCATGACTATCTTAATGCTCGAATTTGTCAGTTCTTCTTGTATCTATAGTCGGTTAGTTCTATTCAGATTGTAAATATATTTTGAAGCAGTAGCTCGTTCGAGATGTCCTTGAAGTGCACATTCGTAGTAGCCGTTGACTGCATCAAATAGTAGTATATGCGATATGATTGTAGTAATTAAACATTTGAGTCCTTGACTACTAAGTGAGCAGTACTACTATCAAGTTGTTATATTAGATGTTAGTAATGAGTTGTTCCTGTCTAGCCCAGAATCTCCGAAGCATTTCCGCTGACACACACAATCTCGGCTACTGCGGTCAAATTTTTTCTTTATTTTCTAGCCTGAGGTGACAAGAGTCTGGAATCATGGCTCACCGGGGAGGCCCAGCATGCCCCTCTTTCTTTTCTTTTTCTTCTATCCTTTCTCGCACTAATTTCAACACTACAAAGTAGTTCAGCCCTCTCTAGATATTCACTGAATACTAGTTGTGCACCTTACGTACCGACGCACGGCAAGTCGGTCGTCCAACAGGGTCCAACAAGATTTTTTTTTTCTGCTTCTTTCACGGCCCCCTCCCCTCGTCTTCAGGACAGCCTCAGTGTTGATTCTTCATCGTAAGTGTTGAAATTAGGGATATGATATCAGCATTTTAGGTAAAGGAAGCAATGGGAAAGTAAGTGGGGATCATCCTCTCCTCTCCTCCATCTGGCTCGGGGATCGACCATGGTTAGTCATTGGCCAGTAATCAACCATTCTTTTCCTTCTCCTCCCCGCGGAGATTGAATGACCTGAGCAGAGAAGAATGCTTAACTCCATCTAATCGGCCAACCAGAGCATCGGACATTATCGGAACTGGGTCTTCTCTACTATCTTTTTTATCTGATGATAATCGGTTCCGCGGCCGGTGCCGGGGCCTGTTGTAGGGCTCCCGCCAAAGCTTCCCCCCAACTTAAATTTCTGCCCTGTTCCTACCCTCCAGGGGCACCAGTTTGATCCCTCCGCAAAGTCAGTCTGCAGAAATTCCAGCCAATGCGCGAAAGCACATCCGACAAGAGGGCGACAGAAACGGTGGTGGCCGACCAGGAGATGGAAAATGGTTTGCCGGCAGCCTACCGTCCCACGCGTTGGCAGAGCAATTTGACCATCCTGAGCTGCGTGAGTCAAAAGCCGATGAACTTTCATTTTCCTCTCTTCCCCGACTAAGATTTTTCGGAGAACGCGTCGCTAACCAGTTTCTCTGACAGTATATCGCCAATTTCAGTGATGGCTTTCAAAACCAATTGGCCAACCCCACCAATGTCATCTTCAAGAAGCTGCTGGGCAAATCCGGCTACCCATCGGAGATGCAGACCCGCATCAGCAATTCCCTGCTCATCGGTGCTATCCTGGGAGTGGTTGTGCTGGGATACGTCTCCGACATGGCCTCCCGACGCGCGGGTCTCCTCTTCACCTCGGGCCTGGTCACCATCTCCACGCTGATGGCCACCCTGGCCCTGCAGGTGCACCCTTCTCACAACATGCTCTGGTACTTTGTCATCGTCCGTGGCATCTGTGGGTTTGGCGTGGGCGGGGAATACCCTCCCAGTGCTGCGGCCGGTCTGGAAGAATCTGACGATGTATGTTTCCCGTCCCTTTCTCCCCTGCCAGCGCACTAGGAAGCAGACCACGATGAAGAACTTCAAGAATGTGCAGCTAAACCAGATGTTTGTATGTAGTTCAAGCGCCGCTACCGAGGCCCCGTCTTCGTCTCCTTCACCACGCTGATGGCCACCACCGCCTCTCCCATTTTGATGATCATCTACCTGATCTGCCTCAAGGCCACCAACAACAACCTGCCCGTCACCTTTCACGCCATCTACAGCATTGCCACCATCTTGCCCGCCATCATCATGGTCTTGCGGTTTTTCATGACCGACTCGACCTTGTACCACCATTCCAACTTCAAGCGCCAGCGGAAGCCCGCCCGATTCTACTGGGTACTGGTGCGCCGCTACTGGAAGCGCCTCTTCACCACCTCGCTGGCCTTCTTCCTCTACGACTTTATCAATTTCCCCAACAGCATCATGTCGAGCACCATCATCTCCTCGCTCGTCAAGGATGGCAACATCCAGACGACCGCCATCTGGCAAGTCATCCTGGCTGCACTGCCCGTCCCCGGCGTCATCGTCGGCGCCTGGCTGACCAATTCGATCGGTCGCCGGTACACCGGAATGGCCGGATTCGCGGGCTACGTGGTCCTAGGCTTCATCATCGGTGGCACCTACGCCAAGCTCTCTCAGCACATCGCGGCCTTTGTGGTGCTCTACGGACTGCTACAGGCCTTTGGACACATGGGGCCGGGCGCTACGATTGGCCTCATCTCCACCGAATCCTTCCCCACCGCCATGCGCGGCATGGGATACAGTGTGGCTACGGCTTTCGGTCGCACGGGAGCGGCGGTGGGCACGCAATGTTTTACACCCTTGCAGGATGCCGCGGGAGATAGCGCCACATTTTACCTTCTCGGTGGCGTGGCGATTCTGGGCATGATTGTGTACTGGTTCCTGCCGGAAAGCGGGAAGTTGGATCTGGAGAAGGAGGATCGCGAGCTGGAAGAGTATTTGGCTGGGCATGGGTTCGTGATGGAGAAGAAATACTAATCTATACTTACTAGTATATATGTCTGTATAGACAGCGTTTATATCTGAAATGTGAAATGACAACGATTATGACGGCGCTATCGACTGTTAGATTCGCTCACATGACCTATCCTAGTCGTAGGCGTATCAAACTCCTATGTTTCCTTCGAAGCTATTCTATGCTAATCCATCCCCCAGCCGGGCCCAGGTGGATAGCTGTGTTCTCAGAGTCCGCTAGTCCAGAAAGATCTGCTGGGTGCCTCGTTTCCATGCCCCCATTCCTCGTAACCACTACATGTTCAGCCCGTTTTCGGTAGGGTGAAAACTCTCGTCGGAAGTATACGGAAGGCGCTTGTTGATGGTTCCTTGGTTTCGCGGGTTAGGTAGGGCATGTAGTACCCCAGCCCAGCCGATTGCTAGCAGCAGAAGATGGGCGCGCAACATAACCGAGGGGAATGGCCAGGATACGACTGGATCCTGTGCGATACCATTAGCTCTTTTCCTCCTCCTTCAATGCTTTGCGCTACCGGTCCAACGCATTGTGAGAGGGTACTTGTGATGTAGTGCCGGTAACACGTTTCGCAGGCGACACGATGAGACCCTGTCATTGATGATTTGACATAACCTTCGAAGGTGCCTGATCACCACTGTGCAGCTTACTAGCAATCAGATATTCAGCTAAGCTGCAAGCCGAAGATGGGATTGGCTGCTCTATTCAGCGAGTGCCTGCAGTACCATATTTATCTAACCACGTGCCGCATTTCTTCAATTGAGTTCCGGGAATAATTCACCGGTCGGACCGTCGATTACTTTCTTCACGAATGAGCAGACCGAGAAGTATTGGTCATGGTGAGATGTGACCAAGGAGACTGCCGTTACTTGTTGGTCACTGCCATCTCAGTCACTCCGAGCCTTTCCGAAAATGGTGAGTGTAATCGAGAGAACATTATGACAAAACAAGTTCACTTCGGAAGATCCAATAAATGTTGTGCTGAGAGTGGGGAGTTCTGTGAAGAACCACGATGGATGCAATTCACGCCATTCCAGCCCGTAGCAGCCATGATGATGACATGCGACCGGGACGATCGAAATAGTTTAGTAGCGAGCAGGATAGGTCAAGACGGGCTGACACGCGACCCACGCGGGGAGACGATAAGCCAGACAGAATACATTGTAGATAAACTAGATAAACTAACGCGATAGCTATACGATCCAGCCCGCAATCGAAGCAACGAAAATGTTCTCCTCGCCATTTTGGGGCTTATCACGCCATATCCACTTCCGCCTCGCCTGCCAATCAAACCTTCGATATCCTCAAACTATCCCTACCAGATTCTTCTCTCTTGTCTCTCTCCCTCACTTCTCTTAACGTTTGTTTAACTACTCGATAAATTAAATACTTCTTCTGCTGCAGGGCTCGTCGATCCTTGCATTCCGATCAAATCAACTTCCCACTAGAATCTGCTAGTTGGTTTCCAGCAGTTCTCACCCTACACCATGACGGCTCCTCCGATGTATCGCCAGGAGAAGCTGGAAGAGGCGCCCACTGATGTGGCCGAGCTGACATCCGATGAGTCCACTTCCATCGAGATCTGGAATGCCTTGGTGACCGAAGGTAAGCTGCAACTCAATTCGACATCTTTGGGAAGACCGAGACTAAGTCGCTGGGATGGCGGGATATAGACCATCAACATGAGATTCAACTCCGAACCATGTCCTGGCAAAAGGCCGCCTGGTTGCTTGCCGGAGACCAAGTCTGTCTGGCTATCATGGCTCAATCCTGGTCACTCTCGTAAGTCAACAGAGATTTTCGTCTATTGGCCCGCGAACTAACCACCATCATTGGGTCCCCTTAGCGTACTGGGTTGGGTACCCGGCATCATTACCATGGTTGTGTCCGGCGCTCTCTTCTGGGTCACTTCCCTCACCATGCACAAGTACATCATGAAGCACCCGCAAATCAAAAACATTTGTCAGTAACTCCTCTCTCCCTCTCCCCTATGACCCCTGTGATGGAATATTGAGGCTGACTCGAGTTTGTCTTCCCCGGAACAGGTGACTTTGGCTACTATGTCTTCGGCAAAAGCCAAACCGCATACATCTTTTCCGGCTTCATGTTGCTGGCTAACAACATCCTGCTGATTGGCTTCCATATCTTGACTGGAGCCAAGGTGCTGGATACTTTGTCTGATCACTCTCTGTGTACCGTGACCTTCTCCGCGATCGTGATGGTCATGGGCATCGTCCTGTCCGCTCCGCGAACCCTGCATCATGTTTCCTTCATGTCGATGTTTTCGGGTAAGTTATAATCCACTCCACTGCAATGTCTGCGCCTTGTATTTCGCTAACAATGTCAGCGGCCTGCATGGGCATTGCCATCCTGTTGTTCCTTATTTTCGCTGGCATCGAGAAGGCTCCCCTGGATTATCCGACCGATGGACCTGTGCGAACATACGCCTTCCCCTTGC